TGCCCCTTGCTCATCACATCACTCGGTCCTGATCCTATCCTGCTCGTCCTCTCATCCTCCCAATCTCATGCCCATGTCTACGCCCATTCCCGACATCGCCATCCCTCGTGCCCATGCCACGCCTCCATCCGCACAACACAACGCGTGCAGGCCGCAGTAGTTGGCAAGGCAGGGACGGGCACCGGGGGGTCTGTGATATTTTTAGTGGCGAACAACAACACGCTACCAACATCCACATTCTACATACTACTACTTGTCTTCTCACTTGTTCCGACTGCTGCCATTCGGCCACTTCATAAAGTCCGGTCGTGAAATATGCCGCACAAATCATCGCTCTCTTCTGCTTTTCCCAGGTCTAGGCTGTCGTCGCTAACCGCTTATCATGAGGTTCTCCAGGACGACAATGATGATTATTGCTCATCATGTGGTGGTAACGGTCAGCTCATCTGCTGCGATGGTTGCACCCGGTCTTTCCACTTCAGTTGCGTGGATCCGCCGCTGATGCAAGGTGCTATGCCCGACGAGTGGTTCTGCAATGTCTGTCGCACCGCTCACAAACCTCCGGTCTTTCCGGTATATAGCGGCCCTTTCGCGTCGTTGATGGAGAAGCTGGATGCCAAGAACTCGAGCGCATTCGCCCTTCCGCTTGATGTGCGTGAGTATTTCGAGGCCGTTCGCACCGGTCAGGATGGAGAGTATGAGGAGATTGTGCCTCTGGTCAAACCACCGGCTAAGTATGTCCCATTTCCCCGTTCGATGTCTCAGTTGCGGCTCAAGTACTGACAAACGGGTCGCAGGAGGAAAAAGAACGACGAGGAGTCCGGACCCGACTTTTTCAGGTTACGTGATGATAAGGGAGATCCGGCAGTATGCCATCTCTGCCAAGGGGGAGCCTCCGCCCGCACCAGAGCCATTATCCCGTGCAGTCTATGTGGCCTCTTCTGGCACTTGGATTGTCTTGATCCGCCTCTGGCCAACCCGCCTGTTCTCCGAACGTGGAAGTGTCCTTGCCACGTTGATGATTTGCTCGCCAAGGTGCCAGGTCAGCTGGCGCCGGCTCACAAGTTCCGCAAGATCAAGGGCGCCTCAGTAATCAGGCCAGCTTACAGTCGCGCTTACATCAACAATGGCTACATCGAAGTCGAACCCGAGGATAGCGATGACGAGAGTGGCTGGAAGAACGTCGAGACCTATGGCAAGGTTGTAAGACTGCCTGCCAAGGGCATCAAGCTCGATTTCCTATCACGGTATGTATTTGCTTATCTTGCACGAAGTTGCTCAGCGACAGCAGGACTAACATACGGCACAGCGTTCGTGAAAATCGCAAGGGCAAACCTATCCCACCTCTCAATATTCCTCAGGCTACCGGTACTGGGGCTTCGGTTGGGTCATCTCTCCTCAACAAGCGGAGCTTGGAAGAACAGCAAGCGGTCTACAATCTGGCTGCGCTGAGCGGACAAGGCACAAGTGGCGTTAATATCCTGGTTGATGCCTTGTTGGTACGTGTATCCCAATTCACCGCCTTGGCGATTGCGATGACTAAGTTTCCGACGCAGGCCCAAGCTGACCCTTCGGTCATTTCGCTGATGGCGAGCGGCAACTCTGATCACTTGGCCGCTGGTAAACTGAACCATATGGACCAACAGAGTTTGCGTGCTATGCTTGCCCAAATGGAGAAGATGACAAATCAGATCAAGAGCATGCTGGAGCCCGTCACTCCCGTGGCTGCTTCTCAGGATCAGTTGGTCTCATCCAAAGTCCCGAGCCTGACGAACTCATCTCAGTCCATCACGGACGGGGAATCGGAGAAGACAGTCCGCGATCTTATGACGACGCCAACGGTGAAAAAGGAACTGCCCCCCTCGCCGGCCGCGACCGATGATGTCGCTACCGCGAAGCACACCAAGGAGCCAGGGCCTCCCAGGAGGAAAAAGCGGAACAGCAACGGAAGGAAGAGCGCAGACAGTGATACGGCGGTACTCCAGAACGGTGATATGGATGTGGACGCATGAGCGTAAGCATGATGATCTCTGGGGAAGGGAGGAAAACCTAGCCAGCCAGGTGTTAGGAACAACTGAAGATATCCCTTTGTTGGGCCTAGTTAGTAGTGGTTTTTGAACCGTTTCATTTCCACGTTTTAGGGTTTGCATAGGTTATGGTGTAAAAGGCTTAGCTATACTATCTATGGGTTGCGGTTGAGGAACGGTTGGCTGTGAAAATAAATTTACACAGCAGAGCAAGGAGCAAGAGACAGGAGGCACGTTTGCTTCCAGTTACCTGAAACCTAATATGAGTACAAGTCTTCTGATGATATGATTGATCTTGAGTCCGATGAATGAAGGCCGCCCGGTCAAACTCCGAGTCCAAGTCCAGATCGATCCCGACCATAGCCCTCATTGTCCCGCTTGCTTCCCTGCTTTGTATCACCCGCCAACGCCGCCGCGCCCTGCCTGGCTGGCTACACACACCCCCAGACGATTGAGCAGAAAAACTCTTTTCATTCCCCTAGAGACAGGCACACAACCTAACAACAGCCAACGACTAACAAGCCTGCCAGCCAAACAACCAACGGTCATCAAACTATCGACCAACGAGCCGGTTCTGTTCTTTCATCTATACCACCTCGACTTCATAACCTGCGTGCCTTTTCGGTCACACCAGCTTGGTCGAAAATTCTTCTCGGCATGCACGCGCGCATAATAGCGAGAGCATGCATGGTATACCATATAGGCCAGGCACAACTGAATGGATGTCTGTCTGTCACGCAAGAAGTTTTCTCTCGCTCTTTCCGGTAACCACCGCATTCAGTTTCTATAGCGCTGGATGGAACTGACAGGGAGCAACGGAGAACACTCAATGGTGAGCGAGCAATGGAGGGAAATAGGAAAGAGCGAGCAGCGGGTAGGTAAGACCACTCACTCAGTCGTCCTAGTCCCTGCCACGCACGCCTTACCTTCCCCGGGTAGGTACCTCTAAGTTGCGGCGTAAGCAGGCCGGGTGCCAAAAATTACTAATGAATGAAACATGAGCCTTTTTTTTTTTGGTTTCGAAGTTACTAGCCTAGACTTGGGGCTCAGTAGTCTCGCCATGTTGCGTTTCATTAACATCGGTACAGTTAGAAAGAAAGAAAATGTTCGAGAAATGTTACATCAAGCTACCTGAGGCTACGTACGTATATACACCGACCGCTCTGCCTAACGTTGAGAAGAAGCAAAGCTGGATGATGGATCATGTGGGATGATTTAGTAGAAACCACCAGGCGCCATGCCATATTAGCTGCTCTTGGCCGATGTGGTCGATGTTGGTGATGAAAGAGACAGACACGCGCTGTTTGGTAAAGGTAGAGGTACTCTTTGCCTGAGGTCCCAAAGGCGCTTCTAGCCCCGGACGAGTAGAGATGTATGTCATCCTTCACGGGGCATGAATATTCGACGTTGTCCTTTCACCAGGTGTAACGTACAACACACGAGGTGTCAAGATAAAAAGAAAAGGAAAGACCCATATCAAACTTCACGCCTATACATAAAACTAAAATGTACATCCATATACAAATACTGGCTCTAAGGAAACTTTTTGGCTCTGGCAACCTTTTCATCACTTCTGGAAGAACAGAACACTTCCTCTCCCGGATGTCTCGTACAAGCCACTCATCTCCATGATGATCCCATAATAGATATCAAAACGCAACCTCGCGTCACGCCGCATGCTCCCATAGCTTCGCAACTACCATTTTTTTTGAAAGTGAAGTAAAGTACGCTACTAACAAAGTGGAAATCATTCTGCGTATCAGATACTTTAATAGTCAGTCAACTCAAGCCGTCGTCGAGCCGACCAATTTTCCCTTGCCCTTATCAACCCTCCAGTAATTAGGTCATCGAGACTCTCCTACTAAACCCTTTCACTCCTCATCCATAGCATCCTCATCGTCCTCCTCTGGCTCCTGCTGCTTTCCCCTCGTGCTCCTGCCACTTCTCCTAGCTGGAGCCGATGCATCAGCGGCTTTCGCCTTCCCCTTTGGAGCAGCAGCCTTCGCCTTGGCTGGGGCAGCAGCTTTTGCCTTGCGGCCATTGGCACGAGCTGGTGGCGCTTCTTGCTCTTGCTCTTCCTTCTCGTCTTCAACCTCTTCAGCCTCTACTGCCTCCTCAGCTTCGGCTTCGGCTTCGGCTTCGGGCTCATCAACCATCTCGACATCGCTGAGCTCGCTTAGATCGCTGTCATCCTTGTCTTTGGCTGATGCTGCTGCTGCTGCGGCCTTGCCGCGCCCGCTTCTTCTCGTAGAGGCAGCAGCCGCGTTTCTAACCGGCAGAGAGGCAGCGGCTTTCTTGCCCTTGGCGGTGGCGCTGGTCCTTTTGGCGGCAGCGGTGGGGGCCTCTTCTTCTTGTTCAGGGTCGGCCTCTTCTTCCTGCTCCTTCTCGGGCTCCTCCTCGTTGACCTCTTCTTCACTTTCTTTGTCCTCCCTCCGGCTGCTTCTTGTCGTTGCGCTCGCCTTGGCAGCAGTCCGCCTAGGCGGTGCCTCCTCCCCGCTTCCCTCTTCATCATCACCCTCCTTGTCCTCATCGTCTTCGTCAAGGTATTCCCACTCGGCCACACCCTCCAACATCTCCTCGTCGTCATCGTCCGAGTCGCGCTCGGTGTAGGGGCCCTTAGCTTTGTTCGCCGCGCGACGAGAGCTTTGTCGGCGCTCGGACTCGGGAACGGCCGCGCCAGGGGACCAATCGTCGCGGTCGGACCTCTTCTTGGCTGGTGTCTTCTTGGACTTCGCTGTGGCGATCTTGCGGGAGGATTTGGCTTCGCGGTCGCCGTCGCGGTCACCGGATGATTTGACTTTCTTGGACTTATGGCCGTCGCGGTTGTTGGTGCCGGTGGCGGCGGACGTGGACTTGCGTTTCTGTGACAAAGGGGAATGGACGTTAGTAGGCTGTACTAGTACGAGGTGCCGGTCGAGTTTTCCTCCTGCGTACCTTCTTCCGATCCATAGCCCTGAGAAGCTCGTCCAGCTTCTCATCCAAGCCCTCGGGGAGATACGACTTCTCCGCGATCGCCTGCGCTTCACTGTGCGACTGAAGGGCCGTGTACAGGCCGAGAGGTAGGCCGACCTTGCCGGGGAACGCAGCGAAAGCCCAAACCTTTTTCTCCTGCCACTTCCTGATAATGGATTGCGCCAAGTCACTCAAGACGCGGTGGGCGTCGCTGTTCGGGTTCAGTCCATCTTGCGTCTGCTTCACACGCTCCGCGTACTTGTATATCAAGCCCAAATTGGACTCGGTGCCTACCAGCACTATGTAGTTGAGGATGTACCGGGCGTGGTCGACGAGGTATTCCACCTCATTGCTGTAGTCGGGGTGGTGGGCCAGAAGCGAGATCAGGCGAGCCATGATCGCCTCGAGAACAGGCTGCTTGAGGTTCTGGAAGTGGCGCGCTCGGGAACGGATCCATGTCTCCACCCTGTTCTTGAACTCGACGCTGGGTTCGAAGGCAGTGAGGAAGATGATGGTGTAGTAACGCGACCGCAGCTTGCCGTCGGCCAGATACTTTTGGAGCTTCCGCACAAAACCGTGACGCACCTCCTCGACCATGTCTTGGGTAGTTAGGGCCAAAAGGTTGAAATCTGATGGCGTGAGCATATCGTCGAAATGCTTCTGTGTGCAGAGCTTCAGCATCAACTGTGCCGCCAGAAGCCTCAGCCTCGTCTTGTGATGCTTGGGCGTTTCCTTCTCCTCGACAATCTCGCCCTTCTCCTTGATGATCTTCCTGAGCACCTTCCAAACAGAACTGGCCTTCTCCTTTGCCTCCTCGATACCCTCGATGCTCCTTACCCTATTGACTAGTATTTTCAGTGAGAGGCACTTGGCCTGGATTTCCTCGTCCATATCAGCGCCATTGACCCAATCGGGGTCGCTGTCTTTGGCGTCGGTCCGCACCTGGAGAAGAATCTCCTTAAAGGTGAGATTGAGGATCTCATCACTGGCATCCTCAGTAACCTTGGGTGCAAGAAGCTCCAACTGGCTCACAGCGGTAAGCTTGTTAAGGAAGTTACTCGACCCATACGACCAACCCTTCAATATCCGCTGGAGAATGTCAGTGGCAGTGACCATGCTCTTGTCATCCTGCTTACAAAGAACAATGTTGACAGCATGTTTCGAAGCCTTGACGGGTTGGCCATAAAGCGCGTAGTTGATCATGGTCTGCACGAACTTCCGATCCATGGCGACATCCTTAGGGAACTTCCGGGCATACGTGGAGCAAGCCTTGAGCGTTTCCGCTACTATGGGATCGTTCGGCTTTGTGGCAGTAGGGGCCTGGTCAACAAGATCCTTGCAAAGCTGTCCGATGTGAGTTTTGAATAGGTCCGGGTTGCGTTGAGAGATCTCGTTCAAGATCTCGTGCGCAATCGATCCCAAGCCGTCCTTGTCTGATTTGGAGTATTCCATGATCGTAGACAGATGGCTGCGGTTGAACAGAAGACAACCGGAACGGTAGAGCAAAGGAAGCAGAGTGTCGATAACTGAGGGGTCTTTGCTGGCCATACAGCGCTTGATAAGCTCTTTCAAAGCCTTATAAACCGTCTTAAAGTCATTCTCCTGGCCAATGACATATTTGATCAGGTTATAATTGCGGCGATCGTGAATCTTGGCAAACTTGATCAGGTCCGTCTTGCTCTTAACGTGTTCTGGAAGGAACTGTGCGATGTAATCGGCCGTTTTGTTCAGGTTGCTGGTGATTTTATCGGCGTTGCTTTCCATAACACCACCGTTGTACCGATCGCACTGGTCGAGGTAGGTTTCCAAAATCTTTGCGAACTGAGGCCGTCTAGACTGCATGGCGAAGAATGCCTTCTTCGCCGGCTCGTCGAGTGAGCGGGCCAGGAGGAGGATCCTCTCAGCCCTGATAGCATCATGGTCGATGGATGCCGCATTCGCCGATTGCGATTGGGAGTTGCCGTTGGCGTTGGAATTCCTGGTCGCCTTCTTGGCTGGCGGAAACCCCAGAGGCACCAGGAACTCATAGATGACGCGATCCATCAAGACGTTCAACTCCAGGTCATTGGCGTAAAAGGCGTTGTAGATGCGTGACGGGATGCCAGACAACGCTGCTGTTACCGCTTCATTTCCAGCAAGCATCTCTCCAGTCCCGACAGCCCAGAGTTTAGCCAACAGTGACATGGCGGCAACTCTAACCGCGGGTTTCCTGTCGCGACAGCGATCGGCCAACGTGTTGAGAACCGACCCATCCTTGCCTACTCCTCCATTAGGTCCTAGCTTGGCAATGATATCCTGGAACTTGAAGGTCTCGACAGCTTTAACAGCTGAAAGTCTGACCTTTTCATCACTGTCAGAGAGCTTCTCTCCCAACCCTCGGATCAGAGTAGCCTCGTCCTCGCGGCTGAGTCCGATCCCTCCAGCCGAAGTAGAGAGAATGTGGCCTACTGCCGTGGTCCATGCGGCACGAATAGAGGGAGCCTTATCATTCTTTCTACTCAGAAAGTTGTGGAACGTCGTGCTATGTGTCTGCGAGAAGGAGATGGAGCAAAGCGGCGTGGTGAGGATGTTGGTCACTGGGGGTTCCGCTCTATCTTCCTCTTCCAGGCTCAATGGCGGGTAAGCAGCTGGATCAAGGATGGGCAGTGGAGGCGGACCTGCCGCGCCAATGCCTGAAATCATGTCTCCGAGGGTCTCCGTTGCCATCTGTCGCAAGTGGACATTGTCTGCCGAGAGCTCTGCATCAACCTGGGGGATAACGTTTTGAAGGATCATGGGGGCAGCCTTCCAGATCTCCCGAATAAGCACATGCGCTTTCCTCAATTCCTTCAAGTCGGACTCGGAAGGGCCTGTTGGGCCATCACCCTCATCGTTTTCGTCATCTTCGTCTCTGCTACCATTCGGCTTCCCAGCAAAACCTGTCGCGTCGACAATCACGTCACTAAAATATTGACTGGCGAAACGGGCCATCTTGTCGTCATAAGTCTGGCATAGATTCCTGACCATCTGGTAAGCCTCAGGCTCTTCCTTCAGGAGCAGTGTTGCCTGGCTGTCGTCGATTGGCACATGATCCTGGCGTTCCTTGCCTAGTCCCGGAGCAGCAGCTCTCAGGAACTGGGCCATGATGACATCGACGACCTTTCCTGGAAGGGTCACGGAGTCGTCAATGAGCGCTCCCAACATCTCTTGCATACTAAACTCGACGTCCTTTCCAACCTGCTCTCCCTTGGAGGATTTGAGACCTGAGACGCCGTCGAAAATTGTGGTAAAAAGCTTGAGTAACAAGGCCTCGCTGCCTTCGACATCGAGTAGCAGAACGATACTCTTAATCTCGGCAAAAGACCGTAGCACATACTTGTGCTGGTTGTTGTAGGGATTCGAGGGATCGAAAAGGGCGGGAATGATGGAGTTTATGCTGAGATTAAAGATGTCCTGTGTCGGGTCACCGATGTCAGCAGATGGTCCATAAAATGGCATCTTTTTGGCTCTCAAACCTTGAGTTGTGATGGGGTAAAGGGCGCATCGGGGGCGCATAGTCTTAGGATATCGACAATGCAGCATGCTGTGTATGCTCGTACGCCCTTGTCCTTGTGTTGGATAAGCTGGTGAGAGGCGACGTCCTTAGCGACCTTGACCAGCGAATCGGTGTCCACAGTCTCCTGGTCCATATCCGACAGCTCCTTGGAGAGGGCGTCGAGTCTCTTAAGCAGTGTATCAACGGAAATGGGCTTGCCGGGGCGCCATGTCAAGGGCTCGTTGAACTCGAGTGCGACCAGTCCTTGCTCCTGTTCCTGCTCCAGCTCCAGCTCCTCCTCCTCCTCGGGAGCGCTCCGACGCGGCGCCATGGCGGCTTATGTGCTATAGTGAAGCCGGCCTCTGACGTGTGATCGGTGGGCGAGCTAGCCAGTGACGGATGTGGTCAAGTGGCCAAGCGGCGAAGACGGGTAACTGGATCGAATAGAAAGGCGGAGGCGGATATCAGTTGGGAGGCTCTTCCGTCGTCTTTGGGCGATCGCAAGGCGCGCGTGGTGCCGTGGTGCGACGTCAACAAGGAACGTCGAGGGTGAGGTCGTCGACTCGCGATTGGCGATGCGCGGATCCTTGGAGGTATATGGACAGCTTGGTATCGCGAGCCACGAGAGACAATCCGAGATAATGATATGCGCAGATGGTTTCTAGATGTCGCGCGACAGGCGGCTGGACTCGGAGGAGGAATTCGATCAGTTGCGGGGGTTGATGAGTTGTTGATATGTTCGGCGACAGCTGTGTTACGCGCTCGCCCGTCCTGTTCCTTCGCGTGACAGTACAACAATTCGTGAACTACAATTGGGGGGGCAATTGGCGGGATGGCAGGCAGGCAGAGAGCTGAGAGCCAAGGAGCTGCAGCGTCCGCAGGACAGGGGACCACAGGCAGGGGCCCGGTGAAACTTTGTGAGCATCTTACAGAATATTACAATGCGCTGTCTTGAGGACGCTGCTTCAAAGTTACGTATATTGTAATGCATAATATCAGCCAGCCCAGTATGGTAAGAACTCTTGTGCATTTGCACTGTCCAACGTCAAACTATCAATGCAACTTGAACTTCAACCGCACGTCAAAGAATGCCCTCAAATCACCTAGAATGCAGTCATGACACTCCTTCGTTAAGCATCATAAAGTTTTGAAAGTCGCCCAAAATGGGAGAAATCCAATTCTTTGTCCATCAATATTCATTTTTTTCGGCATAGATTTGCCTAATTTTGCCCCAGAAGAGCCCACCGGCAGTGAACATACTCACTTTGGCTGCGTTGAGAGCCAACCTCGTCTGATGCTTTTGCGAACGAGGAATTCTCGAGGACTTTTGTTCAACTCAATCAAACTCACTTCGACACCTCCAAGGGTTGGTTCTTTTCAATGATTTCATGACTTTATACAGCCTTGTCGCACGTTCGCTCATTCGCATCCTCAATGTCTTGCTTGTGAGTCTCGTCGTGGAAGCTCCGGCGTTGTTGGATGTTCATGAAATGAAATGCTCACGCCTTCACAAAGTGTCATAAGTGTCAAAATTATACCCATCTGCTTGGAGGAATGCACTGCCTTGCCTCTCCAGGAATTACAAAGCAGACATAAGTCTTCTTTATGCCCAGGACACGCAGCACCGGTTTCAATCCATTTATTGTCCGTTTGTGTCATCGTATGAGGATAGTATGAATGCATTCACGAACCGACCTACGTTGGGTCCCGTCAAACGATAACAAAACAACAACCGAATGGGCTCGAATGGTTACGTCTGGGATACCATAAGACCATATTCCCCGTGACTATCCAGACCTGGGATCAGACTGGTCGCTACGGTCCACTGCATTTGTTTGTTTTTCTCACAGATCTGCAAATTCCGCCTCGCAGGCTACAAGAGCTGGTCTCGGAACACCCCCGGCAACAAGCCTCAACGGAGTGGAAGAGGATGCACGGTTTCTAGGTGTCACACTTGTCGAGGGAACCCGAAGCGTCACTCGTCTGAGAAGGCTCGACTCGTAGGTGAAGACAGGGTTGCTCCATCCCAACCGCTGGGCGCCCGCCAGACCTTTGGCCATGGAAGGTACGCTGCTGATTGTACAGGGCAGCAAGGGACAAGCGTCTGGTGAAATGCGTTTCCAAAAAGCGCACCTTCCCGTGTGAAGGATTCGTCAGGACCTCAACTCTTGCCGCCCCGTTTTCATCCCACATCCTCCTCGGTCGCCAGCCGATAACAGTCGTCAACAGTGGCAGCTGCCGCGGTGATTTTGCCATTCACCCCTCTCGCCCGCGGTCGCGTATAAGAATCCCAAATCGGGCTGGTCCGTGGTCTGTCCTTCCACTTTTCCTCCTCCCACCTGCTACACTTTCTCAACAACTGCGGACTCGTCACTTCCTATCTCTACGGTCACTCGTTCAGCGCGCGCATCCAGCACTCCAGACTTTAATCATCGTAAGTATTTTCCCGCTTTTCTGCTTGCATCCTTTTGGTTCATTCGTTCGCATTGTCGCGACGGTCGGTCGCGTGGTGGGGAGCTACCAACGCACTCGTCCACTAGAGGATCGCAAGGCGACGGCAGTCTTGCGATACGTTCGCGCGGCACCTCTCTACCACGCGTCCGATCTTATTACCACGGGACGCAGTTCTGCCCGCATGTTCATACCTCGTTGTCGTTGTTGGAAAGCCCTTTCTGGACCCCTTCTTCTGTGCCCCGCGCCCACAAGTTACGGTTACTCTCCCCTCTTGCGCGCCGACTAACCACCTCGCTAGGTCATCCTCTTCGATCGCCGCAATGTCTGCCAACTTGATCCTGATGGCCGCCGCCATCCCTGCCTTCAGCGCTATTGGTGTCAACGCTCAGATGGGCTATGGCAGCGCCGGTGCCGTGACCGCCTCCAGCTCTGCGTAAGTCTTTGATTTCTCGATCCTCAAACGAAGGCTAACACTGACAGTGATTGTGCCTCTAGCGCCTCGGCTTGCGTTCCCACCACTATCACTGTCACGCCTTCGGTCAGCGCCGCTGCCGACCAGACCACCGCCGACGCCGATGGTGTCCAGGGAAGCGCATCCTCCGCCAGCAGCAGCGACCCCCACTCTTACATCACCTTAACTGCCTTTTTCACTGAGACCCATACCACTACCTTCGTCAAGGCCACCCAGCCCGCCGCCAATGTTACTCCCACTGTCACTCAGCACAACGGCACCACCACTGCGACCGCCCCCGGTATGGTCGGCACTGGTACTGGTGTCTCTTCTTGGGCCGGCGGACCCTACCACTCTGCGGCCAACGGCACCTATGCTTCCCCAACCGCCACTGCTGGCTCTCCTCAGCAAGCCGGTGCTTCAACCTCCTCCAGCGTGAGCTACACCCACCTCGCTGTGGCGCTGATTGCTTCTGCCGCCCTCGGCGTTGTCCTTGGCGCCTAAACGGCCTCCTAGGTCATGGCATCACCGTCACACCCTAGGATTTTGAGTGTTCCTCTCTTTCAATATGGCATTTTCTTCTGTCTTGGTTGGAGTTTGGTTGGCTGGCTTGTCTTGTCTTGGGCTTCCTGCTGACTGGATCATAATCGGTGTTTGGGAAGGAACATACCGGAAAAGGAAGATAAAAGCTTTGGTTGGCTGAGATGTTTGGGTTTTCCAACTTACATTTCCTCGTTGGCTTTCTGGGAATTATCTCACAAATCTGGTATAGTCTCCTATATCATTGTCTTTTGCGGCATCATCACACAGTCAGTCAGATAGGGTAATATGGACAGGTGGATGACAGGCATAGTATGAAGTTTATCATACATGAAATATCTCTCTACTATGCACGACTGAAGCCGAGTGGCTTTGCTGGTGATCTTTGTGCAACCCTCTTGATTACTCGTGATTATATGCGGTATTACATCAAGCGCCTGTGCCTTTCACCACAGCTATTACCCTTAGAAAGCTTTTGAAACGACAAGAGCTCTAGTTACATAGTGGACCTTGTCTCGTTGAGGCAAAGGTAGACACTTTAGATGGTCGATGTGAGCGTTTAAAATTCTGCACACAAGGCAAACGCTGGCACGTTTAGAGATACTCAGAGTAAGTTTGTGCGAATGTTGCAAGCTGCCGGCACCAAGCAGGAACTTTGTTTGGAACGAATCCTTCGTCATACTCCTACCTAGCAGAAGATGAACATTCCGAATCAGGATAGAAGCCCTGTCGAAGACGCGGCTCGCCATATTTCCTCGGTTGATGGTGTCACACATTCCAGACGACCGGGTGACAGACAAAGATTCCAAGCACAGGCTAGGGTGTACAATGATGAGGTAGGCTCTTGAGATCAAAAAATGGGTCAGACCCTGCTTGCCATGAGAATCCGAATGTGCACAGTGAAAGCCAGTGTCACCCAATGATCCTTGTGCCAGAAATGCGTCTTTGAGCGGAGGCAGTGACAATAGGTGAGATGATGAAGGCAGTGATACCAGGGAAAAGCAAGGATAAGTACAGTCTAATGCTGGTTTGTTTGTTAGCTTGGTACTTCTAGCATACTGGACGAGATCTATCCCGAACTGTCACATACCCCACAAGCACAAAATGTGATGGCCAAGTACTGATCGGAAAGGCACCAATAAGATTCAACAAGGTATGTCGAAACTCCGAAATAGCATATTCAAGATAAGATTACGCCTTGGCTAGAGAAGTAAACGAAACGTATTTCCACCAGTGCATAGACATGCATGTGTTGACAGATCAAAGATGCGTTTACCTCCGGGTTTGCTCAACTTCATACACAATGACTCCCTCGTCCCTCTTCTCAGCGAGAGATCTAACCACATCTCGCAAGTCAGGCCAGTCCCAACCATTGACCACCGCAAGGATCTTGACCTTGACCTTGGCATTCGCAACCAAGTACTCCAAGACCTCTAGCAGTCTTCCTGGTGGCTCTTTGACCCGATCAAGTCGGTCAATGATAATCCAGACCGTCTTCTGCTTTTCCGGGTTTTCATGATAGAACAGATTGAACACCTTCAAGGCTGCAGTCTGCACAATCTCCATGTTCTGCGGTTTTCTGAACGTGTTTTTCGGATCTTCCGTGGCGGTAGCTACTACAGTGGCATATCGTTCAAAAGCAGCTTGTAGATCGTCCGATATATCGCCATCTTGCAATGCCCAAAGCTGTTGTGACAGCAGCTGGATCAAGACGTGCGCAAGAACCTCCGTGAGGTGTTCGTCCTTTTGTTGCTTAGACCGAAGTCCAAGAATATAAAACGCAAATACGCCGGCATCGCTTGGTGGCTTGTTGTACATCGTCTTAACGAGGTGTATGGCAGCTGGAGAGAGCCAACACTGGCCAAAGCCGACATCGTGGTTGTACCCGGCCAAGAACAATAAGCTTGACTCTGGAGATGTGCGCCAATCCATCCAGCGCTGGTCCTTCTGGAGCTCTTCTATGCGTGCCATTCCCATCGTCTCGAGCTTCTTGTTTCCGTTACTGGTAAGATACTTGTGATCTTCTTCGTACTGAAGTAGGAGCTCGTAGTTCTTTTTTGCTTCGTACACTGGCAGGCCGAGGAGTCCACGGAGAACTGAGAGACGGTCTCTTGCTAGCGCTTCCTGTATGTCTAGGTGGCAGAGACTTGTGTCAAATAATGTTTCCAACCCGGAGGTTAAGAGTAACGGTATGAAAGGTTCCTGATGCGTTAAAGACTTACGCTTCAATCTCGCTTCCAGGACTGCCATGCAGTGTGATAAAAAGTTAGTCTATGTCAAGCAGCGGGAAGCTTGTAAGCAGGTCCGCCTTACACTGTGTTTTCCCTATAAAAAAACGGATGTTAGGTAAGCAAATGGCGCTTAGTGAACTGTGGTGGAATACATACCCTTCATAAATCCAACGTTCTTGTTGAGGGTCTCTTCACCAGTCTCTCTAACCTTCACAATAGCCTTTTGAACCTGCAGTGCATATTCATCCAGTGTGATGGATGCGCCTATGACGGCCCGAAGGAATCGTTCTTTGGGAAATACATTAGCTTATTTTGATCAAGATAGGTACTCGACAAACAGTTGGTGACAGCATACTAAAGCCTCTTTGCGTATAGTACTTGGTTGCCGCTATACAAAACCCCATAAAACTGTCGTAAGCTGCAACAATATGAGATTGTATCTGATGATCTAAGACGTGGTCGTCGTTGAAGATATGCTGATAAACGCTGAGCCCAACCACTCTGTCTCTGATTTGCTCCATGGTGTCAGAGATGGAATTTTCTATATTGACTTTGTTCTTCGCAATCTAGCACAGCCGGAATCTTAGTGTGAACGATTTCATAACCATTGAAGTGACCTTGCTATACGGAGACCTTACCGCGAAGAGGAATGACATGGTACCAATGGCCATACCGCCGTAAGGGGCTCCGATATCCTTGATAAGGTTGAGCAAAGGCCCGATGTAGTTTAGGATATCTGAAGCAGCGGCGAAAAAATCCAGGGTGCATTGCCCTACACGTTTACTGCCTCGTTTTCGGCGTTCTTCCATTGCGGTTTTTGACTTGACGATGACGCCCCAGATGTCTTGGAAAGCTTCGACACTGTCGATGTCAAGAGTTGCCTGTTCATCGGCAGTAAAATCTCGACGTCCCCGGACATATTCACGGAATCTCAGTTGCTCCTGGTCCGATTTCTTGATTACGGCTCTGAGATTTGATTCAACTCAGCTGGAGGTGACCAGCAACTTGTTCATGAGAGCAAGTGACGGCTTGGTATATGTATCCAATAGCTTTTGTACTTACATATCCTTGCCGCTAAGACATCTGTCATTTCGATGACTGTCAGCAACAGAAGTCTTTTCAGTCATCGGGGGGTCGGTTGGGATGAGTCTGGTCTCTTTGCTCAAGCGAAGTATGCCATACACGCACTGGAGAAGGATGGAAATGGTCCTCGACACGGAGGTCTAAAAAAGAGGGTAGGTCAGACATTTCGATGGGGGCGGACTGACTTCCTTCCCACATTTGTCCTCTTCAAAAGCACCTCGAACACGGTTGTGAGCCTTTTCTGCCACCCTCTTGAGTGGTAGCATGACAGCGGGATCTAGTGGTTATCTCCACCAATAATAACTGTAGGGTGGTACAGACGATTGGCATATTATTCGTGTATTTAAAGTTGGCTTGCCGGTTGCCAACCCCCAATAGCCGGCCGAGTTACAATAGCCCCCACGGTTCTGGAAGATACCTGACGACAAGACGAGCCAACTAATCAGTGCTAACTTTTAGCAATCAAATTGATTTCCCAAAGGAGCCTTGTCTCAGGGAAGATGCATTACAGCGGGATGCCGCGGCTATCTCGAAAATTACTTCCCAATGTAAGGTAGGGTTGTGCAGGCAACCTGAATCACATTGAGGCGAAGCCGGCCGCCATGCATTTGAAGTTGCCTTGCCGCTGGCCAACCCCCAATAGCCGAACAATTTACCAAAGACAGAGCGAACCAACTAAGGAGTGGTAGCCGTTGGGTAGATTAGAGGTTGAAGAGGAAGAAGCGTAATGTCCTGCCGAGACTGAAATCAATACATTATCTGCAACAGTGGCGGGTGATGACTGCAATTGGGCCCACAAGGAGCCACATGTCAGATCTGTTGAGGTATCTCCTTCAGTTGCTATTGCCGTTTTGGATGCCGCGAAGCTGTACCTGACAATTACCCGGTGCACCTGATATAGTTACGAGCAGTAGGCTCGCCATTTAGGCATTCCGAGGGTTGCAATATAGGTTGTTCAGCTGAGGGGTAACCTTGATACGAAGGCAGGCAGGCATGTTTCTATGGCCATTGAGCGGTTTGGGCAGAGAATCGATGAGATGAGCGACGCATACAATCCAATGTTGTACCTCTTTCTTGTTTCCGCTCCGGATTTCAAAATACTTCTTAAGATAATCTGAGCCTTTTCCCCAAAGTGACGCAACTGTTCTTGGACAACGGATCCCAATGCTTTGTCGTCTGGATACCTCCATCCGCCATGGCTACGCTCGTGGAGACATCGCTACCTGTAAGAGATATTGCATTCCTTCCTGTTCAAGCTCCAAGTGGTAATCAGAACAGCACTCTTGAGTGGCCACTTGCTAATCAATACTGAAGACAACCTCTTCTGAGGAGCGGATACGGGCGTTGGAGGAATGGCTTCTCAATCTCGATTCGAAGTACGAAGCGCTGTTGAAGAGCTTCGAATCCCGCCCACCAACAGCTCAATCTGGGGAAAGGGCGGAGAAAGCAGAGCCAAACATCTCTTCCACGGCCTCAGAAGGTGTGGCCCCTGGTAACGACTCTCAAACACCAAGGACAAAGGTCAGGTCATGATAGCATTCCCGAATGTCTGTACGTACAACGTTGTCTAACCATGCAAGACGACATGATAGATCGGCCACAATGGGCATCCGCGAATCAAGATTGTCAGGACCTGCAAGAATCCTGACACAGGGGAGATGATTGAGAAGGAGGATAATCCAGCACCGAAGACAGAAGACAGGGACCAAATTGCTTTCATCTTGAAGAAGTTGCAGGCTGACCAGGTCCCAGGATCAGATGACAGTTCAGAGATTGATATTATCAGTCTTGATCTGTGGGATCTTCTCAAAAAGCACCTTGCCGCCACGCCTCGTCACCTATTCCGAGGCCAGCCCATTACCATGTATTCTCCGTTCGAGGCCTTTGTTCATAATTTTGACCTCTTGCAGACTGTAGCAACTGAGATTAATGAACAAGACAACGAACAACAGAAGCAAGCCCGCAAAGATCTGGAGCTTCTCCTCGGTGTAATCTCTGGTGGTTCCTCCGGTGACGAGAAACTAAACAAGTATTTCAAGATGAGAGACTCGTATCTCAGCGATGGCACTATTCAGTTTGACGATCTTTGGACAATATTTCCTCCCGGGGCCCTGATCTACGGCAAGCCGTTCCAAGGCGAGGAACAAGTCTTCGTTGTCGCGGACAACTGGAGTCCTTGGCCACGGATAAGAGACCATCCGTCAACATGGAAGCCTTGGGGACTTGCCTGCTGGGTGTATGACTGGACTGGAGCTGAGTTTAAGAGAACTCCCTTCGATGTGAAGATTGAGGGGTTTGAAGGAAGGAAACCCGTCACATCTTTGCCATATTATCCCTTGGAATTCATGGAAACTTCAGAACTGAGGTCTATCAAGGCCAAATTGACAGCCAGAGGCAAGAAGTTTCGAAAATATTGTGAAGCCAAAGAAGGCTCACGGATGTTTGAATACGCGGGTGCTGCTATACACGGAATGAAGGGATTCACCGGCATGGGTCAAGATGGCACGGTAAGCCAGCCGTTCCACAACGTCTCTACCTCTCCAACCTTACATTTGAGAACAGCAGTTAACATGTTGACTTGTAGGATGATAGTGATTCTCGATCAGCGAGGTCAGTCTACGACCATTTGGAGCGTTTACGCCGACGGGGATCGGGGGACGATGCTGAGATATCCACCCCAAGGTCAATATATGTAAGTCACCCATTCACGGTCTCCGAAGTCTGCAGGCCACTTCTCACACACCTTCTCGCTTTAGACAGTCGATCGGGTCATGGTTGACTACATATCCTACTTCCAGTATGGCCCATCCACAAAACGTCTTGGAGGGCTGGAATCGACGGGTCAAAGCTGGATGGACTGTTCATGCTCAGACTGTGCGAAGAACCAGGCGCTCATTACCAAGTTCCGTATGCATTTTGACAAGCTGAGTATTCAGCTCAGAGAAGACTGGGAGGAAGAACAGTACCTCATATGTCCGCCACGTGTCTTGGGATATATCCTCAAAGGCAAGCAATGGGCGCAACTACAGGTCACCAATCTCACAGAGATCCCGCGCTCGGACGATAACAACTCCTGGAATAAGCGATTGCAGCTTGCCGACGACAAAAAGGATGGCAAGACCAAGAGTCTATTATTTGATCTTGTTCGAAGCCATATTTCGTCCTCCGCAGAAGATCGCAATCAGGACAGGAGTCTCGAAGTCAACGACATCGTGGCCGGAAAGGGGAAGGGGTTGATCATCCTACTTTACGGTAAACCATGACCTCCTCCCTGACTTGTTCACCAGCTGACCAGACATCTTTTTCGAACTCATAAGGGCCTCCTGGGGTTGGTAAAACGTCCACGGCGGAAACAATTGCAGAAGCTGCGCGGAAACCGTTATTCAGTATCAGTGTCGCAGATGTTGGTACAGAAGCCAAGCACGTTGAGTCCAACCTAGCGAGAATCTTTGCTTTGGCTACCTCTTGGCAGGCAATTCTACTCCTGTAAGGCACTACACCCGTTATGAGACAATTTCCAGTGGTTTGAAGCTGTAGCTGACTGAACATAATTCAGCGACGAAGCAGATGTTTTCCTCGAAAGCCGAGGAAAGGGAGACTCCACAGACAGGAATGCCCTTGTTTCAGGTACCTCCTTCCTCTCTTAGCGTTTTCCTTCTTCACTTTTTCCCCCACTCTACGCATCAATGGATGTTATTTTATTTTCTCGTCGTCAACCCCTTTGCCACTGTGACTCCAGACTGATCAAATCTTCTTCACCTTGTGAACAGTCTTCCTCAGGGTTCTTGAGTATTATCAAGGCATAATGTTTCTCACCACCAACCAGATTGCCCAATTCGACGTGGCGATTCCCTCTCGTATCCATATCTCCATCGCATACAAACATCTTAACGAAGATCAGATGAAGAGTATCTTCAAAGGGTTTCTCGACCCCCTCAGGGATCGCGACTTAATTCAGAACTACGAAGGCATCATGGAATATCTCGATGAGTATGTGTCTGCCATGAGGTTTGACGGCCGGCAAATTCGAAACATCGTCACAACCGCATTGGCTCTTGCTAGAGCGGAGACAAGGTACAAGGGGGGCACTGGGAAGTTGAAGCTGGATCACTTGAAGACAGTGGCGACCAACACCAATAAGTTCAAGGACGACTTCTCATTACAGTATCAACGATACATCGAGAACCAGAAGAGTGTTAAAAGTTTCGCCACATAGGGATCAACAATGTATTCTGGGTTGTGCAACGAAGTTATGAGTTTCTTTGGTATACATGTATGTAGTTTGCTAGCACTTGCAAACTGTGCGCTCAAGATCTCATTCACAAAGTGCTTTGCCCTTGAGTTCTCATCTTCAATCCTCATCCCCCACCTCCCCCTCTCCGCCCCCAGCATCATCCCCATCATCCCCCTCCCCATCCACCCAAACGACCACATTCTCCAATCCCTCTGCCCTCTCCTTAAAGAACCTCCTCACCTCTCCCACACTATACCTCAAACTAAAATGCATCACCACAAACGTCGTGGCGGGGTATCTCCTGACTACCTTCTCCAAGTCCGCCCAAAGCGTATGCTTCGTCTTCTCCGCCTGCGCCCTATGCTCCTCATACAAGAAGCTGCACTCGGTAATCACCACCGGCAGCTTGTCGTTTTCCAGCCACCCCCTCATCGGCTCTTCCTCCAGCGTCTTGGTAGTGGTATCCCCCAAAAACGCAAACATGGGCGTCGTAACCGGCGCCGTCAGTTCCTGTCCGCTAGCCCTGATAGCCTTCAGCTCCTTAGGCGGCAGGCTAGCAAACTCCGGCTTAAGTTTATGCGTCGTCTGCTGAAACAAGTACCCCAAACAAGGAACGGTGTGATCGCAAGCAAACGCCACAGCGCTGATATTTTTCGTCCTCCTTAGCGGGACGACATCTCCCGCTTCCAAGCCGTAGGTGACATGTGTCGGCCGAATCACTTCTTTAACCACCTCCCCCGTTTCCGGATCCTTTTCTACCAGGGGGATCTCCTTCCCCGGCCTCGGCGCTATCAGTCCACCCAGGTTAAGCATCGTGTTCGCCCGAAGATAATCCTGCAACACCTGTTTCATGCCCACAGGGCAATGAAAGTCGGGCGGATCTTCCCGCTTGATGTAGACGGGAGACAGCAAGGCGTGGTCGTTGTGGCCGTGCGTGATGAAGATGTGTTTCGGGCGAGAGTTGTTCACCACCAAGCCGGCGTCGAGCAACAAGTTGAGTTGGGGAATGACGAAGGAGGTGTGCCAGGCTGCGCGCGATTTGCCGGTGAGGACGTAGTGCGAGAAGGGCTTGGGGAGGGCCCATTCGAGGATGTCGGAGCGGGGGGATTGGGGGAGGGGGGTGGCGAAGGTTAGGGTTTTGGATGATGGCTGGGATTGGGACCCGGAGGAAGGTTTTTGTGGTTGTGGTGGTCTCATGGCGATGGATTTGTTCTGGTTGGTGTCGACAATGTGGTGTAGTGGTGAGGTGAGGTGATGGTGAATGTAAACAACGACCAAGGGGGTAAAGTTTTGGCAAGGATGTTTGGGGCTTGCTGGCGTTGGGTTTTTCGATTGGGGTCGCTGGAAGGAGGTGTCAGTTATCGATAAGATAGAAGGTCCAAGGGGGATAACTTACCTTATTATGGTAGCAATAAGATAGGTAGCTGCTCAACTGTCCCTCGGGAGGTGCTCAGGCGTTGTCGCGGAGTGTTCTGTTGAGGGTGTTGCGGCAGTTGAGGTTCACAAGAAACAAAGTGTGAAATCATCGACGTTGAAGAGCCCCACAATTAAGATGCCAAGGAATCATCGATACCTTCAATGACAACAAAAGCTGGGCCTTCAACGTTCATATTTAAAGCAAAAGTAAGAAGAGTTCTCCCTTCGTAATGCCTGTTAAATCTCCCAGCTTATCCAAGCAAAATATGATCGATCATCATTGACCGCTATGAGTCCCTCGGCGGGCAATATAGGCCGGCCGTGACGCATGCTTTCCATTAACGTCTTTCGTCTGGTCGGTAGCCCCCATGCCAACACAGTGACCCTGACACTCAACCGCAACATTTTTCATAGTCGTATATTGAATCCCGGTTGGAAGGTATTTGTTGGCCGAAAAGCATGGCGTTTCATAAATCTCACCTGCATTTTACATTCTTCTATTGGGCCAAAGAGAATAGAAATGTATGGGTGTAGATTATAAAGAGTTGTCCCGCTCCAAGGGTTAGGGATCAGCGTGTAATCACAGAGGGGTCATGTAAGGCAGTGCAAGATTTGTGGGAGAATTGCTTCATGGACCATGAGCTACACGTCAAACTCTTGATGTGATGTGGATCTGGAATGAACTCCATGCTCAATAAATTTGTTTTCGAAGCAACCAACTAAAGACACCAACGCCAAAAATATGAACCGCTTCCGAGTAAAATGCACGAACCGCCTATGTTTCGCTTCCAAAAACCCAACCGAAAGATGTGATAATGCATGTATGACTCCTTTTTTTCTTCCACATCTTGAGTCGTTTTCCCTTTTCCGTTTCCTTCCAGTCGACGTCTCCGACGTTGTGTAAATTGAGTAAAACAAAAAAAAAAACAAAAAAAAAACCGTTCTTCGAAACGCTCGTCTTCAGATGGATACCACTTCAGGGGAACGGCGAAGGTATCAGACAAAAAAGCAAAATGTCTGGGCCGACTCATCTTCATCCCTAAGTGTGACCGCCTCCTCTTCCTCTTCACATGTAAGGAGCTCCTCTTCGTCTCCAGATGGATACCGCCTCGGGAACACGGCGTAGGAATGAGACCACCTTCTCCTCTTGGGGGACGAGCAAAATCCCTAGGCCAAGTCCTCTTCCTCCTCCTCCACCAGGCCGCGATATTTCATCTCCACCACCCAGTGATCCTCAAAATCGATGCCCCTACGCATCTTCGTCCCCGCCTTCTTCCACATGGCCGGTCCCAGACCCAGATCGACCAGGTAGAGCTTCCACTCCAGCACGGCATCGTCTGGCAACGAGGTATCCCCGCCAGCCAGCACCGTATCCCCATCATCGTTCTCCGCCGCCATCAGCGCCTCAAGCAGTCCACGCTTGGGTGCGCCAACGGTCACGACGTAGCGTGGCTTGACATATAACTTGTTGCCGTCAATAACGCTAACCTTGCCTGTCGATGGGTCGATGCCCGTGGGAATGTCGACCGCAAGGGCAAACGCCTCATTACGGTTGGCCCACTCGATCAGCTCATAGACCGTCGCCTGGTCACCGTTTCTCAGTTCCTCGAAAGAAATCGCCAGGCCCAGCAACGCGTCGATAATGAGCATAATAGGCGCGGGGTTGGCGAGGCTGCTCAACGACGAGCGAGGTGTGTCGATGGTAAGCATAGGAATACTGATCTTGCGGAGGTGCTCAAAGAAGTCGCTCTTGGAGAAGATGCGCCCACCCATGTTTTTGTAGAGGCGAACTTGCTGGCGCATGTCTTCGAGGAGATCGCGCTCACCACGCTCAAGGCCAACCACGCACACGATGACATTAATATTCTTGTTACGAAGATGCCGGGCGGCGGCAACGGCGCGAATGCCAGATTTGTTATTGCCGGCTAGGACAACAACCGTCGGAGGTGGTGGGTTACCGGACGTAGGATCGACGATGCTCGAGTGGCGCACCTTGATAGCCGGGTCTGAGAGTGCTGTGAGTGTCACCTCTGCAATGCCACGTCCAGCATTCTCGGTCATCATCTCCTCTGTTAGACCAATCTCGTTATGTGCAATGTTCTCTAGATTGAGCATTTGCAGAGCCGAGACGGGCTCGATCTTGCGATTCGACGGGAGCACGTAGAGACCCTGCGGACTTGCCGCAACCGCTGACGCCGGTTGCTTCTTTTTGTCAATGACAGCTGCCCTTGCCGAGAGCCGACTACTTGGCCGACTGCCCTTCGCTGATAGGGTGCGGTAGTGGCTTACACCAGATGAATTGACTCTGCTCAAAGGGTGTGCAGCCGGGACGCCGCTCGCTTTGCGGGAATTCGACCTCCGGCTGGAAGCCGCTTTGCTTTCGCCCCGGCGTGACCCTTGCCTGCTCGCTTGATCTCTCCCACTCAATCGGTCGGCTCCGTTGATCACTCCGTCGTCTGCTTCACTATTCCAAAAATCGTTGGACGTCTCCTTGACGATCGGTTTCGGCTTCAGTGTCGAGGTGGAGGATGGCATGTCGAGGACGTTTTCCGAATGGTGCAGGTTCTTACCCCCAGCGGTACCCGGCTTGTGCTTGGGTAGACGGTTGTGCGATACCAGGCGGTCAGCCTCGTCAACTAGATCATCTTTGCGCATTTGTTCAAACAAATCTTGCTTGTTAAACTTGGCAAGGCCAGATTCGAAGTCGAAGTCGCCTGCTTCTTGCACATCAGTGACGTCTTCCGAAGCCCAACCGTTGTCATTCGCTCCTCGCATCTTCTTCAACGAATTGAAGGGCTGGAAGGAGGAGGTACTCTGCAAGATAGGCGTCTGCCTCCAGCCTTTGCCCTTGGCAGTTACGCGAGGGACCTGAGGAGACGCCTCTGAATCTTCTTGTAGCCCATTCCGCGAGTTGTTCCCAGCCCTGCGTGGCCGTCTGTTCTTCTTCTTCTGAGCAGCTGCGGATCCTTGCTGCGAACCAGCGTCAGGTGCAAGATCTTCGTCGGCAGACTCTTGGATACGGGTTTGAGCGTCAAGCTCCAGGCGTCTCAGCCTATCTACCACGGGGAGAGTCGGTGTGGCAGTGGCCGAGGGGATGGGTACGACATTATTCGACGGTGGGATAATAGCCGGGGTCGGGTCTCTCTTCTCACTCGTATTAGGTTGGTGACGGGAGGTATCCGAAGTATTACCTGACAGAGAGCCAGGGCGCTTCCCCATAGACAGAATAGCGGGATCCACAAAGGCTGCTGGCTTGGTGGGCGGCGGCGGCGGTTGAATAACAGGAGGGGCGGCCTGCGGAATGGAATGGTGAACGGCGTGAGGAGGGGGCACCGGAGGGGGCCCGACGGTTTGGGGAGAAGGGTCTTCGCGCACATAGACAATGTCCACGATGTTCGAAGAAAGGATGGTGACTCTCGGCTCCCACCGTCCAATATCGAGATTCCAGACTAAGAAAAGAGATTCATGTTAGCAAAGGCGAGCTTCGAAAGACACGAGGAAGGGGAAGAGAAAGAGAAAAGGGAAGAACAGACCATTCGTCAGGGTCAAACCGTGCCCAGCCTGTACTTCACTGACGGTGCCCTTCAGTCTCGCCGGCGGGTTACGCATGGTAACCAGCATTGGAAGACCGATGAATGAATCCTCCGCCATGGCTGCGAACTGTCCGGGGGATGACGATGTAGACAAAGAGACGGTTCCGGATAGGTAGAGAGCGAGAGCAAGAGGCGGGATAGATTGATGTGCAGTAGCAGTAGATAGATCGACCGTTGACAGCAACGGAACAAGCACGGTCGGCCAGTTATCGAGGCACGGTGTCGGTAGGTAGGTTGGGAAAGGTGTGCGATCTCTCGTCGGATCCGACCTTTGCTGTCTGGCCCGGGCTCTGACTGCGATGCGACAGCCGACAACGGTGGATGCGGTGCGGTGTGGGGGTGCAGCACCTGGTGCCTTTTGGACACTTGAGATGGCAAAGGGACGCGCGACGAGGCTGGATCGATGTCGGAACAGTGTTTACGTTTCGGAGGAAGGAGACGAGTCGTGAAGTCGGATGATGGGATCGTGCCAGAGACTGGGAAGGTGCCAGTCCGTCGCCCGGCGATTTTGGTGCCAAGTGAAGGTCGCGTCCTGGCTTCCCCCTTCCACTTTTTGCTTATCGATAAGCAGCCGACCTTGGTGGTGAGTGACGGGAGCTTGCACAGGGTGCGACAAACCTTGGCAACCGCCATCGGTCGGTGTACCGGTACACGCGTCTGGCACGTAAATTACAGTGCGAATTGCCGTCTCTGCGGGACATGCACGTGAATATTAGGAGAAGGCGTGCAACTTTGCATATTACGGTACAACATGTCGCACAATAGAGCACTGTAACTTACCGCTCACGAAGTGCCCGCAGTACCTACTTGGTTGTAGTGTAACTGCCAAATGAACGTGATGCAGTGATCTACGGCGAACCTTCTCGGCGTCGAGTCACTTCCCCGTCAATGTTCTGGCCAATCTCCAAAATGCAAACAGCACAGTTGAAAGTACACATACAAAGATAGAGGTACACGACCCTGACAAGGGGACGGGGGCCAGATGCGAGTGGGCGGCTGAATGAAAGGGGAAACACATCTGTGTTTCACGACGTCTGCCAACGAAACCACTCACAAAGCCCCTAACCCTTAACAAAGCATGACCTCCAGGTTGTGGTGTTGTACTTATACCAACACATTGTTTGTAAAGGAGGAAGGGAGGCCAGTCGCTTGCAGCTGATCTTCAGTCTTGTGGTTGTTCGGGTAGTAGGTCATTTGCAAAATGTAGAAAGGAGTTGTTGTTGTTGTTGTTGTTGTTGTTGTTGTTGTTATGTTTAGGAACAATGCCACGCGAGCCTAGATCTACAGGTATCTCTGTATGTGCCTGGTCGTCTTTCTTGCACTTTTTACAATTGTCGATAACCGAGAGGAGATATACCTCGCCGATGAACCCGATATCTGCCAGATTACCATCCGTTGCTGACTGCATGCTCCTCTGTTTGGGTATGAGTTGTTGTTCCCCAGCTCCCAAAGTACCAGCTCGCCTGGGGCCGCCTTTTTTTTTTTTTCCATAAACATGTCCATCTAACCGATACAATAAACCAAAGTCAACCCTCGGCACAACGACCTTGACGCCGCTCAAAATAACAGTCAAGTCAACCATAACACCGCCTGATGCTGCCATGATGATGTTCCTTCCTTTCTTTTATGAACCTCCCTCGCTAATGTCGACTATCAACCGTATCCCGCCATCCTCTCCTCCTCGTCCTCAATGTCAATCACTTCTCTTCTTTGCTGGTGTTTCGCAATCGTTTGCGCGACAGACGGAGTCTTGTACGCGAACTTGGTGATAGACTGGTCCACCTTCGTTCTCTTCTTCACTGCCGACTCGGCGCTATAAAGCTTATTGTAGAAGCTGACGACCCGTGGGTGCGCCATGACCTTGTCCTTTTGGAACCGGAGCACCTGCAGACCCTGCTGCGTGGTGGCTCTACTGAGCGCGACGTATGCCTGTCCCTTTTCAAAGACCCTCCCAAGATCGACCTTGACGCGTTCAAGCGTTTGGCCCTGCGCTTTATGGATCGACAGAGCCCATGCAAGAATCAGAGGAAGCTGCTTTCGAGAAGCTTGGACCTCGCCAGTAGGAAGTTCCACCTTCCAATCCTCCGGTTGACATAAAATGTCTCTCCTGGTCCCATCGACGGCGTGGAATCGCACCAACGGGTACTCTGTGTTGTCGCCTTTTTCGATAGCGGCAGTAGAAAGAGCGCTAGTGAAGGCCCTGATTCTTCTCTTCTTATCGATATCTTCATCGTCATCAAAGTCACTGTTCGCTTTCAGCTCAAACGTTGCTTCGTTCATGAAACCGACGACAGTTCCAAGAGAGCCGTTCACGAGCGTCTCGTCCATGTTCTTGATGAGCATGACCTGGGCATCCTTCTTTAATTCTATTACGGGAGGAGCCATCATGTTGGCAAGAAGCTTCTCACGGACCGCCGGTTCGCCAGTGTCGTACGCTTCGTACCGGTAGACTTTGCCCTTCAAAGCAGCGAGTCGTTGCCTGTTCGAGTTCTCAACTTCAGTTCTCGTCGGGAACAGTTCTGTTACTTCTAGCCCGTCACTAAAAGATAGAGGTCTGCTAAGTTGTTGGAAGTTCTTGACAGTCTTGTCACTGATTCTTCCCAGCCGCATCTCGTTGAGCATCTCTGCGAATTCTGTAACTTGTTAGTCGTGCGCTTTGCTTGATATCTCGGGCTAAGACCACTTACCAGGATCCCTCTGGCGGAACACTTCAGTCAACCCAATGGTATGGTCAATGGACATGTTCCATGTTGTTGCATCAAAGGCAAACTTAACATCCCTCTGCTTGTTAAGATCTTTATCTGGCACGGGAGGCAGCTGAAAGAAATCACCAGTGATGACCAGCTGGATACCACCCCAAGGCCTGCCGTTGTTTCGGATAGTTCTGCCGATCTGGGACAGCTTATCAAAAAGGTCGCCGTCAACCATGGAAATTTCGTCGATGATGAGAACCTTGGTTTTGAGCCATCGGTTTTTGGCCTTCGGGTTGCGCCTGATTTTCTTGACGAGCGTTTGGACATCCTCCTTGCCGAGACCGATACCAGCAAAGCTGTGCAATGTCATGCCGCCAATATTACATGCCGCAAGGCCGGTCGAGGCTGTAACCGCAACTCTTTCCGGCTCTCGGGCAAACTTCTTTTTGAGTTCCGAGATGATCGCTCTCATCAGCACCGACTTTCCTGTACCGGCCGGACCCGTAAAGAAGACACTTTGACCCTTTTCCACCACCAAGCTCTTTACGTGAAGCTGTTCACCGCTCAATGTAATCGCTGACGCCTTGCTAAGGTGGGACGAAACGACCTTTTTGATCTCGTCTATGAGTATTTCCGTTTTGGGAGCGACTGAGGAAGACTTTTGCCTATCTTTAAGCTGCTTCTTCTGCTCCTTGACCGCGCTTGCCGTAGTGTTCCATAGCATGGACCCCTTGGGCTTCGGTTCCGGCGTGGGAGCATACCCGCTCCTCTCCTGTAGGTATTCTTCGGCATGTGCATACTCCTCCTCCCCATCCCAAGGTAGTTCGCGCTTCGGCTTCTTCACAGCGGCGGGCGGCTCAAAGTCGACGTCATCGTCATCGTCTTGTAGGCGGTCGCGTTTCGTGTTGGTATTTGGAAGGGGGTTGAACTCGCGCTTCGGGGGTTGGAGATGTGATGGCGAAGACTCTGGCCAAGAAAGTACGCTGGTATGGGTACCTGGCGGGGGCTCGCGGAGCCGAGCTTCTTTTGCTTCCTCCTCCTGTTGTCTTCGCATTTCCCGATGCTGTTCCAAGTTCATCCGCTGAGGTGGAAGTTCGGGCAAGGCGGATGGGGCTTCGAAATCCAAGTCCAGGTTCTCGTCATCGCTGAAATCGTCATCCTCAATATATACCGAGGAAGTCAGATCGTGCTGTGGTCGCTTTGTCGCTTGGGTTGTCAGATCAATCACATCTGGGGTATCATTGAAGGAATCAGAAGCGTTATAGAGCGAGGCGAACGCTCTGCTACTGCCACCGTAGTTGGGAGATGGTCGCGGAGCGCTATTCGCGGGTCGAGTGGTTAACGGGTCGTTAGTCGCTGAAGGTCGTGAACTGGCGGAAATGGCACCGTTCGAGGTACCACCGAACCCAGGTTTCTTGAACATGTCGGCGACGGAGGTCCTAGACTGAGAGGCGGCTGAAGGGGCGCGTGCGGGACTGCTCGAGGGAAAGAGTTGCTGCTTCAGCGAAGGGTTGTTATTGTTGTTGTTGATGGACGAAGCACCGGGCTTCGGCTTGTTGATGTTGTTGTTGACCTCGGCGGCCTTTGCTTGGACTGCCCTGCCAAACATAATGTTGTTGTTGTTGTTGTTGTTGTCTTCTTGGTCGTAGAGTGCTTCGAGTGGGAAAGCGGCGTACTTGGGGGCAGAGTTGTGTACATGGGCGCGCGAAGGTACGCGGTGCACAAGGACGGCTTGGAAAGTTGACCAATTTGGCGAAAGGTTGTGGTTGATGGTGGCCCGGTGCAAGAGCAGGTGGTGACCGGCAAGCAGCCCAGTCTTCATACAGCTTTCGACCCCTCGTGGGCGAGAGGGATGGGGCCACCACTTTTGTCCAAAGTGCTAAGGTATCGCTGCACGCTTGTTGCAGTATTAACCCTTTCGGTCGATTTGGGCGAGAAGTCTTGACTCGGATTGGATCATTGAATTCCAGTTGTCATTTCCTTCCATTTGGTTCAAAAAATGGCACATCGTAGCGATACCAGTTAACGCGTTCGTCAAGGAAAATCGCGTTCGTTTGATTTCAATCAACGCGAAGGACCGTGCACGGAGCGATAGGGATGCATGTCAGTGGGTTCTTGGTGAGGGGCTCCCCTGCAAATATTTGCAGTGCCCCTGAGGTTTTTGGGGTGCAACCATGGCAACCGCGGTGAATGCCCAGGGGCCAAAACATCCCGGAATTTAAACAAACCCTCACCTCGGTGAGAGCGCAAAAAGGTACCTGCGGAACATGGGTTGGCCATGTCCCTAACTGCTAACATCCACATCGCACTGCACCTTTGTGCGGCTACGATGACGTACTTATGTCACCACCTCAAGCCGAGTTGAACCCGTCTGTAGTGTTGAGGAAAATATTCATGGGGCTTGTGTCAATTTGATCTCCTCACCTCTAATACGAGAATCCTCTCACATGCTGTTTTCTTCCCTCTCCTATTGCGCACTAGTGGAAGAGATCAGTGAAGAACAACTCTGTCTTGCTTACAGCCATAGAATAAGTTCTTGATGATGTGCACAACTGAAACTATCTGATAAAAACTGGCGGTTAACATGGACGCAGATACACAACAGTGATCGTCACCCGTCTGATAACCCTTACTCCTACACTACCAGTTACCGGAGAACCTGAGGGGTATAGGATCCAAGTTGGCGGGCCCATTGAGATGAACAATCCACGGTCCGCGTGACGGCCTGTGTTGTCATACCTACCATTTCCAGAACATTTTCTGCGAACACTTTCCCATGGGCTTCCCAATCGGACGGGTCTCACCACGGAAATGTTCATCGTCGGACATGCCGTTGCACTAAAGGCGGTGGTCGAGGAGGATTCCTGGGCTACGTATCCGGCCACCGCCAACTCAAAAGATGGTTTCAAGTCACTGCTAGTACTGTACAAGTGCCGTTCAATTCGTCAAATCGACGTGACCTAGACCCCTTGTGGAACCGTAACAGAGTACGGGCACTACTATTTCTCTCTCCCACCCAAGGTTAGCGGTTGATCACAGATATACGAAACAAGAGAAATACCTCTGCCTCTCTCACTCATTACCAGTAGGTGAACCACAGTGGCGCAAGGACAGTCAGTTCCGCGAATGTAAACCGGCAATTCTCGAGACATCCCACGCCTCCACATGATCACCCAGCTTCGACTTTTTTCCTTGTTGGCCGAGGATGTCCATTCCCTGTGATGCCAATGCTTGGCCCCGGCAATCACGGTCGCAGATAGGTTCTTGGATATGAGCTTGACCAAAAGTCAAGAGAAAGCTTTCTGCCGAGAAGCTTTTCAATGGGAGGTTGGCATTGTCTGGGCGCATGACCTGGCAGCGGGAGTCAGATCTCGGGGATCTCGCTTGGGAGTGAAGTCGATAATCTGACGACGACATTCAAAAGGGATATGATGGATGAAAGGCCGGCGACTTCGGTTTGATATAAGTTGGACTTGGTCTACACAATCCACACCACACAAAACACCATAATGGAGTCCGAGTCGGATGCAATAACCCCATACCAAAACGTCATGGTATAATTGGTAATACACTTGCCGATTTCCGACTTTGTGTTTGCAGATGAAGACAGGTCGTCGACGGAATCTATGAGTCGGACAGCGGTCGGACGTTGTCGTGCCGATTAACAACTTAAGTACGTAAGCACTATCTTCAGCCTCCTTTACCGTACTTCCAGCTACCATGCCACCCGTTCGGCGTTCCTTGGCCTTATCTTTAGGAGGCTTCCATGACGATCGAGACTGGTCGTCGTACGGTACCTGGGAGGATGGGAGGTGTGTTGACGGGTTTGTCACAACCGGACACTGACAGACCTCGGGCATGGTCTCATTGAAAAACAAGACCGCTATTTCGAGATCCCATCCCTTTGAACTTTGTTGCACGGCCGAATGACAGGAAGCCCGGCCCTCCGCAGCCTCTTTGTGACCCCCGTGTTACTGCAACCAATATGCCGTACAGCGATACACAAAAAACCAAAGATGGACTATGCATTGCAGGATGCAGCCTGTAATCGGTAATACCGGATTCTCTCAGACCCCATCCCATCACCAGACTTCTTTAGTGCAGTGGGGTGCATAGCATGCTATGGTGGTCGCTGTGAGATGGATGGAAGCAGGAGGTTGGTTCCCGTCCCCATGAAAGGAAGTCCCTAGGTTTCTGCTTCCTGTGAAAGATGCCCCACCGGGATTCCAGCTTTTGCAGCGATGCCGTTTAGCCACCATTGGGGACCGCTCCATCAATCCAACATTATGATTGGCTGTCTCTCGACCGCCAAGGTTATTTTGACGATATCGGACCCACAAGAGCAGTCGGGATTGAGCACGTCCACTTACAAAGTTGCTTAAACCATATGCGTTGGTACTGTGCGCGCAGACCGATGCTTGTGGCGCAGACGCCTTCCTGGCCTTCTTCTCCATGACGGCCCATGGATGATGGATCATATCCTGCCAGTCAATGTTGCCAAAAGAAAATCTGCCTCTCTTGGCAGATGATAACTCTGCCGGCCTCTGCCAGGTTCTCGATGATTTTTATCGGGTGCCATTCCCCTCCTTCAATGTTGACCTTTCTTCCATCGCTTTCTTCCTTCTTTTTCTTTTCGGAAGCATTGCGCGGTGTTCCTTGTTGATCACTGCAGTCCGCCACCTCAAAGCACCACTCATTGGCACCTTTAGTGGCTCTGTTTACGACCATCAACCCACTACCTACTACGACGTCTCAGTACTTTTCAAGTTGAATCGCGACTGGTAACGGAAAGCAGCTGAGGATTTCTGCCCGCTTATCGAGGTCTCGCTGTTCGGTTGCGACTGTTATCAGGTCTTAAAGGTCTAGGCTATCATCACACTCGGTAGCGACTGCGCCGACAACGCAACTTACTACCTTGACGACGAAAAGCGCCGCCTTCCCGCACCAAGTGACGTCGCTGCTCCCATCCTATTTGGCTTGGCGCTCGATAATCGAATTCGACCAAAAGGGGGAACTCGGGGAGAAAGACAAACACAAAGTTTGCAAGGCACAAACAGAATCCTAACCACAGTCCGGCGCAATTCTGCGGCTGCTCTTCCGCCCTTCGCTCTACGAAATCCGATATCCTTCGACAGTCGTTTAGCATCCCTCCGTGGCACAGCTACCTAATACCACGCCGCCTCACTCCTGTACGCTACAAAACCCCATTGGATTCCGGTTCCTGTCCAGGTTACTGATTGGCTATTTGTTGGTTGTAACAGCGTTCGTGCTTCGTCTTGGTTCTTTCTTCCAGAAACGAAACACAGGCGCATCATCTCCAGAACACCCCACCCGGTTCAGATATACAACAGCAGGGCTGAGGCTGAGTCAGGATTCGCCTGCGCGCGCCACTAAGTCATCATCGGGCAACGGGCGAATATCGGTTGACCGGGACATTGGGGGTTCCCCGGCCTAGAGAAAAAAAGGAAAGGAAACGAAACAAGTACCGGTCCCGTCTGCGAGTCGGTACCTCGGGCCTTGAACTATCGCAGGGCCATCCCGTCCCACTAGCTCCGATCTCTCGGACCCTGTTCCTACGAAGGACCCCAGGTCGCCAGCCTCCTCCACCCCACAACGAAATCGAAGGAGGAACATATCAAATCTTTTTGTTTCTGGGCAGCAGGTCAGAGTGAGTCGCCTTTGTTCGACTTTTCGCCTTCTGGTCTTGCTCATCAACAGTATAACCCTTCGACTGTTGCGCCAACTACCTGCGGAGCACACGACAACAACCCCGAGTTTTCTTACGGCTTGTCCGTACAAAACCGGACGGCAAGATGGCGTGGGACAAGCTTTCCATCACCAGGCCCCACCTGGTCTACATCATCCTGGGCGGCTTTACCTCACTATTCATGCTGTGCTCTTCCATCATCAAGGAGCGCATGTACATTGGTGAAGCAACTGTGGCCACACTCTGCGGCCTCATCTTCGGCCCTCATGCCGCCGACCTAATAAACCCCATGGAATGGGGTAATCTAGATATCGTTACGATCGAGTTTTCGCGTCTCGTTCTCGTCGTCCAATGTTTCGCCGTCGGAGTCGAATTGCCGAAATTCTACATGGAAAAGCACTGGAGATCCGTCACCTTCCTTCTTATTCCTGTCATGCTCTGGGGCTGGCTGATCACCAGTCTTTTTGTCTGGTGGTTGATTCCACCCCTGAACTGGCTAGACGGTCTGGTTGTTGCTGCCTGCGTTACGGCTACGGATCCCGTTCTCGCTTCATCCGTTGTCGGCAAGGGCAAGTTCGCAAAGAGGGTGCCCAAGCATTTGCGAGATCTGCTCTCTGCGGAATCCGGCTGCAACGATGGCATGGCTTTCCCCTTCGTCTACCTTTCTCTGTACCTCATTCTAGACCACCGTGACGCCCGAGACGTATCCTTCCATTGGATCGTCTTCACCGTTCTCTACGAGTGCGTTTTTGGTGCCATCTTTGGCTTCCTGGTCGGCTACATCGCCCGCCACGGTATCAAGTATGCAGAGAGACATGAGCTGATTGACCGAGAGAGTTTTCTCGTCTTCTACTTCGTCTTGGCCCTCTTTTGCGCCGGGTCTGGCAGCATCCTAGGCGTGGATGATCTGCTTGTCGGTTTCGCTGCCGGCGTCGGCTTCTCCAACGACGGTTGGTTCACAAATAAGACGGAGGAATCTCACGTATCCAACGTCATTGATTTGCTCATCAACTTGGCATACTTTGTCTATCTCGGCACCATCATTCCTTGGGAGCAGTTCAACAACTTCGAGATCGGACTGGGCGCTTGGCGCCTGGTCGTTCTCGCCATCATGGTCATTCTCTTCAGACGAATTCCCATCATGATGGCTCTGAAACCCTTTATACCCGACATCAAGACATGGCGCGAGGCTTTGTTTGCTGGTCACTTCGGTCCCATTGGTGTCGGTGCTATCTTTGTCGCCATTCTGGCGCGTGCTGAGCTGGAGCACGAGGATCCAGTCCCCCTTGCCGATATCTCGAGCATTAACCCGGCCAATCCGCACTTCCACCTGATCCGATTGGTGTGGCCCATCGTCACCTTCTTAGTGGTGTCTTCGATCATCGTTCACGGCTCATCAGTCGCCGTGTTTACGCTCGGTAAACACATCAACACCCTTACCATCACCATGTCATATACGCAAGCCAACGAAGATGGGCCTACCTGGATGAACCGCTTGCCCCGCATCACTTCAGTTTCCCGCTCTCAAGCCAGGACCATGTCGGATACTGAAGACGAAATGAAGATGCCTGAGTTCCCCCCTGGCACGTTGCCTCCTACTGGTATTCCCGGTACCTTCTTGCGTCGCCAGAAGGAAGAGGATAAGGAAACTGGCCGCCCTACGGGGAGCCGCTCATCATCGGCTAATGGTCGGCGTCGGAGAAAGAGATGGGATGACGGGATCGGACCTGGAGGCCCGATTAGCCAGTCAGCAATCTTCCCGCAGCGCCGAAGCCAAAGCGAACATGCACTCGGATCGGCTCCTGATGAGATGTCCCCTGAGCCATCTGACGCTACGCGCTTGTTACCTTCCGATGCCTTGACTATGCGCCGCCCGGCAAGAAAGAGTGAAAATGAAAGATCATCTGATGAAACAGCCTCCCCCGATGACTCGCCCACCTCTGGACGAAAGGATCTCGAGTATTATGATGAAGGCGACCATGTCATTGTTGAGGATCGCGAAGGAAATGTTCTGGCCGTGGAACCCCCTGTCACCGGCGAAAGCACGAACCCAGTGGAAGCTCTCAAAAAGAAGCTTGAGGGTGAGTCTGGGCCATCGGGCTGGAGCTATGATGCCTTGAAGAAGAAGATTCAGAACTGGCGTGAGGAGGAAACGGCAAAGCGCAAGGACAAGGAGAAGTCTACTCGGAGAAGCGAACCGGCCAGAGCGTACCAGTTCGGTACAACGGTTAGTACTGCTGATGCATTCCCTATGCGCCTATTTAACTAACATTTTGATGCAGATTATTGTTGAAAACGAAGATGGTGAAGTTCTCAAGAAGTATGAACTGCCTGGTTCCGGAAAACCAGAAAACGATTTTGTTTCCCAGAGCTTGAAGTACATGGGTATCAACAAAGCGGAGAAGTCGCCGGTCGCAGGAGCCGCAGCTGGTGGCGAGGGCTCAGCCACCAGGCCGGCCAAACCAACGAAACGTCCTACATGGGCTTCGGCCGTTGTTGGTGGTGGCGATGCTTCGAAAAAGAAGAATGCGGAGGAAGAACAAGAAGAGGACGACCGTCATATTCGCTTCACTATTGGTGGTGTTAGTCAACGCATGAACAAGGAGGACTTTATCAAGGAGATGCAGAAGTTGAACAAGAGCACCCGCAAGGAGATTGTGGACCAGTCCAACGCATCGAGCGCTGTCAAGAACCTAGCCAAAGCGGACCTTGCGCCTAAGCAGCCACAGCAACCGCAGCAGCAATCACAGCTGACGCAGCGCAGAGGATCTCCTGTTGGATCCGTCAAGTCCAGCCATAGCAAGGGTAGTTCTACAAGACAAGGGCGTCCTGAGAACCTGGAGACGATGAGCGGAGGCAGCAGCGCTGAACGCAGTGAGTCACCATCGAGGTCGAGGTCGAGGTCGCCTTCGCTCTTGACGGGAGAGGGAGAGTCATCAGCCCCAAGCAGAGACGTCCCAGAAACAGCGGCAGAGCGGAGACGTAGGCTAGCGGTGCTCCAGAGCGTTGGGGACGACGGAGAAGGAGAGCACGGTGAGACGCCGGCGGAAAGACGACGCAGAGAGGCTGCTCTCGGCATGTCTTCGGGCGCAGCGGAGGACGAGGATAGCGAGGATGATGATACCCCCAGGATTCCGCCGCCGAGGAGAGGGATCCGGTTTGCTGAGCCGACCAAGCGGGAGGTATGAGTTATGGAACTGATTGACTGACTTGGTGAATAATGTTTGGTACGATGGAGGGATTGGCATGAAAGAAGTGCATATACGAGGTCTATGGACGATAAAATGGAAGAGTAATGAGATGGGGAACATTCAGGGCGGTTTTTTCTTTTGTTTTTGTAATGTTCAGTTTTCTATATAGATATTTTGAGCGAGGAACTGTACATGCAGCGCCGGCAATATCAAGATGTCATTGACGATCAACTTGGATGAATCTCGTGTGTGTGGCTATCTATGTGAAGACCAAACTGACTTTGAACTCTATTCCTTCAACATGTGGATGGCATGACGTTGCATCCGCCAAGTACTGCAGTGGTGGAAAATGGGGGAGTTGGATAATCTGGGGAAGTACATGTACTTGTACCCAACCGCTTAATCCTCGGTCCCGTGACTGAACGATTCCTTGATATGGCCTAGCGTCCGATAAGAAAACTCGTCATGGTCGGTGCTTGCGAAACTCGAGCGATTCGAGGTCCAACTTTTTGAGACTCCCAGCTCACTGTCCACTGCAGTGTCCGTCCCGCAGAGTTGCCCGTCGAAAAGCAGGTTGTTTTGCCCACACGCTGTGCCTGTATCCACTTATCCGATTTCTCCGATTTCCCAATTGCACTGCAACGAACATCCACAAACCCGATAACATTACCTCGCTTCGGGTCCAAGTCACCACCATCGCCAACGACACTTTTTTCCATCCATCCCACCACCTACCCACCCACATAATTCAAAATGGTCCAGCTTACCGAGGTCGAGGACGAGCACTTCCAGCAGCCGCAGGTCGGCCCTGAGGAGGATGACGAGGATTTCACTGACACCGGTGAGTGAAGCATTCCTCTTACTGTCGAGGACAAACAAAGAGAGGAGTCTCGGGCTGGAGGGGTTGTAAGCACTTGTGCGACTACGTCACTGTCGCCATCACCTACTACCGACGATGCCATCGCGAAGCCACCCATCCTATATCATGCCGACGCGACGCCAACGCCGAAACGACAACGTCCGAGGCACAGTTACCAGCGAACATGAATATACCTATCTATACCTATACACACACCTGTCCTCAACATGCAACAACACACTCCCGAGTCCTACCAGCCCAACAACCCACGCGCCATACCACCACCCTCCTACCCAGCTTAAACCCCTCTAGCCCCGGGTCCTCTCGATACATCACATCACCATCTTGATCCCGTCCCTCTCTCGAATCCAGACAGCCAGGCCACAAAGGCAAGACCCAAACCAACTAACCCCCCATAAACAGACTCCGAGATCTCCGTCGACTCCGACTACGAGCCCCAAGAGACCTTCACCGACCGCCTGTACGCCCTGCGCGACATGGTCAGCCCCACCACGCGCGGCTGGTTCTACCACAAGTACTACACCACCACCAACTTTGTCAAGTCCACACTCAGCTTCGCCGGCCGCGCCGCCTGGGCCGTTTCCGTTTCCGGTCTGCTGATCGGCGTCCCCTTCGCTATCGCCTTTGCCGAGGACCAGAACTACGCTGCCATGGAGCAGGAGGCGCGCATGCGCGAGTTGGGCAGTGATGTTCTTACCGCTGGTGGCGAGCAGGGACAGGCTGGCACCGCCGAGAAGACGCTGGCTGCCATTGGTGGTGAGGGCGCCAGGCCCGCGCTCTAAGGAGCAGAACCTTGAACAAAAAGAATGAAAAGCAAAAGGCGGGATGAACGAGCGAGGGATGGGAGTGGTCGTTGTGGGCCGGGGGATGTGAAAGGGGGGAGGGGAGGGATGGTTTGTTAAATGGCGACGGTTTAAAAGACCAGCGAGTTTCAGAATGGGAATAGCTGGGGGGACAGGGAGACCGAGGCTTGAGGTCTTCCGGCGGAGGGCCTTGTCGGATACACCAAATCAACCACCGATTTTCACAACATGACGCCGCCTGTTCAGATGCAAGGCACGCGAACGACGCCTACAGAGAACCCCGATTTATGGTCGAAGAGGGTAGAAGAAGACGATCATCCTTCTTATGCCGGCTCAGAATGACAGTCTCGCCATCCATCCATCTCTCGTCCGACGATCTACCGTTCTTTCTTCAAATCCCACTCACTTTTCCGGCTCATACTACCCGCACACTGTATATTATCTGGCCCCAGATTGGGTATTCTGGGTTGTCCGCCACTTTTGCATCTTTGTAATGGTATTCCTTAAGCGTGCCACGGGAATGGAAGAGGGCTCATAGAAAGGGAAATGCGGGAGGTGTAAGAGAGTATTCATTCATGATCTCCCCAAACGGCATTCTTATGACGAACAGACACACACCCCATATTCCCCTGCTGTACAAAAAGAAGAAACTTATGATTATGACTATTGTTCTGACATGAAAAGCGCGTCTATTGTTATGAAGGTTGAAGAAGAATCCCCCACTCCATATCGTTATTTATATTTCACACGTCTGTTTGTCTCAGGTCTCCAGTAACAATCCTTTGTCTAAAATCTGGGCACCGGACGTAATGAGAAGCTTGTGTAAAGTGTGAGAAAGCAAGTCAACAAATATGACTACTGCTACTATCTCGCGGATTTCCGAAAATGGGGCATGGCTGACATTACATTCTGACGAAATTTGATAAGTGTCGCATATTCGGCTACCATTATATTATGGAAAACCATGATGAGCTCGACTGTTTTCTGGTGTAGAAGAAGTCCGATAACGAATGTCAAAATTTAGGAAGAGAAAACAACACAAGAGAAAGAAAAAGAGAAAAAAAGAGAGAAAGGAGGGAAGGAGGGAAGAAAGCAAGAAGTGAAGAAAAGCCGTTACTTTTTTAAAGCATTTGAGACATGCCATAAAATAAATCCCCGGCGGAAGTATGGAACATGTGTCTTCTCGTTGTTTTCGAGTGGAAGCCACCAAGCTACCGAACCACGGGGCATCTCTGTAATAATGTACTGCAGTAGTAAATGTCCATTTGTAGTAGGCAACATGTCGCTCGCTATTTTTGTTTGATAATGTTCCATAACACCCAGATGCTACTACATCCATCAACTGTTATAACGAGAGAGATGGTAAGCTCGAAACAACAACACTCAACACTTCATCTCCCACACTAGACTCTACCCAACCGCCATGTTGCTCAACTTGGTATCATCACATCCTACTATACGACAATAGAACAAAGAACACTTGGCACACAAAAACTAGGGGTGCTCGAAGCAAAAGCAAAGATCAAAGAAGTCGAGTGGGTAAACAGTTTATTTATTAGACTTATATGAGAGAGTATAAGAACAGGGGGGAATCTTGACTATGTAGACAGACAGATAGGTATATGGATAGATTTAGACTGTACGTATGGAAGTCGGTCCACAAAGAATAGGATACAAGCAAGGGAAAAAAGAAAACAAGTGTAAAAAGCGAGTGTGGTACAGTGGGGTTATCTTTTTGTTTGTTGAGTGGGTATGTGTGATGTATATGTGCAAGGTTGTGACTGATGAATATCTCCGGTTGGGTCGGAGGCCGTTGAATAGCTTTCCTGAACCCATGTGCCTACCTAAGATACCGCCATGCATCCGTGTATCCAGGGTTGTCCAACAACGTATAGAGGTCATGTGTGAGAAGAAGTTAAAGGGAACAAAGGGGGTGTTGTAGTAGTTAGTCGTCAGACCAAGTAGTAAAGGAGTTTGACCGGTTGGGGTTCTAAAAGTTTCAACGCTTTTTTGTGCTTTCTCGCTGTTTCTATTTTTCATTCTGTTTTGGACTCTTGACAAAACAGTCTCATTGTCCAAAGTTGACATGGTTCCTGTGAGAATCTTGGAGTGCTATGTTTCGTTTTCGTTAGTAACATAATTATCTCATGATGGCTTGAAAAAAAGAAAAGAAAACCGAGAACTTACTCTTCAAAACAGTGAGCTGGCCGGTCCTATCTCCACAAGCAATTTGCAACCCGCTGCCCTCCTTGAAGTCAAGAACCACGCTGTTAGGCAGCTCTTGCATCTCCATCTCCGGCTCATAGGGCATCTTAAACTCGCTCATATGGAATCGCTTGACAGCCTGGGCCTGGAGCGAGGCCGAGACGTTCTGCGCTGGGCTCAGGATCAAGAAGCCGTGGCTGTCGAGGCACACGGTCCGACGCTTCCAGAGCAGAGTGTCAGGGAACTGGACGTTAACGTCGCCCATAAACGAGACGATGGTCGGCGGCTGAGGCTGCGAGGCTGGCTGAGGTGGCTGCTGCACCTGTGGTTGAGGTGCTGGCGGTTGAGCCTGGCGAGAAGGCTGGGGAGGCGTTCTGTGCTGCTGGGGAATGACCGTCCGTACTTCAGGGGGAGACATCGGGTTCTTCCTCGCGGGCTGGACTTCGGCGACATCCTCCTCGACAAGAGTGGGTGAAATGTTCGGCTGGCCGTTCTTGCGGTTGGGGACGATGTTAGACAGGCGGCGCATAAAGCGCGACGCACGACTTCCATCCTTCTTGCCGCTGGATGGGCTGAGAGTAGAATCAGCGTTCGAGTGACTAGATCCAAGTCGCCCATCTTCCCCGTGATATGGAGAACCGTGCTCGATTGACGACGCCTTGCTTCCAACACTATCGCGGCGAGACGACCTGAATGACGGGGCGGCCTGGACGGTCGACTGGCAGGACGGCGATCGGGGCGAAGCAAGACCGGCAGGCAACTCATCCGACGATGGGCCCTTGCCAAGTCGGTCCTTCATGAACTCCTTAACGACCGCCATGCCAGAGCGTTTGGTAGAGGTGGCATCGTCCTCCGCCATTACACTCTCTGGCCCTCCCTTCCTCGAGAAAGTACGCTGTTCCTCGGACTGGGACTGGTACTCTGGCGCGGTTTGCGACGGGGCGGAATGTTCACCGGACTGCATATCTAACGGAGACTGCTTCAGTTCTAAGCGCACAAAATCCGCTGGGTCAGCCTTCTTCGACTCTGGGAATTTTTGGTAAGGCTCTTTGTATGGATCTGTTCGGACTATGCGGGCGGTCACTTGAACCGGATCAGGCCTGCCCCTTGGTACGGCTCCCCCCTCAAACATGGAAAGTCGATTTTGTACGGATCCGGACCTACCAATCTGCGACTGCGGATTTGCTGATGTCCTGGCTCCCGTGATGGATGATGCTCTATCGGCGACGGATGGTGATCTTGACGGTGTCTCGCGCACACTGGGTTTCCGAACTGCGAAGAAAGTAGTAGCAGGTCGCTCTTTGGGAGCGGGGTCCGGCGGCCCAGCAGGGGAACCGGACAATGTCTGAAGTGCCTTGATTCGCTGCGAGATGCTCGAGCCAATCTTGCCGCTTACTGGCCTTATGTCTTGCTGTCCCGTTTTCTGGAGGAACGCAGCACTGGTCGAGAGAGATCTGGATGTACTAGCTTGGACATTCGCAGGCGAAAGCAACGTGTTCCTAACCGGACTGGATACAGTCCTCGAGAATCGCGGTGCGGATGAACCAGTCTCAATCATCGAACTTCTCTTGTATGACACGTCACCAGGGGACAATGAGCCAGGTGGCTTTGACACGGTGATCGGCTTGGCTTCTTGTACGGTCGCCGACTGCAACTCATCCATAAGCCTGTCGTCATCCGAAAAGCCGATCATCGATAACCGCTTGTCCCTGTCCACTCCATCGTAACCTGGTCGAAGAGGCTCGAATGCAGACTTTGGCCTCGCCCGGGGAGTCTCGACAGCCAATGATTCCCGCCGCTCTGGAGCCTCAGATTGCCCTTCCTGGGAAGACACGTTCACCTCGGGCACTTCACCCTGGCCTGGCGTAATAATTTCTGGAACTTCCCGGTTGGCCTCATCGGTCGAATGTTTGCTGTCCCGGGTCGAAAACCTGGAAATCGGTATTGGAAGTTCAGACGATGGTGATCCGTGGTCTTCGGCGTTTGTGGCTGCAGCAGAGTTGTTGTCGACATCTGGTGTGGTTTCTGCTTTCAATTCTGGGGAAATTGCTGCTTGGTTGTCTGCATCTCCCTCTGCATTCCGAGATGCGTCGTTTGATCCGGAGGACTTAGATATCGGTAAAGCCGGTGCCAAAGCTGCGCCTCCTTCCTCCCCTGCCGCAGCACTCTTAACCACAGTTTCAGGCGTTCTGGCCGTTTCTTCCTGGCTGTTTCTGGCTTGCGAGTCCGCCTTGGTTTCCGCCGCTAGCTCGTCCTCCTTTTCGACATCCTCAACTGACTGCGCGGGAGGTGCATCAGTCCGATCTTCAGTAGGTGCAGCTGCACTCATAGTTGCAGGCTGTTCGGGCAATGTTGGGGCGCCTTCGAGGCTCTGTTCCTGGTCGGCGAGAACGGTTTCATCTGTAGATTCCGAAAGAGAAGAAGCTTGTGTAGATTCGCCCAAATCTGATGAGGTCGCAACAGTTGCTACGGGTGAAGTTGGGTGAGAATCCGTGCGCGTATCAACTGGCGAATGATCTCCGCCAGCGACCTCCCTGTCCACTCCCGAGTCGCCCTGGGAAGTGGTTATTAAGGGGTTGTGCAACGATTGGGCTTCACCATCCGCGAGCCCCTGATTAGCGCTCTCGTGGGTTGCCAGTGGTGTTGTGACGTCTGAGGGTGGTTCTGAAAGCTGGAGTGAGCTTGGCGCAGAAGGTTCTTCGCCAGCACCTTCAGTAGTAATTGTTGGCGTGGAAATCGAACTCATCTTTTTCTTTTTCTCTCTCAGTTTCATCGCCTTCAGTAGCCGTGCCTTCTCAGGTGTTATGGCGGTCTGCTTGGTTGGCGGCGGCGGGGCCAAGGTGGGGATATCTAGCTTAATAGGGGATGCCGGGGCCATCTCACCGTCCACTCCACCACTAGAAATAGGCCGAGCGGATTCGGTTTCAGTGGCCTTGGCAGCAACCAGGTCCGCTGTCGAATCGGCCGCCAGGGATCTGTTTTCTGCGTCTTCCTTGATTGTCGACGACTCTAGCCGTTCTTCATCTTGTTCTTCAGCTCGGTTCTTTTTGTTCAAGGCTTTGTGAACCTTGAGGCCTACGGGGATCGACGATACCGGCCTGTTCTCCCCCGTTCCAGATGTTCCTGTTCGCGGTCGTCCGACGCTATCCACCGACGGCCTCGGTCCAAGCTTTACGCGCGGCTTGTAAGACCCGTAGCCGTAATAATCAGTTTGGCGAGAGCGAGATGACTGCGAGGACATGCGCCTCGCCGAGTCATCGATCGTGCTTGTGGGCGACGAGGGTCGCAAAACTCCGGCAAGAGAACGGGCATCGGCGTCGTGTGTTGCGTCTGGGTTGCTGGCGAGGTCCGAGTTCTTCGAAACACCACTCAAGGGATCTTCCCGGTTCCGTCGTTCCTCATCCGCCACTGATTCCGCCTCTTTCTCTTTTCGTTCTTGTTCTTCCTCCTCGGCAGCCTCCTCCAATAGTCTTTCGCGAAGGGAGTCCGTGATGGACGAGGTGGAAGCTGTCGACGTATGCAGCGAGCATGCGGCTGAAAGATTGGTGTCCTTTAGCTCTGGGGCGGAGGCGATCGAGAACTCGGTATCGTAGGGTGAAAGGGATTCGCAAATGGCATTGAAGTGAACGGTTACTCGAGCTAAACACGATTGGCAAGCCAGGTAAGTCTTTCCTCGCTTCAGACAATTTCATAACATGGTTATCCCTGGGGCAGATGAACGAAAAACACGAACCTTGAACCAACCTCGAGCAACCCTCAGGCAGGTACTTGAGGATGACATTGCGGCGCCTATATCGCATATAACCATACAACGGCGACTTATCTTCATACTCGGCAATCGCATTTCGTACCTCGACGATACCGCCGGTGCCCTGCCCTAGCAACTCGAGCTCATCACGACTGGCGTATTTTAGGAGGAACCTGGGCGCGGTAGAAACCGTGTTAGCGGACCGACGATGCTAGTTTGTGGCTCAGGGAAATAGCCGAAAAGAAGAGGAATAGAAGAGCAAGGTTCGATGGACGGCGCGATCTGGGGGATGAAGGAAGCCAGGCGCGTTGCGACAAGAAGGCGGGATCAAGGAACGATGGAGGGACAACACAGCAGTAGGACAGGACTTACCATCCTCCAGATTCGGCAAGCGCAGCCTCGTGGGCTTCCTTGACTGCAGGATTGTCCAACCCATTCAGCGACATGTCTGGTTATCTTTCCGGCTTGGCTTTGTCGGGCAAGTGACCTTGTTGGCCAACGTTTCTCGTCACAACTGCAGGCCGTTGGGAGCGGCTTGTTGATCTCTCGATATCAAATAGTGTGCTTTGTGCACCTGAATATGGTGCTGCGAGACGGGGAAAGCGCGGCGGGCGACAGCGATGGAGCAGCAGTTTTAGATCTCCTAGATCACCTCAGGGGTGTGCGTGGACTGATCTACCTCTACAGACCTGACGCGCAGTAGGTATAGGTACGGTACAACAGACGTATCCGGGCGCCAGGCTCGGGTGCGTGAGTACGCGACGTGTAGGTTAAGCGTCCGGTTATGTGGTTGCGGATGGATCGTGCAAGCTTCGTCTGGGTCTTTCTGGGTTGGACCGAGCTTCCAATTCATGAAGCACCTTATCTCCCACTTTAAGACTTTGTTGTAAGGTCTTGTGTCTCTCGGACGGTCGATAAAAAACGCGGGGAGCTGCCCTGTCTTTGGTGCTCAGGGCAGACGAACATGAAACCGGGGGTGGTCGCGCGAGCGTTGCAGTCGATGTCAGGCTCGGACGGTGGCCAGTGAGGTTTGTGAGGGCGTCAGACAGAGAGAAAGTATAATTCGTGGGTGGGTAATATTCGCAAGGTTCGTTTCGGTTTGTTCCTGGAGCAACGACGAGCTTTGGTTGTATACTGGTCGTACCGAAGGTAAGTATCGCAAGCTCGAAAGGCAGGCCAGCCCAAGAAAGAATCGATCGCAAGTCGGATCCGACCGAGGTGGAGCTTGAAGACTCTCTAGGTAAATGCAATGACGTTGAAACACCGCTTTCCCCTGTAGGTCGCCCAAAGAAGTCTAAAAATAAGGATGCCGGTAATGAAGGTGAAGAAGTGAACGTAGAGATTGCAAATTAGCCTGTCTGTGGATAAGAGTTGGGGCACCCAGACGAGCCAAAGAGCCAGAGCGGAAGAAAAACGGCCAAACAGAAATTGAAGTTTGCGCAGATTTCAGAGTTAGGTGAGATTTGACCTTTAGCTTGCGCGCGACAACTTCAATGTTTTCGGAGCAAGCGCAAAGACCCAAACCAACACGGAACAGCTTGAATTGAACTGAAGGATGATAAACCCCAGCAACGGGCAAGGTGTTAACCGGAGAGCCGATAATTGGAAAGAATGGATGTAGTAATTGGCGCAATGCGATGCGACTGAAGAGAACGAGTGACTGTGGTGGGCAAGGTACCTATCGAGTGCGCTTTTGCTTGGGTTTGTAAATTGTAAAGGGAGCTCAGCTGGGGGGAATTTGGAAATCGTGAACTGGAACTTCCCTTCCACTTAGGCAGCACGCACAACGGACGGGTACCTGGCGACTACCGGCGACTAGCGTCCAGCGCCCGGGGAAGCCATGCCATGCGTGCGGTGTCGAAACATGGGATCGAATTCCACCAGCATCACTGCAGGGTTGCCAGGGTTAATTCTCGTCTTATTAAAACACAGTGCGCCTTCCGTTCGCGCTTCTTTATCACGACCCGGCCATTTCCCACGCGGTTCCTTCTTGTTGTGGAGGGGCATCTTTGAGGCTCCTCTCTTCTCTGACTTGTTCTCTTGAGAACATAGGGCTCCTCTTTGAAAGTGTGCCGAACATGACATGATGCGGCGCCAATGTGTTGTGCCTAACTAGGCTCTTCATCCAATCACACATTCAGTTATCCATCTCCAATCCTCAACGAACCGGGCATGACTTCTCGCTTTCTGTGCTGCGTGAGTTGCTGCCTGACCCCTTGCACTCTCGAGACATGCACACCCACGCTCACACTGTATCTCAATTGTTCTAGCCCCCTTTTGGGACAACAGCCCCGCCCCCTCGTCCCGTCCGGCCGCCCTACTTACAACTGCATGAGGAAAGAAGGCCTGAAGAACAAAAGAAGAAGAAAGTTGAAAGCAGACAATGAGGGCCGGCCTCCATGTCCTCCATGCCCTCCATGCCACGCCCGGTGACTTGACCCAACTGCAGGCCTTCGCTGACAGTTTCTTCCTGTGCTTCCACTTCCATTCTTGCATATGGAACCCCTGAACCGGCCCGGAATGACAATCTTGTAACACTATAAGTTTTGTCACCCCCAACAACTCCCCAAGAGCCCATGTTGGCAAGAGATCTGACTGGGAATCTGATCACATCTCTAGGGAAATGAGTTCTTTGCTTGTTGGGATTTTCTTCTTTCTGAACAAACACTCACCCTTTCACGAATCGGATATCACCTAGCGTATTCCTACACTTCTACTAACCTATATTCTACCATCATCAACTCCCGCGTCGGTCGACGAAGGGCAATCATATTCTTTCTCTTTTGGCCGAGGTCACTTCTAGAATTCGACCAAGGTTGAAAAGATGACAAAGTCATTGATAGATAACGGTTTTGTGACATGTATGCTTATGTGGAAGGACCCCCTCAGGTGGAAACACTGGAAACTTGAAACACAGACAATCAACTCGTATGCATGCAGCCACTTCTCCACCTAGGTTCTGAGATGTCGCAGGTATAATCGTCTATAGACCTAGGTGATGGTGCACATTCGCATATGAAAGATTCGACTGCAAATGAAATACGAGGATAACGAGGGCACGGATAATATGGGAGTAGCGGCAAAGTAAAGGAGAGGAAAATATTCTCTTAGCATAGCACCAACAACTCAAAAAAAGACTGGCTTGGTAAAAAAACAACCCCAATACTCCTGCTACACTCCCAGCAGACACATGTCCCCTATCTTTATGCGTTACTGTGTTATCGGATGTCAAAATACAGCATGAAGGCCAGATCTTCACTCTAATCCATCAACCCCTTCCCAAAGTCTCTCACTGCCCGTCGGCCCAAAAGAAAATCCCAAGATCAGAAACGGGATCAAACATAGTATAAGCCCGAATATCCTAGCTTACGGCCAGAACCTGCAGCTAGTAGCCTCGGAGGACCCTACACGTCCGACTGCTTCTGCATTTCAGGCACCGAGTCCAACTCCATTGCCGTTACGGAACCGTCCGGGGTCGCTTCCGGAGACTTGTGGATGATGACTGGCTCTTCTTCTACAGAGCCCTCGATCGTGGTAGGGACGAATGGCTTCTTCTCTCCGTCCTCGACGGGCGTGGCAATGGGTGTGGGGTCGTGACCGCGACCAAAGTTGCTCGCCGATATCCCAACCGCCGGTGTGCTGCCCTCCGCAATCTTCTGCTTAGTTGCCGTGACAATCTTCTCCGTCTCGGTAACCGTACCCGCAGCCGTAGTTGCATCACCCTCAACGCCAATGGCGTTGTCTTTGTTGTTCTGGTTCTCAAGCAGGGCTTGTTTGTCGAATCGGACAATCATGCATGAGAGGTTGTCAGTGCTGAAGCGAGATAGAGCATGATCGACCAGTTTCTTGGCGGCAATTACCGGTTCCTGGATGTCACGCACAAGGTCGACTGCTTCCTGATCCGAGCAAACATCCCAAAGCTGTAAAATGTTGTCAGTCTGTGTATCTTCGGGTACAGTGGGGAAGTCGATTGCAAGGCTCAGGTATTACTTACACCATCACAAGCAATAATCATGAACTCGTCCCATTCCGGTTGGATAACCGTCTCCGTGGTATAAGGATGACCTGTGACGAGGTCTTTGATATAAGTATCACCAAGAGCTCGGGTGACAGCAAGGACTCCGTTCACGCGGTTGTTTAGGATCAGACCTCCAGCGTTTGCTATACGCTTGCCCTCATTCTCATCGCTGCCTTTGTGGTCATATGACAGGCGCAACGCCTTGCCAGAGCGACAGAGGACGATGCGAGCATCTCCCACATTGGCTGTGTAGAGCACCCGCTGTCTTGTTGCAGAATTCTTCAACTTGGCGTGTGTAGCTTCCGGGATTGAAGAACTGGGGCTTTTCTCGGACTGCCCATCCTCCACCTTGAGAGCATCCTCAGTGGCCTTGACAACCGCGGGGGCGATAGCCTGAGAGCCGGTCGCCGACTGGTTACTCGGGACTCGGTCCTCCCAGCGCAGCACCGCAACGGCAGCCGTGCAACCACTATTCTTAAGCGGAAGCGCTTCTAGCTCGACATCCACAGTGGTGAAAGTTTGATCAAGCAGTTCCGGTATAGGAGCATTCGGGTTCTTCTTGATAATATCTTCAAGGATAATGTGCAGCTTCTTGCCACACCAGTCAGCAGCAAAGGTGCCAGCATGACCATCGAAGATAGCAAAGTAGCCATTGTCTGTCTCCATCATGTCTGCATTCTGGCTGGCGGGACTACTACTGCGCTGCCCCAGTGGTTCGTCCGCCGGTTTTGATTGCTTCGGGGCCGGGCCCTCGGCGCCCAAGACAGGGGCAGGAGTATGAAGGAAGTTGTAGAGGAAAGCATGTGTATCTTCCATGGTACGTCTGCATTTCTTGTTGCGGTCCTCCCAGACACCAACCTTGAACGTGGAGCGCGGCCCGGGGAGTGATTCACCAGCGGCATTGTTGTGCTGGCCTTGAGGAACAGCAAGGGCCTGATCTTGCTTGCCGAGCTTTTGCAGGGAAGTCTGATTAGAGTTCTTGGAGTCAGTACTCATATCACCGCTGTTACGATTCGCAACCTGAGTAAACAGAGTGTTTTTGGCTTGGGCAATCAGGCTGCTGGCTCTACCGCTCACCCCACTGATCCGCTTCTTTTTGCTATCAGATGAGCTACCAGTGCTCGGTGGACTCCCGTTGCCGGTGGAAGTGTCGCCGGCGGCGGACTGATCGTTGGACTTGATAGATTTCGGCGACGCGCCTCCGTTGCCCGACACCTCCTTTTCGGGAGAGGGCGACTTGCTGCTTGACCTGTCCTTTCCGCTGCTGCCTGAATCTGATGCGGACCCGCTCACGGACTTGGAGGCGGCGGAGCTGGAGCCGCCGCCGAACATCCTATTCAGCAGGCCTCCTTGGGAGGAGAGACTGCGACGCTTGTTGCCTGCCAGGTTGTTCGTGGGGGGTGGGTGAGGGCGCGAGGCGTTGCGAGAAGTTGCCGTATGAAAAGGACGGTCTGCTGAGAAGTGCGGTCGCGAATAGGGACAGCGTCTGTGGTACTCTTGTAGCAGTTGTTGGGGATTTATGCGCGTTCGTTGCGCTGCGCGATTAGGAAGTGAGGGCGTCGATGTGGTTAACAAAGAACCAAGGGAGAAGCTGAAAGTTGGTGCAGGAAGGCTAGAGTAGAATTGATAGGTATTCGTTGAATGGAGCTGATACAATGGCGGGAGATCGCGAAAGGTTGAAAGGCAGAAGAGAGGGGTCTGGTGACAGGCTCTGGTGCACTGCTCTGAAATGATGTAATGCCAGTTCGAAGAGACCACTGTTCAGGGCGCTGCACAACGACGGGGGCAGGAAGGTCGATGGCGCACAGGGGCACCTTGGAGGTTATTTGGGGTGGAGAGCTCCCGTCGAGTTACAAGGAAGGGGCAATCACTGAAGTGCGGTTGCCCAGGGAGCCAGGCAGAGAGATGTGGATGACGAAAACGGCAACAACGACGATCCGAACAACACCGTTCGGACCAAAGCTGCAAGTGCGCTGCGTTGCGTTCCGGGAGAGCAACGGCGGGAGAGAAAGTGAGGCTTAAGTTGACTGCAGTGACACCAGAGTCGAATTTGTCCTCTGCAGCCTGAAGAGCGCGGATGAAGACCTTGAGGCTTCGACTGCAATCTGGATGTCGTCCAACAGGATGAAATGAGGTTGGAAGTGCCCGCGTGTGTCGAGGCCCAAGCTCAGATGCGGTGTTGGCTTCGCGCCTGTGATTTGTCGACCGCCGTACAAGCTCCTGCGCATCCACTTCAGGGTGCCCGCCTGACAACATAAAGTGGATGCTTCAGGTCCATCAGGTTCCAGTTCCGCCTTCCCTCAGAAGGCACGACCTGAAGGGACCTTGAGGGCCTTCTGAAATCAGGGACCTTACAGGCGCCAATAGGGAAGCTTGTTGTGACAGTGCAGCCCAACAAGTGGGGTACTGTATTGCTTAATTCCACTTACCATGCACGGTGTTTTGCAGAGCTTCACCCTCAAAGGCTGAGGTGTAGTGTAATACTCTACCTCTACCTTCCATTCCATACGCCCATTCCTTATGGCATTGTATTAGTACATGGTGTAAAGACATCCATGGGATAGCCCCCTTCTTTGTGGGTTTACAAAGAGCTATGACACTACAGGTGTTGGCGCCAGAAAGGCGTCGAACGGGCAGTCACAATGTTCCAGACAGCCGCTTCTACTTGTAGGCGCGGGGTGATGCAGGTGCGGTGCCCTGACTGCTACATTTATCAGGGGGCGACCGTTTCATCTCATGCTCACTGCAACCGCCGAGGAAACGGGATTGCCATCAACACTTCACTTCGCGTCCTGGATTATTAACATAATGTTGATCGGTAAGGTATTTAACGTTGTCAACGAGGCTATTACTTGACTTTTAACTACGGTTCATCAACTCCTTCGACAGCATACAAGACGTACGGATACCTCCTGCTTATATACCTTATTATCTAGTCTTGACATTGTCGGCTCGTATGACAACAGCTTTTCGGACCACAGACTGTTACTATTCGACACTGCATGACAAAGGGGGATGAAGATGTAAGTCGCGCGATCTGCACTGTGCATGAAACTCTGCCCAATGAGCCAACCAACGAATGAAGTAATATATTCTCATGAGAATACCAGCTCACCACCTAACCATTAACAGCCCAGCCAACCCATCGTACGCCTAAAACGCCCGCAGTCTTGCTGCAATTGTGTGTGCTCATATATGCCACCTCTTTGCGAGTTTGGCCCATAAAGCTTATATCGCACTTTCAAAGCCTCGGGTGCCACCAAAAGCCGGCAAACTTGAAGCCATTACCATCCCAGAAAGAGGGACGGAGAAGCATGAGCACCTGTGTCCAAGTCCGGCCCTTTGCACAGCTTCCTGTACCTGGCTCCCAAGTTCATTGCAGGTCGTTCATCGTCTCAGGCTGTCCAACCTTGCCTGCAAATCGTCGTCGCCTGGGTCGACCCCACCACCACCACCACCACCAACCGCTTGGGCAACTTTGTTCTCTGGAGCACCAGCCGCAACCTGTAATCCCGATGGCGTCTCGCCCATCTGGTACAGAGCATGTTAGCAACATGATCTTGATGTGAATACAACCGAACAGCCTTACCGCTTGACTGAGATCCACGCCGATCTCCTCCAACACTTGTTCTACAACCTCGTCACCCTCTTCTTCGAGACCCATGTCCATTGCATCGTCAATGGCATCATCCATCATTTCTTGTCGCTGTTCCATGATATCGTTCTCGCGCTCGAACTCCATGGCTATACGTTGCAACGAGGGTAAGTTCATTGTGCGGTTCATGCTTCCGAGAGCCATTGTCGCGCCCTTCATGGCTTGCATCATCTGCTCGTTCGTGCGGTACGTCTAAGAGACGGTTACCGTCAGTTGGACCAGTCTTGCGCATGTTGGTGTGGATGTAGCACTCACTTGCAAGCGGAGCGAGATCTTTTGGAGTTGACTCCTCATGCTGTAGAACTTCTCGATGTATCGTCGTGTCCGCACCAAATCCTTGGCCTGAATTTTGCAGGCGCCCATCTGACCTTTCTGGGCGCTCTGGCGAATCTGGGAGACCAGTGTCTTTTCTTGCTTCTCGAGCTTAACGCGCTGTTGGTCGAGTTCTCGAATGGCCTTATCGAGGAGTCGCTGATTTTTGCGAAGACGCTCGGCGGGCGTCATACGCTTGCCGAAAGCCCATTCCAGCACCTGGTCGTAGAGACATGATGTTAGCTGTGTGCGGACTGGAGCGCATCAACCGATGACGGAGACTCACGTTCATGTTGCTGGCAGTGGTGGTAATTGATAGGTAAGATGTGTGGAAAGAAGCGCTGGATGGCCGAATCTGGTACCTCAGAAACACCCTACGTCGAGATAGTAGAGAATATTCGATGATCGGAAAGAAGTGATCGTCCGCAAGTCGGCCCTCGGAAGGTGCTGGGACTGGGAGCAGTTGGTTTGGCAGTTGCGCATTTGTTACTGTACCCTGCTGGATGATGCCAAGACCTAGACGCCAAGGTGCTCAATGCTGGAGCCTTGGTGGAGGCCGTGACGATGGCGAGCCACAACCAGCCACAATATACGTGACCTCATCGCCGTTGATTAGCACAGTCAAGCCACAAAATGTCAGATAGCGTCAGGGATCCCTCGGCCACGTTGTGCCTTAACAGGACTAGCGGCCAATCACCAAAACATGAGACTGCCGACAGAATTCCGTAGCGTTCAATGCTCCGCTACAATTCGACCTATCAATGCGGCCACTGCAAATGTCCCGCATGCCCGCATGGGCCCCCGGCCCGGGGTTCAGGTTTATGACTGGAAGGCGGAGGCGGGCGACATCCATGAACTCCTCCAATTTTTTTGGATTTCTCATCCGTGACGCCCTAACCTGGCACTAAACAGCCCACCACAGCCCACCACAGCCCACCACAACCCACCACCACCTTTCCATCGTCACCTACGAGTCCGCTCAACCTCGGATCTCCCGCCCTCGATGCCCTTCTGATAAACGCCTCCTGCACGCATCCGCTCGGCCCTCCCTCGACACTGCGACAATTCATCCACGACCATGAGCCAGGATTATTTCCCGTCCAAGGGTAAGGCGCGCCAGCAACACGACGAGCACGGCGAATCGCGCGACTTCGATGACGGCGCCGGACAACACCCGCAGGTCCCGGGAGCCCCGGCCGCGCCCGCGTACATGACCGTTGGTACCGGCTCGACTTCTCAACATGCTGCCCGCCTTCAGGCTATGCTCGACAACGACTCCGGCTACGGCGGCAGCATCGCCGGCGACTCAAGGGCCCCTTCCCACTGGGACTCGGCTGTTCACCACGATAGCCCGCTACCAACTCCGACTACCGCCACCCACGATGAGGATGCCAACCGCCGTTCTCAGGCCGGCGCCGTACACCAGCTGTGGTATAACCAGCACCGCGTCACACTAGGCCGCTCCATCAATACCGTCGTCGAGCTCCTCAAGAAGCTGCAGGAGATGAACGTGACATGGCCTGCGCATTATCCATCCGTCCAGCGGGCTGCTCTCGATGAGCCCAATCACTATGGCACACCGGCTCTGCATCGCTCTTCGACCATGGGCGCAGACTTCCCTCCGCCTCCATCCCCTCACTCGCTCCGAAGATCCATGACAAGCGTTGACGACCACGTCGAGCCCGAATCCAGCCGGGCTGCGGAAAGGAGGAACACCGGCTCGGAACCTCGACTAGTTTCCCCTCAGATTGCCCAAGAGTTCTCTGTCCTCAAGTTGGATCTTAATTTGGGCTCACTACACCAAGCCGACCTGGTACATTCGCTGCAGAAGGAGTCAGTGGCGTCTTTGCTCGATGGTAAAATTCGTTCCAGCATTAAACATCTTTACTCGCTGCGTGAGAGAATCGAGGATACGTCGAGCAAGGTTTTGGTCACTGGTGATCTGAATGCGGGAAAGTCCACGTTTTGCAATGCTTTGCTCCGACGGAAGGTTCTTCCTGAAGACCAACAACCCTGCACGAGCATCTTCTGCGAGGTCCTGGACGCAAGAGAGAATGGCGGAATTGAAGAGGTTCATGCAGTTCACAGGGATGCGATCTACGACCGTCATGACGAGGCCACCTACGATGTCTATTCACTGAAGGAGCTGGAGAGGATTGTTACCGATAACGAGACCTATCAACAATGCAAAATCTACATCCGGGATGTGCGGACTATCGACGAGTCTCTCCTGAACAACGGTGTTGTCGACATTGCGCTCATTGATGCCCCCGGTTTGAACATGGACACTACCAAGACCACGGCCATCTTTGCGCGACAGGAGGAGATTGACGTGGTTGTTTTTGTTGTTTCCGCTACTAACCACTTTACGCAAACGGCCACCGAGTTCATTAGGGCCGCTGCTGCTGAAAAGGCTTATCTCTTCATTGTCGTCAACGGCTTCGACACTATTAGAGATAAGGAGCGTTGCCAGAAGCTCATCCTTAACCAAGTGAGGGGTCTGAGCCCTGCGACCCACAAGGAGGCGGATGAGCTGGTGCACTTCGTCTCCAGTACTGCTATTCCCATGGCCCCATCGCCTCCAGGTGGTTCTTATGGAGGTGGGTCAGGCAGCGCAAGTGGTGGCGGTCCGGGTGATGATGGCAATGACGATGATCCTAAGGGCAAGGGCAAGAAGAAGGAGATGGCGCGAGACTTTTCGAACCTTGAACAGTCTTTGCGGAGATTTGTCTTGGAGAAGCGCGCTCGCTCAAAGTTGGCACCGGCCAAGACCTATCTTACTAACATCTTGAACGACGTCCACGTACTTGCTACTGTCAACCAGGAAGTTGCTCAGTCAGAGTTCGACCGGATGAACCAGGAACTGCAGAAGCTGGAGCCAGAACTTGAGCGGAGCAAGCAGGCCAAGCAGGAGATTAGTGAGAAGGTTGACCAGACGATTGAGGAGACCTGCCAGGAAATTTACGAGACTTCGCGTAACACGATCAGCAGCTCGATCGAACACGCCGGTGATGGCAACTTCGGAATCCCCTATCCTGGTCTCTTCAGTGCGTTCGAGTATGCTGAGGAGCTCAAGGAGGCTATGCTTTCGCAGATTGCTGCCTCGGTTACTCAGTGTGAGGAACACGCCAGAGCCAGAACCGTTGACGGTGTCAACATGATCAAGCAGCTCGGAATCATGCACTTGGGTAGCGAGTACACCGATCTGGCCTTCCGCCCGGATGTCATGTTCCGCCGCAAGAAGGATGCCCTTGCGCGCCAAGTCGACATTCCCACCGAGCTGTGGGATTTCGTCGACTGGTCTACTGTGCTTCAGAAGGAGGAGAAGGCCGGCATGGCACTTACCGTCGCTGGTGTCGTTGGCACAAGTGTGCTCAGCGGTTACAGCCAGATGAACCTTGCTCTTCGTGCAGCCCAAATCTTAGGCACCAGCAACATCCACCGCCTCATTATTCCTGGCTTGATTGCGGCCGGTAAGTCTGAATACTCTTGACCCTTTTTGGGGGGGAACATGCGCTAACTCGACTCGCTTACAGCCGTGGCAGCGACATACTACGTCCTGAACCAGATTCCTCACTCTCTTCCGCACCGTCTGAAGGAGAAGATCTCCACTCAGCTCGCTGCCATCGACTATGTTCACTCGAACAGCACTCGTATCTCCGGCTCAGTGCGGAAGGTCCTCCGTTTCCCCGCCGACTCCCTCCGCGTTGGCCTTCAGCGTTCCGTTGAGAAGCTTGACGGTCGCCGTAACGAAACTCTGCGCGTCAAGGCTGAGAGCGACGTTGCGCTCAAGTACTTTGCCAACCTCGTCCGTGAAAGCGGTCATCAGCGTCGGGTTGTCGAAGCTGTCGATCTTGATGGCCATCCTCCTGGTCTTGCCGGCATTGGAGGCTTCCACTAGGCGGCCTTGGTTGGGAGGCATTATCCCCTTTAGTTGGCTTTTCTTTGTTATAGTCGGCGTTATTGGTGCCTGTTGTGAGAAAAACACAGATTATCATCATACCCCTTGTTTTGAGCACACACAAACACACACATAGATGGAGAGGAAGGTGGTCAAAATTGCCAGCGTATGTATTACGAGATCACGAGTTGACGGAGAAATGCCGAAGCAAGCATAGGTGATGAAGTGGTTCTCCCACTTGAGACGGACGTAAATGCGAGGATGGTGGGTTGCTTGGTTAGTTTACAAATTGTGCAGTGAGACTCAGCTCCTTATTCTCGAGATACTTGCCACAAATATTCCCCTCCTAGGTTTGATTCTTGAGCACTGAGCGACGTATTCACATTCATAAGAAGAAGGAAAGGGTTGAAACGGCGGGAGTTGTACGATACAGAACATGTTGAATGCTGCAGGTAAAACGCCAGATGTTGACCTTGGCGTCAACCCGCCCTATCGATCCCGCTTTATAGTGCACCCCATTGCTTGGCTGTTCTAACCCTACATATCCTTGACTAAATATAGCCTAAGTCTACTCTATCCGCTGCGGATGTTTCCCAAATTCACCTCAGTCCACCTCAACCAGACACTCACATACAACAGTCTCGGCCTCTCTCCTTTCACCAGCCCCGTGTCTACAACTGATCACCTCTCATCCTTACCACAATAACATCAAATCCTTCAAAATGGCGTCCCCAACAATAATCAAACTAGCAGCCGTCCACTCTGCCCCCATCTACATGTCCAAATCCGCCACCCTTGCCAAAGCCATCAACCTGATCCACGCCGCCGCCCGCGACGGCGTCTCCCTCCTCGTATTTCCCGAGACCTACGTCCCCGGCTACCCTTACTTCATCGAGTGCTATCCACCGCTGAAACAAGTCGGTGCTCTAGCCAAGTACGCCGAGGAATCTGTCGTCGTCGACGAGGATCTGGATGGGGTAGTGGAAGCCTGTAAACAGACGGGTGTTTCGGTGGTGCTGGGAGTGTCGGAGCGAATGAAGGGTGGCTATACGTGTTTCAACTCGCAGGTTTTTGTCGCCGGCGGAAGGGGAGGAGGGGTGGTAGGAACGCATAGGAAGTTGCAGCCTACGTATGTGGAACGGATTGTGTGGGCGCAGGGGGACGGGTCAACGCTTAAGACTTGGAAGGGGATGTTTGGATCTGGATCTGGATCCGAAGCGGAAGGTTCCGAAGGTGAGAAGGGGAAATGGAATGTGGGTGGGTTGGCGTGCTGGGAACACACCATGCTCCTCGCCCGGCAAGCCCTGATCACCCAGCAGGAACACGTACACGCGGCTGCATGGCCGGCGCTGTCGACCATGGTCGGGTTCGAAGGGTCGGCGGACAGCCAGATCGAGGCGCTGATGAAGTGCCATGCGCTGACGGCACAGTGCTTTGTGGTGTCGGCTAGCAACTATGTGGATGAGACGTGTCTGGAGTGGATGAGGGAGAATATCGGGGAGCAAGAATTTGTCAAGAGAGGAGGAGGGTGGTCGGCGGTTATTCACCCGTTTTGTAATGTGTTGGCGGGACCGGTTACGGGCGAGAAGGAGGAGCTGGTCACGGCGGAGGTGGACTTGAAGGATCTGGGCATGGTTAAGGTTTGGGTGGATGCGGACGGGCATTATAGTCGGCCGGAGGTCTTGCCGTTTGGGTGGAATAAGGAGGCGTATTGGAGAGATGGGAAGGTGGCGGGAGAGGCTGGGAAGGGACAGTCTCAGTCGAGGGAGTCTGAAGGAAAGGCGGGAGAGGGTGCCAAGAAGGCGTAAAGGGTTTGCAGAAGTCGAATATGGTGGGATGGGTAGTTGGAAAAGTAAATGATATCGGGATTTAGTCGTGGTGAGTCGGCAGTCATCACCAATAAATAGACTATATTTCCCAAGTCCTAGCCAGTATTCATATCTCATTATCAATCCTCAGTATCAATCCCGGACTCCCTGGGTGTTCGGTAGCATATCCTTCTAATACCTATTTACGCATAACGATTACTCAGACCACATCAACCCCCTGAGCCTCTCCTTCTCCGCATCGCCTCCAAAGATAACATCTATCCCCCTTCTCACAAGCGAGCAGATATCAGCTCTTGCAAGTCCGAAGTGCTTGGCCACGAGTGCGTATTCGTTGGAAAGCGGGCTTCCAAAGACGCCAACATCATCGGTCTGGACGTTGGATTAGCACCATTGCTTTTACCTGGATATCTTGCAGTCTTCAACTGCCCTGATACCTCGAAGCCGTCGAAAATAAAGCCAAGAGCAGAGAAAAGGAAATAGGAGACTTACACTTAAAACAACAACCGTCTCGTCAACCTTCCACCACTCCCCAAAGTGGCTATTCCAGAAAAGCCACGTTAGTCAATCCTTCCCACACCCAAACAACATTTCGGTACCATCGATGGAAAAACTTACTGGCTCTCAAACCCCCCACATATCATCCCAGCATGGACATTACAACTCAAACACAACTCCAACCCCATGCCGCCCCTCCTCTTCACCTCTTCCTTCACCCTCTCATTCAAATGAATCACATGTCCAATACGATCCGGCCTCCAGCTCAACAAGGCCAACAACTCCTCCTCCGTCCCCGACGCCTCCGCTTCGGCAAAGTGCAGCGTTATCCCCAACTCTGGCAGGGTACGCTTCGCCTCCTCGAAGACCGGGCCGAAGATATCGATAGGCCCCCTGGCTGGGTCGCCGCAGAGGTCAATGCCCACCACACCGGACCCGGAAAACTGGCGACAGAGGGCGAGGGCTTCGGAGGCTTCGGAGAGGGTGTTGCGCCGGTCGACGGAGAGGATCAGTTTCGTTTTTAACTGGGAAGTGCTGGACTGTTCAAACTCGGCGATGGTGTCGAGGATGACTTGGACGTATTGGGCTTTGGTTAAACCGGCCTGAGGCATGGCGCGGGGGGTGGTGCGTAGTTCCAAGTAGACAACGCCATCAGCAGCAAAGTCCGAGAGGACGGAGAGAGTGGTGTGGCGGAGGGCCCAGATGTCGTTGACGAGGTGGTAGATGTACGAGGAGAAGAGGGGGAAGAAGCTGGTGTTACGTGGTTAGTATGTGGTGGCCTTGCGTGTGTTTCTGGTTCACTTGTCTTGAATTTCTTCTCCTTATGTTCATTTGTAATAGGTATTCGATAGGAGGAAGTGGTTTGGTAGAAGTCGGTTTCGGGCCTCTGCTCCCAAGGCATATATACCAGGAAGAGATGAACAAAGCAAGAACAGGACCGGCCCGTCCCCCCGGTCCCGGGTTCCGGCTTACCTTTTCGATCCACATACCGGCCGGTACGTGGGTAATCCAATACGGCACGGCCCGCTTGGAAATATCCGTCTCTTCTTTCTTGGATACCGGAGTGTGCACAGATGTAGGAATAGATGGTCGGATAAAATGGGATGGGAGGCAACGAACCCAATCTCAGCGAAACTTGAACTTACGTCTTCAAATCATAATTGTGTTTACCTAGCGGCATCTCAACCAAGGGATCTTGAAGGTCCGTTTCACCATTTTCCTTCTTTTTCAGCCAGACTTCGTGGAGACACTGACGACTGATGCTGCCGCTGAGATGGGCGTGGAGCTGTTTATTGGTTTAGAGAGGCTTGTTAGTTGAGATCCTTATTATTCTTCAATTTTGATATTATCCAGAATATCATCTTGCTGTTATGGTATCCCAATATTATGCTGGTTTGCCCGTGAGTAGGTGTTCTCGGTTGGTTACCTCAATCTTGGGCAGCGCCCTGTAATCCACAGCATCGACTGTCATGGTGAATGTTTCTGCGAAAACTTCTTTGTTGTTGATGATGATTTTGCCCACTGTCGTTTGTATGTATCGTGAAGCCGAGGCTGACTATTTCGCACTCGCTTGAAGTTATCACCAAGTAGTAAGCGCGGGGTATGTATGTACGTGTACAGCACTAGTATGGAGCCCAGCCGGTGTTGTTCGGAGTGTTCTCCGTAGACGGTTAGGTGTCAATTGTGCAATCCAGCGGCATCCGTAGCGCCGGGACTTTTGGGACGGCGCCGTGAATAAGCGGGTGGGGATGCCGGCCAGCGACGCCGAAGTTCGCAGGGCTTGCCGGGCCGTACTACCATGCCGGCGCGACTTGTCCACACCCTCTCTAGGTACCTGTGGCTATACAAGTACATGTACCTTTCAGACACCTGTGATTAGACTGTCTGGTACATATTCCGAAATTGGGTTTCAGCATTGAGACTGGCGCAAATGTGTTTCCAGGACATCGGGGCCCAATTCCTAGCTTGTTACATGTCGAAGAAATACCACCTTCCTCAGGTCTTGTCCCCTCCTGTCTCGTGTTGGTGGACGCTTCGCTTTACTGTACTTAGAATTTTGACCTGCATCCAGATGGGTCAGGGCCTTACCTATCTGTAGGCTGCAGTGGGCCGACCTGTATCAAAGGGAGAATTCGTCCATGGAAACGATTATGGTTGGTTTCATTCCCCAGTGGCTTCTGGGTACATGCCCCTTTCTTCGGGCCCCTCCAAGTCTTTCTGCAAGATCTTTGGTGTATCCGCTTTTTCATCAAGCAATGATGCAGCCGAGGTGCAACTTCAGGTGTGCATATTGGCGAGCTTGGCTTTTATCCCGATACGGACTCTTTATCAATCTCTCTTGATTAACTAACACCTCGGCGCGCACCATCAGCCTCAAGATGTGTGGCTTTCCAGACAAAATACCAAGCGCCAACAGGGAGGGCAAGTTGCCCGTTCGGCATCATACCATAGTACAAGAACACACGGACCGCCAGGTGAGTTTACCCACTACCTAGTAGGTGCCACGGAAACCAGTGAAAGGTTTGTACATAATAAGCCAGGTGCTAGAGATGACAGAGCGTCGCCGCCATTGCTACCGTTGCACCCAAGTGTCCGGAGCTGACGAAGAAGACAGGACTGGTGATTTCGTGGTTCTCGTCAGTCATTCACTAGTTACCTATGCCAGTCAATATTCAGTACCTAGGTACGGACATGGCAAGCGCAAACTGCACGCACGTGTCTACGAAGGGCTCTCAGGCCGGGTCGATTGTTTCTATCCAAAAGGGTTTTAACCCCCCGTGAACATTCCTAAGCTCTACTATGCTCCATAGTTAGGGCCAAGAACAGTAGGGATTCGAACCAAGGCATCTCCGGCTAAATCGAAGTTGCAGATGGCTATCTCAACTCCTTGTAGTCAAGGAGGGTGTTTTGAAATCCCAGCCAGAAGAGAGGCGGTTTCCCCGTTCGGTTGATTACCGTTGATCCGTCATCCAAGCTGGGCGTGCTGGGTTTCGGTGGCAGGGCCTCAAGGGGCCACAGGGGTTGGTTGCTTTGCTGTATCGTACCTCCAGTCTCGTATGGCGAAACCTTTTCTTGAACATCCGATTTTGAGAGGCAAGTGTTGATGCCCCATGGTACGTATTCATAGCCACCTAGATCACCTCAGCGACCAACCCATTTGTAGTGTGGAAGTTTGGGGCGGTTGGGGTTTACATCTGTAACCTCGAGACAGCTGCTGCTTGTGGGAGCTTGCTGCCGCTTGGCTACAGTTCTGCTTGCCAGCAACATGTTTGCAGCGCTCGTGATATTAAATTCGGTAGTATTCCGCCATTCGGGTTGCTGTATTCCGACCGTTGATTGTCCTGTGGATTTATACTAGTTGACAAGGAGACAGCCGTATCCAATATCACTGGAGCATCCGTTCCTGCGTCCAGGTTCCATCGTCGGCACATCGGCCGTTAGCAAGCGGGCTGTCATCCAAAGAGATCACCAGGACACACCTGCAATGCGGTCCGGTCGCCCTGGAGGAACGGTTTGTACCAGACCTCTTGTCCTTGACAGTAACCTTCAGTTGAGCCCTGGCCATCTTATCACCGTTCGTCAGTCCCGCCAGCGATAGACTGTGATGGATCGTGACTGCTAAAACAACCGAACTGGAGTGAACCGACTCTTTACGGCCCCGAGCCCCCGACTGTCTCGATGGATCTGTGTGCCGCGCACACTTGTCGCCCTGCATATCGAATTTCGGGACCAAATAGGGAGAGGGCGGCGGGAGGAGTGGGAGACAGAGTGGATGGCCTGAAAGAAAGGTGCCGGGGGGCTGCTCAACTGAGAGACTTTATGCGCTATCAGACAACAAGTTCTTTTCCGTGCCTGTTTCGCGTGGAGATACTGACAGGATATTAAGAGCCTGATCGGCTGGCTGCGCTTCCCGGGAGCACACAGATATTTCAGTACAATCTGGTGCCCTGCAGCCTAGAGAACTAGCAATTATACTAATTTTAGAGTAGTAATCTTACTGGGTCTATATAAGGGGATTGCATTAGTGCTTAATTAACTGTATTAGGTATAATTAATGCCTAAAAATCTACACTGCTTTCAAAAGAGGGGTTAATCCTATTGTATCATATTAATTATAATATTATATAAAAAGTAACTGCCAGTAATCAACTGGGTAATTGAATATTACTAGAATAATTTCATAAAATGACTTTATAGAGTGACTAAACATTATAAAGGATATTGACTTATTTTAATTCTATATTCAAACTCTAACTCTTAATCTAACTATTAAAAATACTCTACTAGCGTCTATCTAAAATATTTTCAACAACCCAGTACTTACTAGCTATAATAATAACAAACTACCTCCTTTTCCTTTCTTAAATATTACATTAAATTAGCTAATCATTTAACAAATCTAAAAACTAGTTTCCAATCTCTCTATTACTTAAATTGCTCCTATTAAAAATACTCCTCCGTTAATTTAATTTACCCAACTTATAGTAGCAAAGGAGAAGTAGAAAGCACTAACTGTCACGGCGCTGGCGGACCACTACATTACTAGACTACAGTCCAAAATGATACAAGTAACCGAAGCTGGCAGTTTGGTTGCTCAAGTGGTCTTTTATAGTTTGTCCCAGAAGAGGTACTCAAGTGCATTCCGTGACATTCTCCTTTATACATTGAGAGGTTCGCCCCGAACCTCAACTCTCTCAGGATACCGTGCTAGCTAGCGGCGGTTTCTAGAAGCTGATCAAATTTTTCGAACAAGAATTCTCAATTAAGCAACGGCAAAACATCCATACGACCTGGTCGTATGCATCTCCGTAAAAGGAACTTATATAAGAGTATCCAAAAAAATTTAAAGATTTTCCCAACTACGAGATTTGACTCGTAGCCTTTTAGCTTTGGTTAAGTGTCACAGCGACGCATTTCACTACTACGCTATAACGTTTTATGTTTCCGCAAAAAGATACAAGTAACCGAAGCTGGCAGTTCAGTCACTTAAGTAGCCTTATATAGTTTGTTCTTAAAGAAGCATCTAAGTACATTCTATGATACTAAGTATTATAGTAAATAAACGTTCCAAATATTTTTAATGAAATACTTTAAAGTATAATGGAACTTTATTTATACTCTACAGCCCTACTAATTCAATTAAATTCTCGTATTTAAATACTCCATATGCTCTTAAATCTTTTTGCATTTGTACGCTTCACTGAAGTAATATAGTTTGAGAGTTTTCGTCGATTCAAATAAAAAACTGAGTACATAACTTTAAAATTGTATAAAATTACACTTCAACACTATCAACTATCACCAATTTGGAAGGTAATATGGTCCGCATTAGCGCAATACAAAATTTTAGCACCCTAGTCAGCATACAAGATATCAACACGAGTGCACAGCAGTAATCTACTGCTAAATCCGGTCTAGCCTCCTCGAAAAATTAATCTTAGCGGTTAGAAACTAATTCAAAAGTTGTATATTCCCGGCAAGCGCAGCCAGCCGATCAGGCCCTAACGCACAGGAAGAGCTAACCGCAAATTGGCCCTGACTACTGAATAGCTTCAGTCCTATTTGGGCATGGCTGGTCGCGCCATAACGCTGCAGGCAGAAGGGCTGGTCCTTGCCCCCGGACCCGGTCGGCTGGAGCCTCCTTTTCTCTTCCTGGCAGATTGCCCCTGGTGCCTTGCGCCTTCGCTTTTTGGACGGAGTGCTGTTGCTTGTCACTGTTTGATGGGATTTTGAAGCGTCTTGGAGGTCAACAGCTCACATGGACAGCCAGGCAGCCCGTGGCCGGATTACTAATGTTATCAATATCGGGTTCTTTGGCGATCCGTGAGGCAAGCCGTTATCCAACCTGGTCAATCAACTTCAGCCTGGCCGTGGTGTTGTGTAGGTAGTAGGTTTACTAATCGGCGCGACTTCATGATACCGTGCGAGCATCGGCAAGATTGGTGAACAGCGGAAAGTCTGAATGGTTGATTTGAGTTTCAATTGCGCGAGCGAACATTTGCGACCCAGAAGTCCATCCGGTGGGGTCAGTCCGTGCACATGCATTCGTGTGGACCGTCTCTCTATCGGCGCAGAGTGCAATTGGTCCGCGGGGCCTTGCAGTGTCCGCCCGCTTGCATCTCCCAAGACTCCTTCCATTCATGATCCCGCAGGCCGCCCAGCAGACCACTGCAGGACCACTGCACTGCAAAGCAGAACACCACAAGCCCACAGCGAACCCACAGTCTCTTTAGCTTCCACCTGCCCTGGCTTTGGTGGAGGTCCCGTCGTCGGCGGGAGATTCTTTGCATCCACTCTGCGAGAATCTCGACATGAACCCATCAAACCACGGGGAAGGTGCTGCACCCAAGGAACGGGGCGCAACCGGGGCGCAACGGGGCCTTCAATTTAAGAGATCCATAAATCCGGTGTGTTCGGCCAGGCATGTTGAAGATTTTGGCAAGATTTTGTTTCGTTTTTTGTTGCGGTGCGGTGCGGCGTGGCTGGCGAGAGGTTCCCCATGTCCGCCGTTGGAAATGTTGATGTTCGGAATCAGGAAGTCGAAATATCGAGTGCCCCGGCTTCTCAAGATTCAGTTGTTCCCGTCCAAGAGGCCTGTGGCCCCGATGTCGTACCTGCCCTGAACTTGTTAGAGGTAGACAACAAACCTTGTTGAGCCTACAGTACCTGTCCGCTGAGCTCTATTTCCCCGTCAAGTCGCCTCGCAGCTCGCTCTAATTCAAACCCCTTCACTCCCTTCCATCTCACTTAAAAAATCTCAATCCATCATCCAAGCCCTTCGGCCCGCCATCCAGCCCGCCGTCCGTTGCCGTGACCGGGCTCTCCTGTGTTTTTACACTCGCTTCATTTGGGAGGAGGTTTGCTGCACGCCCCATCCATCCCGTCGCCTGCGATACCTTACTGGACGCCAGCCAACGAGGAACCTAACAAACTGAATCCATTCCTCTTTGGTCGCACACCACAACCTCAATCTGCACTCACTTCTGCTTCCACTGACAATCGCGCCTCTGGACAAAAGACAATTGACACGGCCTGTAGCAGTCCCTCTCATCCTGTCCACGTCCTGCGGGCAACCTTCCATTTCCACCCTGCCCCCCAAGCTTAGCCCCAGCCAGTGCAGACCCCAGTGTGAGGTTCCGCTCTGCCCCTACAGTAGCCCAGTGCAGCGCACGTAGCGACCCAGCAAAGGCCCCATCGTGCATACCCCCGCCGACCGGGCCCATTCTCCCCCGGCCCATTTCCCAATCTGGCACAGGGTAATAATCGCAACTCTGGCCGGCCTCTCGTTCGTCAGTTCGACTCGGCCGCCCGCCCACTCGCAGAACCGAAATCGATCCCCAGTCCTTCTTTTCTCCTTCTTTCTGTTCCTCACCACCCGAACTCCTGTCGATTAGTGACAGCCTCCCATCCTGCTCCTACGACCTGACAACTACTCGCGTCGGTCGCGTCGCTCAGTCGAGACTCTTTTGTCCATCACTGCCATCCGCCCGGTAGATTATACCTCCCGTCTCTCTCGACGCCGCGCACGCCTGCCTTTAGCCCAAGGTTGTCAGGGTCGCTCTTCGCCTGGTCAACATCCGCCATCCGCTCATTCGTTCGACACTCGCAAAAGAAAGAGAGGCGTTTCCCCCTCTCAATCACTCTCCACCTGGACCACTCTCCTCTTTTTCCACCAGCAGTCATTTCCTTCAGAGCAGCATTGGGACCTGCCTCGCCTGCCTAGCTGTTTTAACTGGCCAACACCACATCGCCCGACCCCTGGAGCTAGCAATTCCTCCTCCACCGGTGCCCCGTACCAGACCACTGCTTTGCACCATTCACACCATCCACGCTCCAGCAACCGATTCCAACTTGCTGCATCGTTGAAGATCCGACGGCCTTAGAGTCCAACCTTTGTCGTCGTCATTTCACCTGTCTCATCCAGTAACAACAACATCACCACGGACTAGTCCGTCTATCGTACGAGTCCATCGCCAATTGTGATTACCAATTGAACCAACACAACTCAAAAAAAAAAAGATGGACAACCGATCAAGCGATGTGTCGCCAGAGGCGATGCAGGCACGAATTCAACAAGCGCGTCGCGAGGCTGAAAATCTCAAAGACAGAATCAGGCTGAAGAAGGAAGGGCTCGCTGATACTTCCCGTGAGTCGTCCTGCCGTCCGGTCGCGGATTGCGCCTTTGTCCGCCCAGGCCGTCGTCAACGGCGGATTGACCGCTGTATAGCGTTGCTGACATGATGTGTAGTCTATGAGGTCGCGCAACAAGCCCATGAGCCACTTCCGAAGAACAACATGATGAGGACAAAGAAGACGCTAAAGGGCCATTTGGCCAAGATTTATGCGATGCACTGGTCCACCGACAGGAGGCACCTCGTTTCAGCATCTCAGGACGGCAAGCTCATCATTTGGGACGCTTATACGACCAACAAGGTTCACGCCATTCCCCTACGATCGTCTTGGGTTATGACTTGCGCCTATGCCCCGAGCGGCAACTTCGTCGCCTGCGGTGGTCTCGACAATATTTGCTCCATCTACAACCTGAACTCGAACCGTGACGGCCCTACTCGTGTCTACCGGGAGCTTTCGGGTCATGCAGGTTATCTCTCTTGCTGCCGTTTCATCAACGACCGCAGCATCCTCACCTCCTCCGGCGATATGACATGCATGAAGTGGGATATCGAGACGGGGACAAAGGTCGTTGAGTTCGCCGACCACTTGGGCGACGTAATGAGCATCAGTTTGAACCCCACAAACCAGAACACCTTTGTGTCGGGTGCTTGCGATTCTTTCGCCAAGCTTTGGGATATTCGCGCCGGCAAGGCCGTACAAACATTCGCTGGCCACGAGTCCGATATCAACGCCATCCAGTTTTTCCCCGATGGTCACTCTTTCGTAACGGGTTCCGACGACGCTACTTGCAGACTTTTCGATATCCGCGCAGACAGAGAGCTGAACTGCTATCGCGTGAGTAACCTGTTGATGATTCTTGTATCCGTTTTTGAAGCTAACAATTTGGCAGTCCGAATCTATTCTTTGCGGCATCACCTCCGTCGCGACATCAGTCTCTGGACGTTTGCTCTTTGCCGGTTATGATGACTTTGAATGCAAGGTCTGGGACATTACTCGCGCTGAAAAGGTTGGCTCTCTCGTGGGTCACGAAAACCGTGTCAGCTGTTTGGGTGTTTCCAACGACGGAATAAGTTTGTGCACAGGCTCTTGGGACTCTTTGGTAAGTGATCCAGCGGCAACGTCGGAACGATGTGGTAAAGGCCGCAGATTAAACTAACTCCCTCACAGCTCAAGGTCTGGGCCTACTAGGCGCATACATGTGATACTGATACGACCGGCACCCTCTGGATACCCGACCTCGACGCGTCGCTTTGCAAAGCCTATCGAGTGCATTTTTTTTTTTACTTGTTCTATTTCAACCTCGTAACGCCTTTTAATCCCTGCGATCTGGCGTAGACAGGACGAAGTCACGACATATTTTTTCACCCAACAATTCCGGCTCCCGGGCTTGGACCACCACCAACCGGCCTTGCTCTCGGTCGGGACTGTTTTTAGTTTCTATGGCGGGTTTCCCGACACACCACTCGATTCGCTGCGTCGTATTTTCGGCGGGTTTGTTCGTTAGGTTGGCGGCAGCGATATTCTAAACTTGTTCAGCTCCCCGTACGCCAACCCACCTCGCCCCTCCAGAAAACGTCCCCCCGGATAATATGATCCGACACGTTCATCACCTTCGGGTCGCGTAATTCCCCGGGCACTATTACAGGGACGTCTGTACCGGGTCCCTTGGACCCAATTTGGCTGGAGCGGAACGTTCAACGAATCATCAAAGTCTGGCTCGACAGGTTGTGTCATATTCCACAGGAGCGGTTGCCAGTGTCTTTCGCAGGGGTTGTGTCTTAAAGCAGTCTATCGGATACCCTCTCTATACGTATTTATTCACAACTTTGCGCGCATTTTCTCAGCGTTTGGTCTTTGTCCAGTCTATTACCGGTGGGTTGGGGGGAACCGTCAGGGTGTCTATTTCCACGTGTGTTGATAAAAGTAGGCCGGGAATGCAAAACGGTCCCTTTGTCTTGTGCTTTTCGCGAGAATGAGGAGGAGATCGGCTCATGAGTGGCGACGGTAAACAGCAATTGCGGTAAAGGCTTTGGGGGGCACCATATCCTTTTTCTATTTTCTGACTTTTCATTAGGCACAAGGGTATATCGTGGGGATTTTTTGTTTTCTTATTCTCTTATCTCTTTTCTTCATCTGCTCTCTTGCTATCTCTCTCCCTACCCCGCTCTTCTCCTACCTAGTACCATTATGGCAGTCGTTTCTTTCACTGATGGTTAATGGTGGGTATGTTATTGCCTGGATGAGGTGTTAAGGGGGAAAAGTGGAGGGAAGGAGGGAGATGCGACTGGGCGTTCTAAATACCTTTAAGCGTCACCCCCGAGCCCTGATCTACCCTGCCTGTGTACTATAGTCGCACTGAATGCTAAGTTCATCCAATAATCTGTTCTCATCACTTCTTTGTGACTAGTGTCCGTGAAGTTGCTCTCCGGTTTGTTGGCCAAAGTATTTCTCAGTCCAGCTAGGCTTTGGTCGGCAGTGAGCTTCACTATTACCGATGGTGGTGGATTTTGCATAGGCAAGCTGAGACCAACGTGAAGTTTGAACCCTGATGAAAGAGACAATCCCATAGGCAATAGACTTGCTGGCAGAAATGTAGACAGGTCGGCAAGGTTGGCATCTTCGACCCGGCTTTACATCTTTACATAAGTTGATTTCTACTAGTTTCTTCACCTTCCTCAGGCTCTCTTCTCACATCATTCCATCTCTTTCTTCACCTTCCTCCTCGCTTTCTTCTTACCTTTCTCTTCACTTCTCGCTCAGACCCTTCAAGTAGATGCTCTCAATTCAAAATCTCATCCATATCGACATTACCAGTTCGTAAACAATACGATATGTTATAGACAAGTAGCGAAAATCCTAATCAAATATATACCAATATGGCAACTCTTGTCCATGACATATTTCCATCATCCATCAACCGTCTTTTAATCAAATGTGATTCTCGCATGCTGAACCTATCCGAGTTTTCCGACTCTGTCCATGACCAACTCCGTGCCAACAAGTAAGTACATAATTTGAGGGTGACTTACGATGCAGAGACATTCCTCATTCAGGCAGTATAGTACTATAGTTCCAGTGAGTTCGGATAGCACCCCATCTTCACAAGACGCGCAAATGTCACCGAAAGAAAAATAAAAGGGCCGACTCAACTACGTGTCCAATGACAGTCATTTTCCCGTTCTCCAATTTTTCTTTAACCATGAAGGCTTCCAGAAGGTTGGCTACCATAGCCATGGGTTATTCCCCCCTCCAGCTCCCTCAGGAAGCGACCTGTAGGAATAACAAAGGAGAGGAGAGGTTGTGTTTCAGTAAAGACAACCCCGTACATGTTTAATCCCAGAGGTCTTTCTGACCTGCTTATCAATGTCATCGAAGTCGAATATATATCCACGAGTAGTATCACTGACACAACTGCATAAATTATCCCCACCACAAAAGAGGCCATTCACGCGACAGGGTAAGCTTGAAACAAAGTGAAACATGCATGACATGGTAATCTTGAAGTGTAGTAGTCTGGTGGTGTCGTAGTGTCCATTGCCCTTGAAGTGCCCTTGGGTGTGACGATCTTTTCCCATTGCTTGGTAGGCGCAAGTGAAGTTTGATATCACATTCAAATTGACAGTCATGCGCGTTGCTACCGCTGTCACTTCACATAGCGGGGATAATGGAGATTGGAACGAATTTGATGTCTGTGTTCCAATACCTTACTCATTCAGCTTTAGACATCAAAATGACGCTTGATTCATTGGAAGAAGTCAACCATAACATCACAAGGGGTTGTTGTGTATATTGGATCAAAGAGCCTACCTGTATCGCTCGCTCTATATCAAAGGTCTAAACGTAGACAAAGCCCCTGTTAGTGACACCAGACTTCCTGCGCTAAACGTCATCTTTTTGGAACTCCTCATGCTCAGTGAACCCCCCTGAGCCCCCATACCCAAATCCCTTTTGGCTGAGCAGGGACGGGGCTCGTTGATCCGATGAATACTGACTCTCAAGTAAAGAACCCTTGCTACGGTGACGTTGGCCTGGATTATCATTTCTGGCAGTCAGAAGTTGACAAGGAATTCGAATTTTGTTGCTATCCCGAAAACCAGGTCTGAACTGCAACCGAACCCAGGTAATCTCCACGGAATTTCTGCATCAACATGGTCAACAAAAGGCCAACGTGACCATGCAATCTACTTCCCCGGCATTTTGACTGAGAAAAGTGAGATTGGGCATCGCGACATCGTGAAGCCCTCGTGGCCCATCTCAAGATCTGATGCAAGTGACTGCCGATCTCTGAATCTGTGCGCCGGCATCAAGGTTCGAAAGCAGCGATTAGGACATGTGCAAATGTAGATCTCATCCGCTAGCGGTCTCTTTTCCCGTCATCGGATGCGAGTTCATCACTCCCGGTTTCTAGGGTAGTTGGTGGTCGAGTTTGAAGTCAGATCAGAATGGAACGCGCTCGAGAAGTGACTCCACATTTCTCCGCATCCACTCGTCAAGGAAAGGAGGGCCCAGGGAATTCTTCGGAACTCAGGCACGATGAGGCCTCAAACCCAATGCCTTCGGTCGGCACTTGATATTGGAACAATCCGGACCCTCCCAGATTCCAATCGTCAGGAACATTTTCTTTTCCTTTCCCCTGACGCCAGAAATGGCGAACCTGAAAGATCCCTGCTTCGTCCTTGCATTAATGCGTGTTATAATCCCAGCCAACCACGCGACCAGGTCTGGGCGTGCAGCAGCCAGTGTCAGCCCAAAAGGCACAACGGTTGGGGTACTTCACTGGTGCTCTTCCAGGCCTCTAATTCGCCCAAAACAGCCCCTCCTTCAAGCTGGATCAGGGGACCACAACAAACTCCATCCCCATCTATTTTGCCGATCACACACAGGAAGGATACGGGCACTCACCACACCACCTCCCTCTCAAACCGAAGTCTCCGATCTTTGACGTTTGCCGCCGTGCTTCAGCTTCAGCTTCGCCTCTTCAGATTTGCCGTCCATTCACGACGGGAAATTTGTCGAAACTTTGCCTTCCATTGGAGGAAAAAAGGTACGTGAAGAACAGCTAACCTTTTCTGGAATCTCGTCAGGGGTAAACTCGTGGTCAGCCCGTGCCTCCTGGTCCCCTCCCCCCCCTTAATGCTCTGTCTACAACCCCAACTTCAGTATCAAGTCATGCCCTATACCTGGACACCTGTTCCTATATCAGTCTTTTCCCGAACAAGTTCATCTCTTTTCTTGCCTCCACTAGGAATCCACATCCAAGGTGTGAAACTACGTATCTGACACACTTTCCAGGGAGAGAGAGAACAACGGCACCACACCCGATTCCGGCCTCATTCACTGACTAGTGCCACCGCCCCAAAAGATCCAAACCGGCTATTGCCTATTTTGGCGTCACGGCGTCACTGCGTCTGCGTCTCGCCTATCCTAGCCTTAAAGCACGTTCGGAACGTCCGATCGACGTCTTCACTCCTGTCTAGACGCTAGCTTGGTGTTTCGTTCTCCGCGAACCGAACTGACCCGGTCGTGGCTTACGTCTTTATCCTCTTTTACTTGCTCAAACCAGGGCCGTAGATCGTATCTGATCTGAAAGAGAGAGGGAGCCAAGGCAGAAAGTCACCTCAGACTAGTTGTTTGAAGCGAATCGGTACCTGCCGAGGACAGACACAAACCCACCTGTTCGTGTGTTTATCGTACCATCATCGGCACAGACACGCAGACGCGATAACAAAGTGAGAGGAACAGATCACTTCCTCATCCTCTGTTCTATTCTTACGGAGTCTGCCACACCCCTACCTGAGGCGGAGTTACCGTTCTTCCCTTCACACGGGCGCCTAACTGTCAAGGTTCGGGTCCCAGGCACCGTTCTCGGGAATCCCTTCATTGTAACCCTACCACGCGAGTCCGCATTTCGAGAAGCACCCGTTGTTCGGCCACCCCAGTCTTCCAACCAAAGATCCATTCCGCCCCGTGGCTGTCTTTGTCCCAGGTTTCCCCCAGTCCATCGATTCATAAAAAACCTGTCATCACCCCTCAGGAACGGGACGTTTTCCCCTCCTTCTTTCAAAATGTCAGACCAAACTCCAGCCCAAGAAGAGTTCGCCTCTTTCCTAGCCAAGAACTCCTCAACCAAGTACAGCTCTCACCCCGAGGACCGAGACGACTACCACGACTCCAAGGCGTTCCACTCGGACGACGCACTAGACAGCGAGGACGAAGACGAAGAAGACCGCTTCCGCAACGCGCAGATCGAAGCAGCCATGCGCATGCCCACCATGGATTCGCGGACCGAGATCCGGCTGCCGCCGGCCGGGTTCGATGCCGGCGCCGCCACGGGCGTCAAAGGCGTGATCGCGGACGCCCGAGCATATGAGACCGCCAAGCGCAGCGCCAAGTGGAAGAACAGGGTCAAAAGCGCGCGGAGGAGCGTGTTTGGCGGCGGCGACGCATCCCCATCACACCAGCAGAAGAGCGGAAGCAGGCAGTACAGCGACGGTGCGGGAAGCAGTGGGCTGGACAGCGATTTCGGCAGTGATGCCGGGCTGGATAGCATGGACGAGGACGAGAAGGAGTTTTTGGACAAGTGGAGGGAGAGCCGGCGGCGTGAGCTGGAGAAGAGCAGCATGAATCCGGCTTCGAGACAGAGAAGGACGAGCCCCAGCTCGAGGCTGTTTGGTCGGCTGGATAACGTGGATGCGATGGGGTATTTGGATGCTATTGAGAAGGTTGGGCCAGAGACGGCGGTGGTGGTGTTTGTTTATGACCATGAGGTTGGCTCACCTTTCTCTTTTCTTTCCTCGATTCCCAGCAAACAAGACAAAAGCAGGTTACTGACTATTTTGACTTTCTAGTGCCCCGTCTCGGCAGCAATCGAGATCGCCCTCCGACCAATCGTTCATTCTCACCCCGCCATCCATTTCGTCAAGGTCCACTACGCCGAGATGGAGTTCGACAACGCAGCCGTCCCGTCTATCCTCGCGTACCGCAACCAGGGAGACCTCTTTGCGAACCTTACCGGGCTGATCGAGATGATTCCGGACGACGAGGATTTCGACAGTGACACGCTCAAAAGGCTGTTCGAGAGGCACGGCATATTACGGAGCCAAAGGGGAGAGCCTGCTGGATGGTGATGATGCTACTGCTGCTGGGTTTCTCAGTCAGTCAGTTGATATCTTCCGAATCTCCGAGCTGTGGTGTTTCTGTTTACCTTGTTGGAAGACGGAAATACACGGTGCTTGCACTGAGCTGTGTCATGAAGATTGCGTGCTTTCGTGTCCCTAATGACACTGGCAAGGCTGCCCTGATCCTCTGTTCTCAGCTGCCGCGGCATGCACAGGCCAGAATCTCAAGCCGGCCTGGCATAGGTACCTTCTCTAGGCAGCTTTATGCATACATCATCAGGCCTGGGCTGCTGAACGGTTTGTGCCCAGCTGGACGCCCGGCGTCGGTGGATTACATGACTTTGAACCTTGGTAACGGTGCGCTCAGCTCATGCCCTGGAGGCGTGATTGAAGCAGGCAGGGCGGATGAAATCATACGGATACATGGTGTTTTAATGATGGTCATGTCTGGATGCTAGAACACGCTGGTGTAGAGATACCATAGGTAATCTTGGGGGCTGTGTTTTACTGCTTATCGTTATATGTGTATACTCAAGAGTTTAAGACTGTACGCTTCATGTAGATGTTTGGCAATTCAAGCCTTGGAGGCTGTATCTGTACCAATAGCGCAACCTACCACCTCGAATGTTTACGAACGCACCTGGTTGTCCCTGGTGTCGGTGAGCATCGTGGTCTTCAGAAGCTCGAACAGGGAGAAGAAGCTCCCTTGGAAGCATCCAAGTGGTTCAACCGTTCAAGTGGATGCCAAGATGCGTGGAGCTGGAGCTCTGCGTCCCACTTTTACAATGCAGATCCCCCAGAAAGAGACCGGGGGGTCTACATATCGATAGCCACTGTATGCATGTGCGGTGAAAGACACTGTACTTGTAGGGCGATGACGAAGGCCCTCGGCAAGACATCACTTTAACTCTTTCGTTCTCGGCCACAGAAGCTGGCTGTTGCTAGAAAGTTGACTTGTAGGTAGGAAACTAACAGCTGAAACGGATTCAGGGGTTCCGTCGGAAACCATTTGCGCAATCCATTCGTGGTTACGCCTTCCTTTTAACATAGGTCCTTACGTGGACGAAGAACTCGGGCCACCCCAGAATACGTGGCACTGTACACATTCCAGACTGCCGGGGTCCATTAAGTGCTATCGCACTACCTAGGTACTTGTAGTGGCACCCGTTCGGAGTGGCCCTCCACCTCTTGATGGCAAGACCTAACTGTCTCTTCGAGATCATGCTCCCGTGCATCGACAACCTATGTGCATCAGTACATACGAGTTGGATGCGTCGTCTTTCTCGGTTTCTTTGTTCGTTTCGCTGCGGTCACATATGGGCACTGCTTGGCCCGGGGCGAGGCGAATCTCCTTTCGGACCCCTCACGGTCGTCGGGGCCAGGGCCCATGTGCCTAAGACCGACCCCACCATTGACGACCAACGGTGAAGACCTCCATTCGTGACGTTAACACGCCTGAGTGGGAACAAGCTGCTCTTTGTGATAGCTGGACTAACCTCCCTTTTCCGTTCTTTCATGGCCAGACGGACCACGTCCGACCTGAAGGCTGTCGGGCCCTCGTCGGAAATGGGGTATCTTCCCGTCGTGCAGAATGTGAGGCACCTCAGGCTGAGCGCCGCAACAGAGCAAAAAGTGACTTCATTGAAGGACAGACGGCGCAGTCGTCAGTCCGTCGCTGCCCAGATCAGCTATTAACAAGGCCGGTTTGGACCAGTAGGAATGCAGCAAGGTAAGTACCTAGACGAGGGGGAGCTTCCCAGACCGTATCACACCTCTCGCTCCAACTGCACCGCTCTTCTTTCTCCCTTCCACCACCACACTTCCACCCAACAGTCATTCATATTAGCCTTGTCTTTGAGCTATATTCCGTGACGCTCCCTTCCCCTCCAGCACTTCGATCTCTTCCCGTTTGCTTCTCGGCTTCTGCATCCAGAGGAACAAGAAGTGCAGGTCAGAACAATTCACGTCGTGCCTCCTCCCGACGTCCAGAAGTGCAGCAACTCGTTCGAATCGTATCCCTCGGATCTCTCCTGGATCTCTTCCGACAATCCAGGAAAGCGTCTGGATATACCATCCACTGTATTAACTCACCCCGCTCTGGGCTGTCGTCGATAAAGTCGGGTCTGAGGCTTCCAGGTCGAGCTGGAGCTGGCCATCTGAAACAATCCCGCGGGAAGTAGGGCAGTTGCTGCTGAGCTCCTTCCCCCACCTTGGCCGTGCAGGCGCCTGCTGGTGTAAGTAGGCAACAACCTGACCCAAATCCCATATCTCTCAGGCGGAAGGAGGGGAAGGCAACTTCCACCACTACATCCATCCATTTTCGTCCGCCAGTATCACAAGGGATTTGGTATCAGCAGCTTACTGCAAGAGATCCAGATCGTCGACCAGTATTAACCTGGTATACCTCGTTAGTAGTTTCTTCACTTTCAGTCGAATTCGATTCATTCGCTCTGTTCTGGACTGCGCTCCTGCCATTCAGCCAACTGAACTGTTTCCGTCGCGCTGGATCAGGCTCGCTTTGATCTGACAACCACCTCACCCACCCCCCATTCCATTACCGAACCCCTCCTTCCCTTGCTCTTCCCACCTTCTCCCTACAGCTCGACCAACACTTGGATTTCTTCTTCCATACTGCCAACGTGGAATTTCAGCTTCCTCTCCACCTGGAAGACTATACATTCGCATAAAACCACATCACCCTGGAATTAATTCTCAGTTCATCTAAAATTTCGTCGGGAAGCAACCGGGTGATGCTGCCTATTAACTGACGTACATCCTCGTTATGGAATCGCAGACAGACAATTCTACAAGAACATCAGATACCGAAGCCAACAAGCCGGTATCTTCGCCCAGCACACTGTCCGAAAGAAAGCTCTCGTCCTCCACTCCAGCGTTCCTCTTTCCAAAGCCGCAAGGGAACGACAAGCTAGCAACCTGGGTCTCGAACAGTTCACCTGATATCCGACAGAATCTCCCCATCATGTCCGACACTGGGGATTTGGCCGACTCGGTCTACGAAATGGTTGGCAATTACCCCGAATTCAGCAGCCAAGACAGCCCCTTTGGCAGTCCAGATGACGATCTGTCTGAGAGCATCAGTTCACTGCCACCACATCCTTCCGACGATGTTCGCAGTTTGGATGGTTCGGAGGACCGATTCACAACTGAGTCAGATGAGGAACGCGAGGAAGAAGACGAGCCAACCGACACGGACGGTGCCGAGGAACTGAGTTCCTCTCGTGCTTCCTCCATTAAATACACAGATCAAGCGCTACAGTCCCCATCCACAAATGTTCCGGCAAACCCTTTGCAATATGGCTCGGTGACCTCCATTCCCGATACGTCAAAGTCTATCGAATTTCAGGAAGCAGCCACCGACACTGTTGACAGTTCGCCTGTCTTCGTTCGACATGCGATCAAAGAGTTGACGGGTAAAGAGGCCAACGCCTTGAGCAAGTCCTTGGATCTAAGCGAACCACCCCAGTCTTTGTCCGTTTCCCTACGTCAGACAATGTCACAAGCCTGCCTGTCTACCGATGAGCCCCTGCGAGTCCTGTACACAGGTTCGGCAGCAGCGCAGAGGGATATCCTGCTCAAAGTTTCATCCGCTATCTGGGTCTCACCAAAGGACGGCCATCAGGAGGACGGCCAATTCATGAGGCACCGGGAAGGAGTATACAACATTGTGCCTATCTCCTCGTTTGGGTCTGCTCCAGAACTGGACCTTATGGAAGCTTCCAGCTACCAAATCAAAGTTGAGCATTGCACCTCGGCTACTGCGTCACCAGTGGGAGATGGACCCGTGCATGGGCCCAATACGGTTTACTCAGTTACGATTGAGCACGAGCGGACTTACACTTCTCTCCCCTCGCACTTCGGCGCAGCCAACCTTGACCCTCACTGGGACATCCCTCACCTTGCCGTTTTCTACTGCTCAGAAAACGTAGACGAGGAAGACCAGAGAACCAGAGAGGCCGCATGGGGATTTACCAAACGCCATGGCATTCCATCCATCTTCATCTCAGAGCATCTGCGCATCGAAAAGCAGGCTGTCGCTTACTGGAGCAAGTATCTCAACAAGCATGCAATCCACATCTCCCTTGAGTCCAGCGATCCCACCAAGACGATGGCTCCTCGATTACTGCCTGTCGATCTGGAGTCTTTCGGGAACATCAATGCTTGGCAGATGAACCGCAACATTGCCTATCTGACGGGCCTGTCCGATACGAAGGGGTCTGAAAAGCACCATGAGTCGGGTACGAAGGTTAACAAGTGGTGGCAGAACTTGACGCCCTCGAGGATGTCCCGGGCCCGAGTCGTCGAGGCAATCGAGCGAAAGGGATGGCTCTTTACCCTGCTTCTCCCGCTCTTTGCGGCACTCCTGTCCCAAGTCTTCTTAGGCTATCTGGGGCCTCTTCCGGCGGAGCAAATTCAGCCATTGCGGGCGTCGCAAGCTTCAGCGATGATGGAGACGACTCCAGTCATTCCCTCCACGGTTTCTGTGAAGATCACGCACACTTCTACAGCAACAGTGGTGGTCAATATTACTTCCACCAAGACAATCCATGCGACACCTTCCACAAAGCCATCAGTTAGTAGCTTGGCCTCTGCTCTATCGTACGCTGGTCTGCTCTTGGATCGGCCCTCTGACACCCCAGCCGAGGTTCAGCCTCAGAAGACAGTTTGTTCAGTGCGGGTGAACAGCCCAAATGAACTACTAGTAGTGATACCCTCCAGCAGCAAGGCGATGTGGCTGGCAAAGGGCGCAATCGACATCGATGTGTATCAGGGAGAGAAGCGGCTCAATACGAAGCTTTCTTCTGTAGACGAGGGTATCTTGGTCGAATTGCCGGGCAAGCAGGCTCAGGGGCGCTTCAACGTCTCCGTCATCAGCAACCGCAGGCCGAAGACGAACGAGACCTTCGAGGTTGATTTTGGCACGGATCCCATCACCGAGGCGTTTGAAGCCAGCAAGCTACTGCTGCAGGACTTTACCAATGTTCTTTCCGCTGCGAAAAAGGAAGTGGTGCACATTGGGTCGTCTCGAATTTCCGAAACCCGCGATGCTGCCAGGAACACTTACAAGAAGGTGGCCAAGAAGATGGGGAGCACCGTTTCTTCAAAGGATATTGTTAGGCTGAAGAAGAAGATGGACCAGGGAGTCTACCAACTCGAAGTGTCCGTTGTTAAGGCGCAGATCAAGTCGAAGCTGGTATGGCTCAAGTTGCGGGGATCGCCTGAGGAGTACAAGGAATACCTCGCCAACGCGACCCGTTTTCTTCAGGAGTTTGAGGCGATGCGCCAAGAGAAGACGGAAGAGGCCCAGGAGGAAGCTGTCTCAGATGAACCATCCGGCTTTCTCGGAAGACTTCGCCACAGGTTGAAGGAGAAGGACCAGAGCTCCCAAGGACGGAACAAGGGCACGGACATGTTGTGGAGGATGATGGCATGATATCGGGACTAGTATTGCTTTTGATTCACCTTCTGCCTGTTTTTTCCAAGTTGTTATACATTCTCCTTTGGTGGGTTATTTCGGCAATCATTGGGAATCAAGGGGGGGCGTCGATACATATCAGGACACTCAGGATCACAAAGGCTTGGCTGGGACGGGATTGGAGTTACAACAATTGTGGTGTATATGACGGGCTCTGAGCGCTTCAGGTATTGTAGGTAGGTAACGATAGCATTTGTGTCATTTTGCAGAGTATAGTAGATCAAAATGACCCTTCGCTAGTTTCTGCCTCTGATCCCCTTGACATGCGTGGACAGATGTGAGAATGATGGGTAGGGTGAAGTTACCTTGTGTTGATCGTTGTAGTATGTAGTAAGTGGTGATCGTGATAAGGTATATACTCAGTCAACCCTTCCCCATTCACCATGCAATCACCAACCCCCACAGCGCTTCACGACAGGAGGATGTCGGTAGGCAGCAAGCGACTGACGCACGGACGCTTGCACGACAGCCTCCTTTGGTGAGCCTAAAGAAGACAGGGCATCAAGTCACGACCCAATCGGCGGATGCGGATGGCACCTTTGAGTTTCGTTTGTTGATCATTTGGGAAGTGACCTCAGCAGACTCAGCTTCCTAGGGCGACTGGAGGGAGGACGACATTGGGCGAACAGGGCTGGGCAGGAGTGGTGGGATGGCATATGGAAGCGCGGAGGAGGACTGCGGGAGAGGGAGGGGAGGGAGGGAGGGGCAATCTTTTGGATTCCATTCTGGCCTATCCACCCGCCCTGACCCTGACCCTGACCCTGACCCTGACTTGCCTGACTTGAGCCCAGCCCAGGCGCCTGGCGGACTGAGACCTGAGAGAGAAGAACCCACTCCAACGAGCAGAGAGCTACAATCCATCCACCCACTCCCCTCTAACGTTTTCCACTCTCTCTAACACATCGAGCCCCCCCGAAAAGCCCGCCGAACGAGTTTAACTTCTGGATTAACAGTATCCGGTACGTACGTCCATTTTACGCCTTTTCTGCACGTCCCTGTCGGGACTCTATTTCTTTCTTTTCTGTCTCTACCTACCGACCCGTGCAGGCATATTCAGCATCCATCCAACCTCCCCCCGCACATGGGACACACCCCGCTTCAAATCTCTGCCTCTGGTGGTCTGTCGCTGGTGCTGCGCCGCCCGCTCGCTCACTCGGTCGCCAGACGAGAGGCAAGAGACAGACAGAGAGCAGAGAGAGAGAGAGCAGAGAGAAAGAAAGAAAGAAAGAAAGAAAGAAAGAAAGAAAGGAAGAGAGAGCGAACGAGAGAGAAGCAGACCACACGAGATAAGACAGGACAGGACAAGACAAGAAACCCCGCCTTGATGGTCGCCCGTCGTGTCGCGCGCCTACCTAGGTACCACCACCATTCAGACAGAGCCAGTCAGGTTAGCTAGCGGCAATGGCGGGATGGGATGGTTGGGGTGTACTCTCGTCTCTGCCTCTCTCCCTCTTCTCTGTTGGGGGTGGTTGGTGTTGCTTCATGATGCCTGCATGATCGGACGAAACGAAGGAAGAAAGACATTTTGCGAAACTTGTTATCCCTACTGAGGCTGTTGATGTGATGTCACCCAGGTGTGCTAACAACATATACTCCTCACAGTTAAACCAAGCCCACAACAACTAGGACAGATACCCAATACCAAACCAAACGTCCATCAAAATGTCCGATACCGAGAACAAGCCCGTCGAGGAGGTCAAGCCTGAGGCTCCTGCCGCCACTGAGGAGGTACGTTCACCTTCCTGTTCGCCAACATACTATTTCGATTCGAGACGGCGACTAGAAGACGTCGGGAGTGTCGCGAAGGTGTCGCGATTTCCTCCCTCCTGGGACGATCGCTTGATGGGATGATCGAATGAACCAGTCGACATCAAGTTTCTTCGCCCAAACAGAGGGGACCGCGATCTCCCGCGACTGTCTCGTTTTCTTTCGCAACTGCGCTTTTACAGAACCAACAGAAGGCTAACGCGATGGCGCTTATAGACCAAGTCCGAGGAGAAGCCCGCTGCTTTCTCCAGCTCTTCCGTCTTCTCCATGTTCGGCGGTGGTGCCAAGAAGGAGAAGAAGGAGGATGAGGAGCGCGGCGACAACTCTGGCAGCGCCAAGGCTCAGCGTGAGGCTGCTGCCGCTGCCGCTGCCGAGAAGGGCGAGGACGATGAGGCCCCCGAGTCCGAGGACGTCCACTTTGAGCCCGTTATCCACCTTACCGAGAAGGTCGAGACCAAGACCAACGAGGAGTCCGAGGAGCAGGTCTTCAAGATGCGCGCCAAGCTCTTCAAGTTCGTCAAGGAGTCCAGCGAGTGGAAGGAGCGTGGTACCGGTGACGTTCGTCTCCTTAAGCACTTCGAGAACGGCAAGACCCGTCTCGTCATGCGCCGCGACAAGACCCTCAAGGTCTGCGCCAACCACTACAGTAAGGAGACCCTACTCTCTTGATCCTGGTCAGGAATGAAGCTTGCTAACGTACGTCACTACTAGTCGTCCCTGAGATGAAGCTCTCCCCCAACGTTGGCTCTGACCGCAGCTGGGTGTGGAACGCCGCTGCCGACGTTTCTGAGGGTGAGCCCGAGGCCGTCACCCTCGCCATCCGCTTCGCCAACTCCGATAACGCCAACGCTTTCAAGGATGCCTTCATTAAGGCCCAGAAGGAGAACGAGGCTCTCTTCAAGGCTGCTGAGGAGGCCGCCGAGAAGAAGGAGGCTGAGGAGGATGCCGCTGAGGAGAAGGCTGAGTAGATTTGTGGTCTAGTTTTGCATGAATTTTAAGTTGCTTAGGGAAAGTTGTCCAACCACCCCGTTCCATTTTCCGTTTTGCTGGGTGTTAGAGGGAACGTTGATATTATTACCTTTATGGGTTGGGTGATGGAACGAATGAAGGACCGCTACAGAAGTTATGACGACGATTCCCAGGCTAGAGAGCTGGTACATGGGCAGCGTGTGCGAGAAAAGAGGGGTTGAAAATATCCGACATGAAAGCACTATTTGAGGTATCGATGCGTTTGACGAGACTGCCGCTCACTGGCAACTTACCACGACGGCACGTTTGGGCTGGCAAGAGGAAGGAGAATGGGGATTGCCACGAGGGATCTATGTAACCTTCAGCTTAACCACCAGTTTTTAGATAGAACAACACACTACCCTTTACACTGATATGTTGCCTTTTGGGGTTTGGGCAAGATCCTTGTACTTGGAACCTCGTCTCGTAATACCTTGCCGGCGGCTGAGCACGATGGTCGGCCAAAAGATGAGACGAATTTGATGGCCTGCCTTGTTGACGGAAGCCGATGCCTGTCTTGAAAGAAACATGAATACAGCATTTCGTTTGCCAAGTTGCCCGTGACGCGGTCTGCCGATGTTCGTCTATAATTTCTGACTGCTTTGCGATTTCGAATCTTCTTCTCGACTACTTAACGCACCCGTGACGGCAACCGCGTTCGTCAGCGGTCTCTCACCTCTTGTCTCCTGGCGACACAAACTCACTTCTTGAAGCGATTCACTTCGGGATTTCAATATCTACTCATCAGCGCCGTCCTTGACGACTTCTTTCCACGATATTTCTTTTGCGGAAGTATCAGCTTTCAATCATCGCGATATCTCACTTCGACGAGAGTGGTGATATCCTCGTTCACCTAGGTGAGTTCACCTTGCCAATACTTACGGTGAGGGGTAGGTGTACCTTGTTGACAAGGAAGCTGACTGTTGACGCATCACAGCGCACTAGCCACAGCACGCACGGCGGTACCTGCCTCGCTGATTGCTAGCGAAAATGGTCGGCTTCAGCCACCGTTATGGTTCTGACCATGGTGACGCCGCGACGCCTCCGTTCGCGAATGATGAAGGTATGTCCGACCGCTTGAACCAACTTTAGAGAGAGTATCGCACCGTGACTACCTACCCAAGTTCCCAACCACCATCCAAGTCGCATCAGCACCACCAGTCAGCAGCGCTTCCCACCATTGCCTTGTTTTGAACACTCCTTGAGCATTTTCACCCCACGGCCATTATACCCAGAAGAACTTACCCCTCTTCACAAACCGCGATCGCATTCCCATCCCACTTTGTCTATTCCAATCTGTACGCTATAGACATAGGAGCTATCCCCATCATTATCCCTGGTTCCCAACCGCCAGGCCCGCCGCAGTACCTTTTACCCCTCCGTAACAAACGAAACCTTATCCTCTCTACCGCTACAAAGCCCAACTGTAGCAGCGCGACGGAATCTGCGACACACCACACGTTACAACACAACCAAACACCATCGAAGCCATAGTCCCAGACAGGTCGACGGATACAACGCGCGCAATCTTCACACCGTCATACATCTTCAAACCATAGCTCTTTCGTTAGAGCTTTTGAACGCCACTGCTTGACTCCTGCTCATCACTCGAGACAACTGAACGAACGACCAATTGTCCAAAGAGTGCTGTTCGAGTACTACTAGGACACGACCAAGTGAAGAGAGAACACAAAAGCTAACCGCGGGAATCCATCTAATTTCTGGGAAGCAGAGGGCCTAGAGGATCGGTCCGACGTTCCTGGTAGTGCTAGCAAGAGTACTCGAACCAAGACCACCAGAAGGAATCTGAAGCGGGTTCCAGGCGCAAACAACAAGATGATCGTCGAGGTTAGTTAGTTCCGGATACCCAGTCCAGTTTGGCTTTGGTTGGCGGCTTGCGCAAAGAGGGTGGCTTCTGCATACGGCCGACATACGGAACAGATGCAGAACCAGGGAATGGAGGGCCATCGGACGGGAAGATTGCGCGATAGCCATCATTAGGAAATAGATCCGACGGCTAACTTTGGCTTATCTCTCTACAGCGCAAGATCAAGGTTGTCACGGAGCAACACAACATCAACAAGCCCGCGGCCCAGGAGGGCTATCCTATGAAGGAGTGGACAGTCGAGCTCTACATTCTCGACCAGGATGGCAAGGAGAGACCCGCCAGGTGCTTCACCAAGGTGACCTACAACCTCCATCCTTCGTTCGCGAACCCCATTCAGAGTAAGTCGACACCCGGCAGCCGTCAATCATTTTCTCATTCTGTTCTCTCGCAAGAGTCAATGGTCGGCTAACACGCTTGCGAAACCAGCCTTCAACGACCCGCCTTTCAAATGCACTAATGAGGGTTGGGGTGAGTTCGAGATGACCATCGACATGTACACCACCGAGAAGGGCGGCAAGATCTCGATCGCGCACGACCTAAACTTCCAGCAATCCGAGTACGAGAACATCCACACTGTCACCTTCCGCAACCCATCCCAGGCGCTCCAGCAGCTCCTTAGGGAGACTGGCCCCTTGCCCTCGGACGAGGAGCGCAAGCAGAAGAAGGCGGTCGACGGCGGATCCAAGAAGAAGAGGCCCTACGACATCGAGCGCATGGCGGATGGCTTGACGAAGCTGGGTGAGGATGACCTCCTCCAGGTTATTCAGATGATCCACGACCATAAGGATGATAATACCTATATCCAGAACAACCTTGATGGTAAGTTTTTCCACCTGGAGCGTACGGCATGGGTTTCTGCGGGGAACGCGAGCGAATGCTAACTGGACATCTCTATAGCTGGCGAGTTCTCAGTGGATCTCTACACTCTCCCTGATAACCTCATGAAGATGCTGTGGGACTTCTTGGTAAGTTGCTTCCTCCTTACATCAAACCCATCTAAGAATGTGCCACTGATGCCCATAACAGATTAAGGCCAACGTAGTCTCATAGTATGACTTCCCCGGTTGAAGGAATCTACAGTAATCGATCGTCATCGGTTTACGTAAGGAGACGTCAAGGACGGGAACACACTTCTTTCTTACTCGATCACAGTGCGCACCATACCATACCCAGTACACCACCACTACCCACTATTTCACCATTATTGATCCCTTGACATTTCCCATGCACATCGACACCCGCCCATTTCCCCATCTTGCCACTAGAGCCTTATGCTCTATTCGGCTCCTGCATTATCATGGCGTTTATGGAGTTATGGTGGGACTACCGCAAAAAGCAAAATTGACAAATGTTCAAATTAAAGCTTCTTTCCGTGATGGTGCTTGATAGGATGTTCTAGGTTCCTTATCTTTGCGTGAATTGGATGGTCAGGGTGTGTTTCGTTGGCCCATTTTCTTTCTGGCAGCGTGGTTGCTGTCTTGGTTCGTGTCTATGCTCGTGAGGACTGCTTTGCACCGGGAGGTACAACAGTGGCATAGCTTATCAATTGTGCTTTGGACTGTCCTTGCAGCCTTTTTATGGTCAAGCCCGCCATCATGGCCACGATATTGTCACGCGGAACGGAAGTTGAGGGAAGAATGGGTAGAAGGAGGCCGGGCATGTAATAAATCCCACACAAGGGATATGGAACCTTAAAGACAGCGGATGCGCGGGTAAAGAGTTCGACGAAAGGGATTAGTATAGGTACTTGAATATAAGAGGATGAAAGGACGGGAGTCATGGAGAACCGAAGATTCAAGACCTGGGCCTCCAAGTTCTACTTCATCTTTTTCCCTGGAGGGGGTCGTCCTTCGACTTGGTTCTGCGTCTTTCAGCTCTAAGTGTAGGTATGACGAATAAACACTATATATATATACACCCACCTACTAGTTCTACAGGGACAGAAACATTAGACGAAGAAGATCTTGGTTTTGGAAGTGAAGTGAAGTGAGAGATAACAAAACCGAAGTAGATTTGGTCTCTGTTCAACCAACTGTACCTGGATAGCAGGTATCTGTATAGTGTAAGTACAATGAAATGAGTACCGGACGGGGGGAGATACCTACCTAGGTATAATGACCAGCCTTGGCCCGGGATGTGAAGGATAGCTGGATCAGCCCTATATTCAGGTACGTACCACGTACGTATGTGCTCAAGAAAGAACAACCTACGAAGGAATAGTCGTCGTCTACTTGTATGGAATTTGTTCGTGAGCTCCTAAGGCAGTTCACGGTCTACGTTCGAGATCATCAGACTGTAACTGTAATCTGACGTCTAGGACGAAGGAAGACTTGAAGCAAGCGAAAAGCACACAACAGTTGCTTCACGTATATACCGAGGAGAATGACATTGTTCGATGTTACGGATATGCAAGCCCACGAGGATGGGGAAGGTGGGTTTGTTTTTTCCCTTCCAGTCGTTTTCTGCGGAAGCACCACCAGACCATCAGAGAGACCACCTGAGATCGTAGATCGGGGACCCAGATGCGAGATGCCCGGAAAGAATTTTCTTCTCCTGCAGTCCTGCTTCTTTTTCCTTCCCAACGTCCTCTTTCCAAGCCACGATGCTACCTGATGATCAGTAAGAAACTGGGGAAAGTGGAGGTTTTTAGGTTGCAGTGTGGCAAGATGGCAGATGGATGGCTGATGCGGCTCTTTTTTTTCCCTGTTGGCGAGACAAGCGAGGCGACAAGAGGAGGAGGTTGGCCTTGCTTGGGAGTTGCTTTTTTTGGAAGGCGGTTGAAAACTGATCTCCTCTGGAGTCTTTTGACGTTTGGGGTTTGGATCGAGATCCGTAGCATCATTTGAAAGCGGGAGACTTGGCCGTGTCTGTCACGATGTGACTTGATTTTGTTTCTTCTATTTTTTTATATTGTTTTTTTGCATATGACCAAGCGTAGAGAAAGGGACCGGATTGGCAGAGAAGGAGTTCAGGCTGTCCCAAGAAACAGTAGCATATAAAACCGTCCGCGTGACTTGAACAGCAAGGAAGCAGGACGTACTTCTTATAGAAAAGAGGAAACGTGACGGCTGACAAGCAAAGGGAATAAGTGAAACGGTGGCTTATGATTCGTCAGTTTGCTTTTTTATAATTGAAAGTCGACACGGGTTTCCACTTTTGGCTTCCCTTCTCCGTATCATCAAAATCATCCGCTGACTTGTTTCTGAGGCTCGTTGTGCCGTCTGTTCCTGTGATGCTTGCTGTCTTGGTTGATGAGGGACTGACTGAGGCTCCCGTGGCTTCCTTATCTGTGTCTCTGTGTCGCAATTGGCTCGCCATTGGTATGTAAATCATTCACTCTTACATAGCTGAGTGTATGTACCCGTTACCCTAGGTATCTTGAGGTCGGACTGGAAGTTGGAGGTCAGAGGATGAGGCGTCCGGCAGCCTTTTTCAATGTCTAGCATACGTAGTCAATCAACTCAAGTCTTGCGGTCCAATAGCATTTCAAATCAGATCTCATACTTGGTGCGGGTATCTTCCCTTGGCATCAGCCAAGCATCATCTCTTTCTGGAAGGCGTTTCTGATGATGGAGAACAGCTGGGCTTGATAAGATTCTCGTATGCCGAGACACCTGATGCCCCCCCAAAAGCCGATGATTTCCATTATCAACAGCCCCGACGTTTCGGCGGTCAAGGGTCGATAGTCATCTTTTTGAATTTTCATTTTCTGCAATATTCCACAGAGGAGCCCGCTTTTGAGGACCGATTACATTATCAAAAACCCCATTACGGGGATCCTTGGAGAGGGGCTCGAGGGGTTCATCGTGGAAGGTGTCAGTTCATTGACGAGGTGTCGTGGGTGAGGAAGCGAAGGCTGCGAAGGAACCTGAAAAGGAGGACGTCGGTGCGGTGCAGTGTCGCATTGGTTAAGTTATTCAGTGCTTCTGGACTGTGTCGGACAGTGTCGCACTGGCGGTGGACTTTTTTCTTTTCTCGGGGCTTCTTCCTCATTCTGATAGGCCTGTGCCGGCCTAGATCAGCGCCGCCGTTCTGTTCCCCAGAGACACCTCACCTTGCGAACCTCCACTCTTCTCACTCTTTTGTTACGATCGCACTGCCCTGCATCAACACACAACGGAGGAACTCCCAAGACTCGGCATTTGTTCCATTGCACCTAGTTCACCATTGTGGTTGATTGATCCCTTCCCACGGTAAAAGTACAGGGAGGACCAGGCACGAGGACACTTGGGCGGACTGCATAAGGTACCTAATCCTGCACTGAGGCCACTGGTGGACGGGATTGACGGTCGCTTACTCCACCCCGCAAAAAGAAGAGGAAGGTCCACTGGTGCACTTTTGACGTTTTGCACGTCCATTTGACGACCCCGACACGCCGGCATTGGGATCATTCCAGCATCCCGTCTGCACCAAAAAAAACCGATTGGATTGGAGATCCTTCGGTTGGAGTTATTGGAGATCGATTGGAGACGGCGGGAGGGGCAAGAGCAACCTTGGATCCGCCGCTTTCGTTTTATCAAGTTCCCAGCTAATCAACTACCTATTATCGCCGCCTGCCCATCTCGTCGCCCTTCGGCTCTTTTATCCTACCAAGACCTGACTCTCCAGTTCTTCAACCACCACAAACCGCTGCAAACCGACACCGACGTCCGACCCAGGGGCCTACCTGGACCCGACAGCCCGACACAGCCATCATCACCACCGCCGGCCTCGGGTCGCATTAACTCCATTGCCGCCCCTAACCATGGCCCAGTACGCCGCCCCGGCCGCTCAACAACAAGCCGCTGCTGCCCATCACTCTCTTTCGCCGCTGTCGCCGTCCGCCTCCGTTTCCGCCTCGGTCGGAACTGCTCCGCCCTTGACCCCATCCGGCACCGCTCCGGCCGGCACGGGTGCAGCTGCGGGTCCCGCTCCAGCTGCCGCTACGGCTCAGAGTGGAGCCGGATCTGCTTCCGCCTCCCAACCTCAGGCCGAGCCCCGGTCCCAGTCGCAGTCCGGCGCCGCCCCTTCTGTCTCTGGCGGTGGTGCTTCTTCTTCTTCTACTGCAGGAACCCAACACAAGCGGGTTTATCAAGCATGTATTCCCTGCCGTCGTCGCAAGGTGCGGTGTGATCTGGGTTCCGTCGATAACCCCAGTGATCCGCCATGTGTCCGCTGCCGGCGCGAGAGCAAGGAATGCTACTTCAGCGCAACCCGCCGGAAGCGCAAGGTCGACGATGACATGACCGACATCTTTGATGATCCCGACCAGGATGACTACATCCTTCGCAACGGCAGGAAGCAGCTGCGCACTGGTGAAAGTCCGGTCGTAGCTGCCCCTCTTGATCGTCGACTCTACAGCGATGTCCCTCTCACTCCCGGGGGTAGCCGTGGCCGGGCACAGCCGTTGAGGAGACCTGGTGATGGCGGCCCCAGGAGCACCACCAGCACTGGAGGGGCTCGGAGTACCACCGGCGGTGAGTTTGGCGCCGGTGAGGCCAACACTCCGCTGGAAAACTTCGAGGCCAGAACGGTTATGCGCAGGGAGGTATACGGTCCACATGACGCTCTAGACTTGTTGTACAAGGCGGCGACCGACAAGTTAGTTGACACCCGTGATGATCGGTCCCAGAGACTGCCATATGCTGATGTCGCGCGCTTGCGTAGCCCGATGCATAAGCAGGATGGGGACTCTTCTGCCGCCGGGAGCTCTTCGCGGGCCAATCTTCATACTGGGCGCCCTGGTCTGGACTCCCGTCACTCATCTCACCACAATGATCGTCCGGGTCTTCACCCTCGTCACGCTTCAAGGCAGGAAGTTCCCGCTGAACCCATCGACCCGGAACTCACCAAGCGTGACATATCGCAGGAGCCGGGTTACAATGAGGCCTTGAAGGCATGGGCGCGCTTTCGGTTCGTGCGGGCTGGATGGTTTACTGCGCAGGAGGCAATTGACTACATAGAGTAGTAAGTCTTTGCCTTCTACATCTTATTCTTGTGCTAAGCTAACACGTCTACCTAGTTACTATGCATATCTTTCACCACTTACCCCTATTTCACCTCCTACGTTCCGGAATCCGGCTTCCCACCTCACGTTGTTGACAGAGGAACCCATCTTGACAGTGACGCTCCTTACGATTGCGTCTAGGTACCGCCGCATGCCGGGAACGGGTGGCCACTGCCGATCACACGCCATTCATGAACAGCTATGGACATACCTCCGAGGCATGATTGAGCGTGTGGTCTGGGGTCAGGAGGCATTTGGCGGTGGCTTCTGTGGCTCGGGGGCGGACGAATCGCAGAGTTCTAGCACGGCGCCATGGAGGGGTCTTCGCCGCGGCAGTCTCAGGACATTCGGCACAATCGAGTCCCTTATGATCCTGACCGAGTGGCATCCACGTGCTCTCCATTTCCCGCCAAGTGAGGCCATCGATGAGCTGCTTTTGCCCTCGTATGAGAACTCAGTGGATGACGACAACAACCAAAAACCTTCAGCCGGGTTTGGCGGCAGGAGAATAGAGAGCTGGCTGGAGCCTGCCTGGCGAAGTGACCGTATGTGCTGGATGCTGCTGAGTACCGCTTTGGGCTTGGCGTACGAGCTCGGAGTCTTTGACGACATCGACGAACTGCTCGCAACCGGGTCTATAACTCGGCCGGAATACGAGGATGAGTCGTATCGTCTCAGAGCCCATCGCATCAAGAGATTGCTCTTGATTTACCTGAGCCAGCTTGCTGGTCGTCTCAACTGGACAAACATGGTCCCCGAGAACATGCGTAACGATCCGATCATGTCACGGAGGCGACCTCACACGGGAGCAGAAGGCACCACTCCGGGAACTAATCCTTCGTCCATGTCCAATGGGTTTGTGTACATCCCTGACCTCGAGTTAGACGACCAGATCATCCTCTGCTGGGCCGGTGTCAGTAATGTGATGCACATGGGCAACGAGAAGCTTTTCCGGTCTCGCAACTACACCACCGATATCATCCAGAGCGGGAAGTACATCCAACTATTGAAGGAGTTTCAGCCTCTGTTGAGGAACTGGTGGAACGACTTCAACCGATTCGTTCTGCCACCATACATCCGGCACATTCTTACCATCGAATATGAATATGTCCGGATTTACGTCAACTCGCTTGCCCTACAAGCTGTGGTTGAGCGTTGTACTAACAACCCCAATGTCGGAGGCGGAGGCTCAGCCAACGGCGGCAGCGTCTCGGGACACTCGGCTCCTCAACTGTCGCCACAGACGCAAAACTACCTCGGCAAGCTGCCGCTCAGTCAACTTGGTGGATTCGGGGCTGAAGACGAGGAGTACGTGAAGGAGGTTGTTAACGGCAGCCGAAACCTGCTTCGAACCGTCGTCGAGGGTCTCTTACCCAAGGGTTACCTGAAACATGCCCCCGTGCGGACTTACTTCCGCATCATCAGTGGCGCCATGTTTCTGCTAAAGACATTTGCACTCGGTGCGCCCAAATCAGATGTCGAGTTGAGCATCAAGCTGATGGACCAGACGGTAGATGCCCTGAGGCACTGCGTCGTTGACGATGTTCATCTGGGAATTCGCTTCGCAGACATGCTCGAGACTCTGACCAGCCGTCTACGCAACCGCTTCATCCACGCCCCACCGCCGCCCGTTGCTACCACAGATGGTCGGTCTCCTAATCCCAACCACCATGCGGATAACAACGGCAACGGTCCCATGTCCCATGGGGCGCCAAATCTTTCCTCGGGGGACGTCTGGTCCAAGCTGTCTGCTAACAATCTCGGTGAGTTCTCCTGACATCCCTTCCACAACTGCCGTCCAGAAAGTGAACTGAACTAACAACCATCAAACAGAACGCTCCAGCATTCCAACGAACAACATATCCGCCACCCCCTGGGACGTCGCAGCTGGCGACTTTCCCTATCCCACCGGCTCAGCATCCATGTTCGGCCCCTCCACGCCCGCCGCCACGTCCAACTTGCCCGATAACAACGGCAACAGTAATGGACACAACGGCGGAAGCGGCGGTGCTGGTGGCGGCAATGGGGGTGGTTTAGCCGACAGCATGTTTGAGAACACGGATTGGGCCAACCCCAGCAACGAGATGTGGTACCTCCCCACCGGCCCGGCCTTTTTCCAGAACATTGACAACACGAGCGTGTCGATGACAGCGGAGGGTGTGAACGTGGGTGGTGTGGATTTGTTGGACTTCATGGCCATGGACCCAATGGATGGGGCTAGTTTTGTTCTTGATGGGGGGAGGTATTCCTGAGTTGTTGAGTCTTGAGTCGAGTTGTTGGCGAGAGAAGGGAATCGATCTGTTTGTGGAGCTGCTAGGGATCAAAGTACAGCAGGGACGGGAGGTATCATCATTGATTTGGTGGGGAGAGGATGATATATAAGGGAAGCAAGGGGGAAGACACAATACTGCTGAGAGCTAATGAGCTGCTGCAGAAGATCGGATGCAGCATGAAACACAAAAAAGTTATTATAGGAAGGGATGTATTGCTCTTTTGTTAAGAGCGAAAATTGGGACAAGCGCGGTGTTATTTGTTTGATCTTATGCCCAACATTAGGTAGCGTCAAAATGGGATATTACGGTAGGAAAGGGAAGGAACGAACGAAGTCATAAGTTGAATGGATCAACGGTACCTTGCAAGAGGTATGGAAGCCATGATCAATCAGTGACTGCAATTGTTTGTGCGCTTGTGAAGTTTTAGTGTGTTGTCGGGTTTCATCGAACAAGGGCAGGATAGATTTCGGATAGTGTCTTTTTGCCTTAAGCCATGAATACCGACATAGGGTGAATAGTCACCGAGTTCCTGATCTTTTCAACCTTGGTATTGGTTAATTGATGTGTTTACAATATTTTGAAGTGCCATGCCATTCACGGTCCAAGTTGATAATAGTTGTCCTCCCGTTGGGTCGGTTTTTGGTAAATTTTCTTGTAACTAACTATAACTTGTCTCTCGATGAAGGCAAATCGAGAGTTCCATGATCTGGTATGTTATACACTAGTTATCCGTCTATTCCCCTCTTGTTTATATGTATCCCTTAATCTCCATCATATTTGTTTATCCCCAGATTCACCCCCATATCGTATCGTGATATCCATTCATAGTCCATAGATGTACACCCTATTCTATTGTCTTCTTCGATATCGTCTCTTTTCAAACATCTTACATCCGTCACACTCAACTCGCTCTATACCCCCATCATCCTCACTGACCCATCCCATTTTACCTAAAATTAGTTAGGCAACGGCTCCTCCACCGCCTTGGCCCAACTCCTAAACCACTCCAGCGCCTCCGGGTTCGCCACGCTCGCATTCGTCTTCACCTTCAGCCCGCTCAAGATCTGCTTAACAGCAACCTCAATCTTCTTCCCGTTGCCCGTCCGCGGGATACCCGCGGGGCCACACTCCTCCACCACACCAGGGACATGTCTGGGACTCAGCTCGCGCTTGATCACGTTCTTGATCCTATCCCTCACTTCGCTGCTGAACTGCTTGCCAGGAACCATGACCACAAACAGACACACGGTCTCGTCGCGATCGAACTCGCGTCTGCGCCCGACGCAGACCGCGTCTTCGACTTCGGAAGCGAAAAAGCGGGTGAGCACGTTGTAGATCTCCGCAGAGCCGAAACGGACGCCGGCCGGCTTCAGCACGCCGTCGGAGCGGCCGAGCATCACCAGCGCGCCGGTGGAAGGGTCCATGCGCACAAAGTCGCCGTGGTGCCACATGGCTGTGCCGAAGCGCTCAAAGTATGCGGCGCGGTACTTGTCGTCGCCGCCCGGGCCGAAAAAGGTGAGAGGTTGGCAGGGGAAGGGTTTAAGGCAGACCAAGTCGCCTTCGGAGCCGACGGGGTCGACGGGAAGGGGGTTGGAGGCGTCGGAGGCCGAGTCCATTACCGAGATGGCCATGCCCAGGCCGGCGCATTGGACTTCTCCCGCGCGAACGGGGAGGAGGGGGCAGGGGGCGCCGAAGAGCGAGATAATGTCTGTGCCGCCGGTGATGGAGGCTAGGTTGATTGTGGCGGGGAAAGCGGTGTAGACGAAGGCGAAGGTGGAGGGTGGAAGGGGGGCGGCGGTGGAGTAGATGGCTTCAAGGGAGGAAAGGTCGAGGTTGTGCTCGGGGTCGATGGGGCGCACGTTGTTGGCTTCGAGAGTGGTGAGGTAGGCGGCTGAGGTGCCGAAGTGGGTTACCTTGAGGGAGGAGAGGAGGCGCGGCAGCGAGAGGTGGCCGTGCGGGCGGAAGGGGGAGCCAGAGTAGAGGACCAGCGAGGCGCCGCACGAAAGCGAGGAGACGGACCAGTGGTGCATCATCCACGAGGTGGTGGTGTAGTAGAGCATACGCGAGCCCGGGGAGAGGTTGCTGTGGATGAAAAGCTCTTTCTTGTGCTGGAGGAGAGTGCCGGCGGCGGTGTGGACGATGGCCTTGGGCAAACCGGTGGTGCCGCTGGAGTAGAGGACGTAGAGAGGGTGCGAGGGAGGAAGCTGGGCGAAGACGAGGGGCTCCTCCTTGGGCGAGCTATGAAGGAACTCGTCGTATTCCTCCGCCTTGACGCCCTTGGCGCGGATCTTGTTTAGGCCAGTCTCGAAGTTCTTGAGACCCTTGACAACGACGACGAGCTCGAGGCCATGCTTCTGCAGCTCCTCAACGACCTCGAGGGTCTTGGGAATGCCAGACCACTCCTTGCCGTTGTATAGAGTGGCGTTATCTGAGAAGAGAACCGTAGGCTTGATCTGAACAAGACGGTCCAAGACGGCGCTGACACCGTTGTCGGGGCTGATTCCTGTCCAGATGGCGCCGAGAGTGGCAGCACTGAGGAGGGCAACCAAAGCCTGCACATGGTTGGCGACGAAGCCCGCCACGACACTGTTCTCCTTTACTCCAGCAGCTCGGAGGGCGTTGGAGCATTGCCGGACCTGTTCCCTCAGCTGGTCCCATGTGGTTTCGGTAAGGTGCTCGTCGTTTTCGGTGGCGGTGATGACAGCAACATCGGATCCGTTGACGTCGGCATTTCCAGGGAACAGAAGGTTCTCGGCGAAGTTTAGTCGGGCACCGGCAAAGAAGTCGGGCCTAGGGAACATGGGCGCATTTTCAGGGAGCACCTATAGTAGTCGGCATGATTAGTCTGTATGAAGCAATACACAGGTCATCTCTGAAGGTGCTGCTGGTTGGCTCCCAATGCTTATTCCCAATAGGGGTATGTTTAGGGGTATAAGGGTCCGCCATGGGTTGTTCGGTAACCCCGACGACGCCATGCGGCCGTCAACAAGGGCAAATGAGACGAAGGGATGCGTTCAGGCGACGTCCATATGAGACATCAGTTCCCCAACCCATCGCATCCCATCTACAGAGTTCGTAGACATCCTTCCGGTCGTACATTGTGCTTCGTGAACCGGAAGTGGGGGCTGAACAAAGTTGGGGTTTGTCCGGGGTTCCCCATCTTCCCCCCTTTTCCCCCTTTGACCCCACGAAAAAAAGAAAATGAGACGGTTTGAGAATGGAAAACACCATCCATGGAAGCCAGCGTGATCGCATGAAAAACAAAAAGACTCAGCCACCCACCTCACCGAATAGCTTGGAACTCCTGATTCCGGTAAAGTGCCATGCCTCTTCCCAGAAGGCGGCAACGTTGTCGACTGACCACTTGTAGAGGGATGGATAATCGTTGAGCTGGAGGCCGTACTTGGAGTTCACATGCTCAATGAACTTCCACATCTGCGTGGACTGGGGGTCCTGATGCCTCCATAGCTCGTTGGTGACCGTCATGGTGAAGAATCGAAGAGGATTAAAAGATATATCTGATAAAATAAGAGACGCGTGAAGCGAGAACGGAGTCAACTTCCAAGGGACGCGTGGGGGAGGAGAGTGATGACGATTCAGGTTGTCGCGGGGAAACTTCCACACTTTGGTCCGGGGTAACGGGGACTCGGGACAGTTATCAGATTCCGATGGTCGGATTGGGGAATCTGGGGTTCGTCAATCTCAATGCTCCTCCACTTTGCGCTCAATGCCCAGACCGGAGAGTGGGAACGTGACGTCGTTCGACGTGTTGGGCGGTCAGCGTGTACGTGATCGCGGAGGCGCCAGGGAAGGTTGAAGATGAGGAGCCGCTACGGGTTTACCGTTACGGGGCCTCGGGGGGTCTATAGTTTCGGCCTTGCCAGCTACTTGTAGGTAGTGTAGAGTGCTGGGCTCACAGACCATAGTAGCGCCGCAGTATGCCGGTTCAATGCCGGGGTCATGCTTGAGTGCCACATGCCGCCGGCGATGGTCACCGGAATTGCAGTTGTTACAGCGGGCTGGAAAGGCAGAAAGGGACGAAAATTGTGTGCATCGAGTGGCTGAGATCGTCGTCCATCCCTCCGCGCTCCGATGGGATGGCCCGAGGCTTTTGACATCGGGACCCATCCAAAGCCGAGTCTGGGCGAAGCTACCTACCTCTAGAGGTACCTCTACCTAGAGCTAGACTCTGGAAACCGCTGCAGAGACTCTAATTCGCCAAGAATTTCCTAGAGAGGCTTTGGGGACTTTACCATTGTGAAGCATCCTTTCGGGCTTGAAGAAACCGGCAATCTTCTTTGACTTGTGAAACCGAAGTAGATAAGGCCAGCTAGGTACCTTACTGGAGAATTGTGTAACGGTTGAACTTGTCTTTTGCTCTCCGCATTTGTTTAATGACGGTGTGGTTCTGTTGGAGAAAATCGAGAAGACCAAGTGCAAACTCGCAAGAAATGGCCTTGCTTCCATCCCATCTTTTGTCCCGTCAGTTCAATAAACTCAACATACGTACCTTGCATAGGTATTCTGAACTGTCGGCATCCGTGAAACCCACGGCAACCCGTCATCATAATTCACGTCTCACGTCGCACGTCTCGTCTCTGATGGCCTTCAAGAAGGTCTTCTGTCTGCCATTGTCTTGGCGGCAGCTGTCGGGATCAGCCAATGGTTGGCGAAAGAGACAAAGTCGCACGATTGGCAATGCTTCTAGCGCGGCACACAAGCGGTAGCAATAAAAAGGCGGCTGCAAGTCTCATGCAGTCCCGTGTCCTGTAATGCAGCTCTGCATCACCGCATCTCACCACATCATCGCAATCAAACCGCTTCAGGACAGGCCGTGATCCCAGACCTTGACCGCCAAACTGCTCAACTACAAAAGAATCCAGCAACCTGCGACGGCCTGTGAATGTGATTCCTGCGAAAGGCTAGCCATGTTCCAGTTTCTCTTTTGCCAAGCGTCCGACGTCTCCATATCTTTGTGGATTCAGCCATCAGGCCATGGGCGCATCACCTCAATGCAGCAGGGCTGTGGTTGACTGCCCGTGCTGGGACCGACTGATAAACTCCGCCGTAGCACTACCACTAGTGTCGCGAATTTGGGAAGACAGATCGATGATCGGGCATCAACCCAAGCCAAGGGCGAGGGTTAGAAGGCGATGCCGAGCGGGAGAAAAATTCGTTGAATTGGGCCCTGTGGGAAATGGAAAAAAAGGGGAGTCAAAAGAATGTTTGCCGTTCTAGGGTTTCTTCCCTTGATCCCTTTCATTTCCAAAAGTGCTCGTTCGGTGGCAATGGTACACAACACAAGAGACACTCAGAGTCCCTTGCCTAGTCGGGACCAAAGCCGGCTGATGATTGGCACACCCGCCAATGTGTCGCGCCTGGACAAGTCCGTGTCAATGGTGCCTGCAGTGGTTCGAGGCGATCCCCATCCCAGGAACGCATTTTCTGAAAGTGAGCCCGTTCGAGGTGCAGTATCGGAGTGTTCCTGAGTCCGGAGAGCCGTTGGTGTCTCGTCTCAAGCCAAAACGCCGGCATTATAGAGATACTTCATGATAGTGTCTGCTTTCGTGTGGTGGCAGAGATACGCGGGAAATAAGCGACACTTGATCACCTTGAAGAACGCCTCGAGTCCGACCAACTGACAAAAAGTCCCGTCATCAAGCACAAGACCACCAACCGATCCCACCGATCCGGAGTGTTCGGGAGATACGGAGGAACTTCGCGTTGGATGGGCTAACAAATCCAGACAACCAGTACCAAAGTACACACCTCACAAGGGAGCGGCCGCATGATCCAGGGGTATCATGGTACCTGACTGGATAACGCACTCGGTGCTGTGACAGCCCGCTGAAAGGCCCAATCGTGCTAGTGCTCGTAGTGTCTTCGTCGTGGCCCTCTTGTCAGACTCGCAGTGACTGGCCAAATTAACTGGCCGAGTCGCCTCATTGGCCATCCGCCATCGGTTCCACAATTTCGGACGGCTACGGTGGGAATGCGGTGGACTGCGGTGGACTTTGTCGCCCGACTTGTGGTGGGTTATCTTTGAACCACTTGGTGGGCTGCCTGTGCCCCTTTCCGCGATTTCATTGAAATCTTCTGCCTCGTCCACTCTTTCCAGACAGCCGACGTCCCCGACTCTTCCGTCCTCGCCCTATTCAGGATCCAACACCACCAGACAGCCCTTCACAAGACAGCCTTGACCTGTCCTGCACACCACACAAGGGCGAGGGTGTAGTAGAGTTGTAAAGGGCGACACTCGACTGCGACGACAAGCGCGACGACGTTCCCCTCTCTTTTGGTTTCTTCCCGCCAACACCGCCTACCGCTACCGCTGCCGCCTTAGAGGTTCCATCACGACCGCCTTTTTGGCTCGAAACCTTTAATCGCTCGATCCGACTTCCCACCTCGTCGCCGCCTTGTACGTTGCTCTCGGAGGCTGTCGTACTTGTACACACATCTTGGATGATAGGGCAGGTGAGTGTTTCGAAGACTGCTTTCCGTTGTCCTTATCTCTCTTTCCCCTCGCGAGCCAAGGTGTTGGATGGTGGGTGTTGCACCCGGGCGGTCAATGGATGGGAATGGCTGGAAGCTGCTACTACTGTACTCCCGCAAGAGCATCTTAATATTTGGTAGCCGCCACCACATGCATGGCAGCTCGACTGGACCTGCATTGGCAGCACTGTGCAATGCCTGCGTCTTCGTCATTAACATGGCCATCGGGTGTTTCGAGCATGCGAAAAGCAGCATACCAGCATCCCCAGTTGCTTCATTGTTCGCAGAAACTCCATCATTCCAGATTGTTGCGATAACTCGTCCTTTTCCCTTGGCTTCGCTCGCGACCCGTCTCACTATCAAAGTAATCCTTCTGGGCCACCCTGCTGATATCTCTCTACTACAGTATCTGTTGGAGTTAGCATTTGCGCATCGCTCTACCTCCTACACGTCGTAAAAAGCGGCGGACAACTGCTTGCATTCAACCACCTAGTTGCGCCCTCACTTGCGCCCTAGACATGCCCCGAAGGATTACCAACCCCTTTTCCTCCTCCTCCTCATCCTCCACTATGCCGAACCCTGACAGGGCCGCTGAGCGAAGGCCGTCTCTGTCCAAAGCCACCCGCATCGCCCAGTTCTTCTCTTCGCCCAAGAACAAGGATCAGCTCTCGGAAAAGCAGGCCCTCCAGGCCATGCAACAGAACCAGGGCACCGGTACGGCCACGAGCCTCTTGTCTCTGCCCTCCATTTCGCTTTCCGAGGACCTCAACAGCCATGAGTCTACCACTCTCTTCCAGCCTCCCTCCCCCGAGGAGACCCTCAAGCGCCAACACGCCGAGGCGCAGTTTGGTCCCTTGAACAGCCCGGCCCACCGCTACATCAGCACCCACGATGGCAGCACTCTCGAGCCTCCCGTCGAAGACGAACCACCATATTACTACGTCCTCACCACATATCTGAGCTACCTTATCCTAATCTTCTTCGGCCACGCCCGCGACTTTTTCGGCAAGAGATTCGGAGACCAGACCCACTACAAGGCACTCCGGGTACAGAATGGCTACGCACCCCTGAACGACGATTTCGACAACTTCTACGTTCGTAGACTCAAGATGCGCATCGACGATTGCTTCGCCAGACCCACCACTGGCGTTCCTGGCCGTTACATCACTCTCCTCGACCGCAAGTCTGATGATTTCAACCGCACTTACCAGTACACCGGTACCTGCACCCAGACCTTGAACATGAGCTCGTACAACTACCTTGGCTTTGCCCAGTCCGTTGGCCCTTGCGCTGATGCCGTCGAGGAGTGCGTTCGCAAGTATGGCCTCAGCAGCTGCAGCCCTCGCGCCGATGTCGGTACTTCTGATCTCGCTGTCGAGGTTGAACGTGAAATCGCAAAGTTCGTTGGCAAGCCCGCTGCTATGGTTTTCTCGATGGGCTTCGTCACCAATGCCGGTTCCTTCCCTGCGCTCGTCTCCAAGGGTGATCTCATTATTTCCGATGAGCTCAACCACGCCTCTATTCGTATCGGTGCCCGTCTTTCTGGAGCTGTCATCAGGTCGTTCAAGCACAACAACATGGAGGAACTCGAGAAGCTCCTTCGTGAGGCTATTGCTCAGGGTCAGCCCCGCACTCACCGCCCTTGGAAGAAGATCCTTGTCGCTATCGAGGGTCTCTACTCGATGGAGGGAACCATGTGCGATCTGCCCGGTGTCTTGGCTCTCAAGAAGAAGTACAAGTTCTTCCTCTATATCGATGAGGCTCACAGTATCGGTGCCGTTGGTGCCAAGGGCCGTGGCGTCTGCGATTACTTCAAGGTTGATCCTGCTGAAGTCGACATTCTCATGGGAACTCTGACCAAGTCTTTCGGTGCTAATGGCGGTTACATTGCGGCTGAGAAGCACATCATCGATAAGCTCAAGGCTACCAACGCTGCTACCCTCCTCGGTGAATCGCCTGCTCCTGCTGTCCTGATGCAGATTCTCGCTTCCCTCAGGATCATTGAGGGTGAGCTTGCTCCCGGTCAAGGCGAGGAACGTCTTCAGCGCATTGCCTTCAACTCTCGTTATCTCCGTCTCGGACTTAAGCGTCTTGGCTTCATTGTTTATGGCCATGATGACTCCCCTATCATTCCCGTCTTGCTTTACAACCCCGGCAAGATTTCTGCTTTCAGTCACGAAATGCTCAAGCGCAAGATCTCGGTCGTCGTCGTTGGATATCCCGCTACGCCTCTCATTAGCTCCCGCGCTCGCTTTTGCGTATCGGCTGCACACAACAAGGAGGATCTGGATCGCCTCCTAGCTGCCTGCGACGAAGTGGGTGATATCCTCCAGGCCAAGTTCTCTACCGGTGTCGCTGGAGGTCTGGAGCCTTTGCCTGCTGGTGTTACCCCCGAGATGGAGAAGGAGTACATCAAGGCTCAGGGCCAGGCTCTCATCAAGCCACCTAGGTGGAAGCTGGAGGACGTCATTGCACGTGGCGCCGAGGACGCTAAGCGGCCATTGCGGTAAAACGCTCGTTTGGACCATCTTGGTGGCGCCCGACTCTCACTTGAGAAGACCGGTGCCGTTGTATATATATAGTACTTGGCGGTTAGGCTACATTACCCATGTGCCTCCTCTTAGAAATCTTCTTTGCCCCTTGGGCGCATGAGGATGTCAGTTGACATCTCTCTTTTTTCTTTCTTTGCTGCCGATGGCAGAATTTTCATGGGGCTTAATGAAGACATGCCAGAGACGGGCCTAATGTTTAAAACTTTGAAGAGGAAGCAACGGGACGGAAAGCAAACCGAATGAGCAAGGCATAGGTGTTGCAAAGGCTGCTCGTTTAATATGACATTGGCATTGGAGTTGGGGTTGGTTAGGGCAATCAACTGTACGAAAATAAATGTGGATGAAGGGGGTTTTAATGATAAAAAGCAATAGACCACCCTCACTGGGAGAACATTTCAATGTAAAAACATATATGAAAGAATCAATACACATCTTAACTCAAATGTTACATGTATATCTCTAGGCTGGGTGTAACTGTGCCAACCACCTTATCCTTCAAAATACCCCGCTTAAACACGTGAACCCGCGCTCATCATCACTTTTTCGTCAAGGTACAACGCGAGCTTCATCCATCAGCGCGTCACATTTCTGACCGACTTTGAACTTCAGTTTGAATCGTGCGTCCTTTTAGGCAAGAATTGTAATACTGCACGTGGGACTGTGTCTTGCAGTATTTTGCCTCAGACCTCAGCTCGAAGTACTTGCTCTCCAAATCGCCTCGATCGACTCCTCCACCTCGTCCACTATCCTCAACCTTGCTGCCAAAACGACCCGCCTACCTAGACGATCATCATTCCATCTCGCTGGTTCAAACCGATAGACATAGCAAAGGATATCTTCGATTCAGACTTCCCTCAGCCTCGCTACCTTGCAGATTTTTCCCGTTTTAGAACGGCCTCTTCCGTTTGCATCCTGCGCCGGGACCTCCTCTCTACATTGCTCTAATCCCAATTCTCGAACCAACGACTACTGTGTAAAGCCGCGACCATGCCACCAGGAAAGAAGTCCAAAAAGCCCAAGCAACAAACCTTGGAGGCTGCCTTAGGTGAGTTTATCATCACATCCATTTTTCTCTCCTAACCATTCACTTGCGTTCTCCCCCTCCAACTTTTTTTCACCCCGCGTCCACGACTTTTCCCAACCAAGTGGATTTGCCAACCTGGTCCCACCTGACACAATCTAACAAAGAAAAATAAAGGCCAACCAAGAGTCAAGCCGCCCACCATCACGAATCACTCAACTCGCAACAGTGCCAGTAAGAAAGACGACACATCAAAGAATCCAGCGGCCGGCAGCAGCTCCCCAGCCGCAGCATTCACCACCATGGCGACTACAATGACGCCTACACGAGCGCGACATCGGGAGCGCGAGGACATATCCCCCGACCGACAGCTCCCTGCCTCCTCAGCAGTCTTCATCCCCAAGATCTCCACAGCCGAGGCCAAGAAGCGGACCATCGTCATCGACGACTCGGACTCGGCTCCCGAGGCCGAAGATCACGGTGGGGCGGCGGCATTTGAGTATGACGAATTACCAGTCTTTTCCTCGCAGACTGCGGTGACGGTTACTCATAACCCCCGCGCTACTACTGGTGGCCGTGGTCGTGGTCAAAAGGGAAAGGAGGTTATTGTGCTGAGTGAGGTGGATGAGGATGCGGACGAGGACGATGATGACGATATGCCGGTGGCGACTCAACGTACTAGAGGTGTGAAAAGGCAGGTGGCTGTCTTGTCGGACGTTGAGGGGGATGGTGATGAAGAGAGCCTTGAGGGGAAGGGCAAGGCTGGATGCGAGGGCGGAGGCGAGGAAGATGACGACTCGGGCTCTGATCGGATTTTGTCGTCGGCAATTAGGAGAAGGGCAACAAGACGCAGTGGAGAGAAGTTGGAGTCCAGTCCGGCTAAGAAAAGACGGCTGATTAGGAGGGGGAATCCATCTTCGGCGAGCTCTGCTAAGGAGGAAGAGGACTCGGATGATGATTCGGAGGCAAAGAAAGACGAGGATGAGAAGACTGGTCGTTTGCGAAAGGGCCCTAACTCATCTGTCGCCACTTCCTCATCAGAATTACGAACCGTTAGAGCCAAGCATCGTGTCAAAAAGCCTATGACGGAGAAGGAAAAGGCGAGAGAGCTACTGAGGCGCAAGCGGGCGGGTGAGCCTATCGACGATCTGGAGAACGAGGAGGAAGATGACGAGTCGGAAGTCGAGCTCCCTAAGAGGGGCTACTACGACACCGACTCTGATAATCCAGCTCTCTCAGAGTTTGATGATGAGGAGACCGATGAGGGTGAGAACATCAAAGAGGAAGAGGAGGAAAAGAAGGGGGAAGGGAAGAAAAAGCACAAGAAGACCAAGAAGGATAAGAAGGAAAAGAAGCGAAGAGAGATCTCGCCCGACTCGGAGGATACTGGAGACAATGAAGACGAGCGGAAGGGCAACGTGGGTGGCTCCTATGAGGACGAGGAGATGGAGGATTTTATCGCCGAAGATGATTCCGACGCCCCTATTGGCGCACCTGATGAGATCGGTATCCCGCTCGAGTTCACAAGACACGCGCATAAACCTCTAAAGGAGCACTTCCGCGATGTCGTTGAGTGGCTAGTCTATTACAAGATCCACCCCAAGTTCCCGGAGAAAACCGCCGCACTATACAGGCTGGGCTGGCGGAAACTGGACGACGAAGTCCGTGGCCTGGCCCAGAGCAAGTTCGCTTCGTCGGCCTGGAAGACGGACTTCTATATGGCGTTGAGGGCCCGACCGTATTACACTAGCGGCGAGTCGCACGAGCTGAGCATATGCTTTCCCAACTGCGCGGCGTGCGGAAGGAGTGGACATCCTGCCAAGTAAGTTTGCTCTCTAAGATTTGTCTTTCCTCTCCTCTATTCGCCTGGGCTAGAAAGGCCTCTCAGACCCATGGCCAGGGCTAGACTGGGCGTTTCTTAGCCTGAGGAGTATTGTTTTCCCTTTCAAAACTAACCTCACTGCCCCCCACCCAGATACGAAATCACATTCTCCGGCGCTCCCTACTACAAAGATTTCTCCCACCCAAAATTCCTCGAACCTGTCCCTAATAACAACAACAATTCACCCTCCTCGTCCCCATCCCCTGAGGATGAAGAAGGCCAAGGTGACCCCGACGAATATGACGCCGACGGTAATACTATTCCCGCCGCCTCTCGCACTTGGAAAATCGGCTCAGTATGCCACTCCAACGCCGAGACAGCCCATAACCTGCTTCACTGGCAATACGCCCTGTTGGACTGGGTTGACACTCGCTTATCCGAGGACGGACACCTAACCGCTGCTGCTGCCATCGGCAAGAAGCGTGAAGGAGAGACCAAGGAGCAGCGCAAAAAGAGGGAGAAGAAGAAAAAGTACAAGTTGGTGGCCAAAGTGGTGAGCGAGTGGGAGGCCAACGGCACAGTCAAGGCGCTGTTTAGGGAGTTCAAGAGTATGTTGGAGGGGGCGAGGAACAAGAGCACGGCAGGGCCGAGGGTGCAGAAGGGGTGGGCGAGGTGAGCATACCTTATTCACATGGGTTTTGTGATTTGTGTGCTTCGTGGACGAGACTTGGGGAGACATATTGAGACAGGTTCAATTGGAGGAAGGAGCAAATCGCGTTGCACGTTCACTTGCCAGTGTTGCTTTGAAGGCGACGGTTGCTTTTTATCTTATAAGTATAGAAGAGGAAGGAGCAGAGGCCTCTGTTGTTAGTGGTAGAAGTGGCAAGCGATACACAGTCTTGCTCAGTACCTACGCGGTCACGCTTAGTTTCTTATTGCATTAAACCAACGAAGTCTAGCAAAGGGCTACACTTTCTTCAAGTTAGCCTGTTTGGCTTTCGAGCTTTTATAGACAGTATCTAGTCGGGCAGTCGAACTCAAAAGTCTCCTATAGGAATGGACTCGCCCTCTTTACCCATCACTCCTACCGTTTTCATCCCCATCATCAACTTCCTCACGTCCCTACTCTTCTTCCCTAGCCCCTTCAAGGACCACCAATGACAGTAGTGATCGGGCCCGTCTCAATGTACACACCAGAGAAGTAAAAGTCCTCCGTCGTATCACTATACCCGTTCCTGGGCAGTTCAAGAACACCCAAGTGCCAGTCGGCGCCGTTAGACGAAGTCGAGACCGAGACGGGGGCAACGACCTGCTTCAGAGGTTCGCCGCCTTCGGAGTGCCAGAACCCGACCTTGTTGGCGCTAAAATCCTGTACGTCGTTGCAAAACCGGGCATATCAGCTTCAACTCCCATCACCCGACGCTCATGACTTTTCCTTCTTTCCATCCATCGCACAACGAACTCCCCAGCCACACACATCACAGACACCGAAAGAAGGGAACAGAAAGAAAGGAACAGAAAGAAAGAAGAAGAAGAAAGACTCACAATCTCATAAGCAACATTATGCCAAACCCCCGCCTTCCACTCCGTCTTCCACCCACTCCTCTGGTTCGTCATCCACTGCAAATTCGGGTTACTCGTTCCCGACTCGCCCGAGATCCAGCCGCTCTTCAGCTCCGTAAAATGGCTCTCAAAGAAACAAATCTGATGTTCCCTATTCACGCTCGGCGCGTTTTTGTCGGATCTCATAATCGAAAAGTGATAGTACACTTTGCCCTTGTTGATAGCCTCCTTGGTCTGGGGGATGAGTTCGATGCGCCGCATGTTCTGCCCGTTCCAGTACGCCGTGTTGTCGAGCGTGAACTTGGCGCCCTGGCGGGAGCGCGTGTCGTTGGGGTTTTTGTAGGATTCAGACAAAGAAATGTACTTGTCGACGGAGCCGGAGCCGTGGATGTAGTACTGGTAGGGCCCGACTTGGTTGGACCAGGACCATTTGTTGAGGTCGGCGGCGGAGGCGAAGTCGTTGAAGCGGCCGTCCCAGATGAGGGCGGCGTTGGTGAAGGGGAGGGAAGCCAAGAGGACGGTGAGGAGGGATGCTGTCTTCATTGTGGATGAGGTGGTGGGGGTGAGCTGGAGGGAAAGGAGGTGGTGGTAGGGGAGTTGGGGGAGTTCAAAGGAAATAAGGAGGATACGCACCAAGGCTGTGCAGTGGTTTATATAGCTCTTGGGAAGCGAGTGGGAGACATTTCCACTGCCCTCGCAGTTAACTCGGACCCGTTGCATATTAAGTTGCATCTTACTCGGAGCAGGATATATCAAACAGCAATCTGGGAGAGGGGACAACGGTCCGTTACTGGAGGAAGAACAGATCACGCATAGAATTGCGTACAAATTGCGGACAACAGCCTCCGATCTTATATGTACGGGCGATATTGATCATCGGGATCGATGTCCTCGGGGTTTAGCCTGTAGTATATTATATCTCTGCCGCGGCATCAATGACACGGGGCTGTCTATGAGCCTATTGGAGGCTCTGTGAAGACACTCGGCCATTGCGTGATCGACGGCCATGGATGGCAAATTTGAAAGAAACAAAATAGCAAGTCAAAAAGCTCAGTCGCCCAGGTCTGAGTTGAACTCGAGACCAGCTGCGACCTACGAAAGCTGTACCACCAGTGCCGCTCACTAAGCAATGTTTTCTAGCTCCCCTACACGACACCACTTGGCCACGCACAGGGGGGTATAGGTGCGCGTGTAAGTACGAGAGTTGTTGAGATATGTGGGCTTGGGGCTTATATGGTTCAATCCGATCCGGGTCAGTGTTCCAAAATGCGTGGCCTGTCTTAGCTTTGGCAACCTCAAAATTCTACTCGGGAATAGGACGAGTATGATACCTTCCTGTATTAACCCTAGACCACTCTCTAAACTAGTTCCTGAGGAAGAAATACTGCTCTAAAGATATCACCCCAAGAATTAGTAAAGGGGAAAGTCATACCGAAACACAGCGACCACGTTGAGTGACCGAATATCTTTAGACGAACAGTGCGCGGCGCTGATGAACCATTACCCAGGCTACAAAACCAAAGATCCCAAATAAAACGATAGAAAGAAACCCAACTCGCTGCAACTTCTCCTTATGCCCCGCGCTTCTGAAGGTTTGGTTGCCCACGACTTTACCATACGGTCCGTATCCAATGGTCTATACCCCCGATGCGTCTGAGATAGAGCCGAGGCCAAGTTTGACGAAAAATTGTCTCAAGGATTGAACATGCACGGCAGGCTTTTAATACTCCATGCCACCGAAGCTCTTATTCCGGACAAGGGTTGCACGCTCGAGGCTCGCTCGAGGAGGTTGATCAAAGGAGCGGCTCCGACTATGTACGCTCGGTCTCGGAGCAGCATCTCCCTCTTCCACCGCACTTATTTCGTCATAAGCAACAGTAGGCTCGTCCCGAATACGATGGATGAAGAGGGCCGAGATTAAGACCGTGATACCGCCGAGAGCCAGAACAATGGCAATACTGTGGTCACCTGGCGTTCCCCGTGGTTTCTGAAAGAGACGGAAGATGATGCTGCTTGCCACCGTAGCAATGATCTGCGGTGCAGCAATAGCCATGTTGTGAATACCAAGGATCACACCGGCCTGGTCGGCGGCTTCTTCCTCGTCCTTACCGAGGTCGCTGTCCTGGTTGTCATCCGACGAGTATCCATCCAAGGTGTCGAGGCGGCTAGGTGAAAGGCGCTGTTGCTGAGTTCGCCGTTCCTCATCACGCCGAGATATTTCAGCGCTAATGATTGCCCAGGGTGCCCATAGTGTCAAAGCCCAGGTGATACCGACGAGACCAATGAGTACGGTGGCTGCTGTGACGGTTCGTACGAAAACAGTGCAGAGCATACTGCCGGTGAACAGGATTTGCGAAAACATCCAGGCACGACGAAGTGTAAATCCGGGGATGATAAGGTGATGGGTCCATGACCTCTGTTCGGGCTCGTAATCGTTAATTACTGAAGGAGCCTCGCCAGGGGCATCGGCCGTAACCGCTGGTTGGTCGTAGGTGGGCGCGATAAAGAATGGCAGGAAGACGTTTGTGGCCAGACTTGTAATGGCAAAAATGAGCAAGGCGAAAGTGCCAACCTGTGTTGCCCTCTCGTACAACTCATCGAGCTCCTTGTCAGTCATATTTGGGTTCTCCTCGAGGAAGGGATCAGCGTAGATCTCTCCGATATACGAGGAAGTATAGAAGAGCATGGGGAAGAAACCAATCCAGGCGCAAAACTGAACTTGGCAGACTTTCTTGGTTTGCGGCGGCAGGCGTTTGATCGATGTAAAAATCTTCTTGAAGAAGGCAACCACCCCAGGCTTATCCTTTGCTGGAGGACCCTCGAGTCTTGGATCCCTCTCCTTGATGAGAAGGCAAGTCATGAGAACGGTGATACCGAGGGCAAGGCTGGCAATACCACAGAGCTCCTTGAACTGACTATCTCCAAGCCACCAGAAGGTGGTGGCGAGGTGGGCGTATCCGGCGAGATAACCGCAAATATTGCCGATACCTACGAACCTGCTTGCCATAGCATTTGCCATCTCTGAAAGGCGTTAGTATTCAATGACTTTGATGTCTTTGGGCCTTATCGCGGGAGCACATACCTTGCTGGTGAGTAGGCGCGCAGTCTACGATGAAGGCGCGGATCGCTGCTTGGACTGAAATTGGCTTGTTAGCAAGGCACATGGAATTAGTTTGCGAGTTGTGAGGATCATACCAGTATTGATGGCAAAATCAAGAATATAGATCCAGAGCACGGCGGTGCAGATAACACAAAACTTGACGCCGTCGGACTGAGGGTCGGCACCAAAGAGCCCGAGAATGCCAGTAACAATCTCTCGGGTCCAGGCAAGGAACATCAGCGAGACAATAGTGGCAGCAGCACCTCCAAGCATGAAGGGCTTGCGCTTGCCCCAGCGAATGCGACAGTTGTCACTCATCATGCCGACATATGGTTGCACCAATGTGCCCGAGAGGGGACCAGCGATCCAAACCAAAGCCATCAAAGACTTGCTGATACCGAGAGAAAGCAAATATGGGGATCCATTGGACATCTCAACCGACCAGGCAATCTGCAGACCGCCGATGCTGATGGTCAAAAGGATCATATACCATGCGCTCTTTGTGGTTTGGAACTCGTCGGCCGAGTCGGCACCTGGATCGCTGGAGGAGCCATCCTGGTTATCGACCGGAGAGAGCAGCGGCGACTGCTCGCCAATGAAGAATTGCTGGTTTGTGTTTTCGCTCGCACCGTCACGACGACCGGTACTGAGGCGTGGTGCCGGTTCCTCGCGACGAGGTTTGGGCTGTTGCGATTGTTGTTGATGGCCTTCGTTGCCTGCGGGGCGGGCCCGGTCTGGATGCTCTGCTAATGACGACGTCATGCGGAGATGCGGGCTATCGATGCCTTTGAGTGACCTGCGTCTCTTGATATCGCGCGCAACGGATGCCTTTGTGACGGCTAGGGATAGAGTATCGACGACTCCCGCCGCAATGAGCTGCTGGAAAGAAGTGTTTGGTTGCGATGCGCAGTTGGGTCGGGATTAGGTTATTGGGAGGGTTATGTAGGTCGTCTGTAGGAAGAGAGAAAGTTGGTGTGTTAGTGTTTGTCTTGGAGGAGGCAAGGAATAAGTGCGGATTACACCACCGCGGCCCAGTGCTTAGCGGGCGAGATATCGATCGAGATGCCCTTGTTGAAGCTGCTGCTGCTCCACCAAAACCCAACATGCAATTCTTTCAAACAACGTAGAAGGAGAATGTGAAGTGCACTAGAAAGTGATAAAAATGGACAAGGGCTGATCCGGATGTTATGTAATAAACAAGCGATCAGTCCTTAGCATCACACAGCTAAGTGCTCAGGCGAGCTTGTCGCTTGTCCGTAATCGTCACGCGGGCAAGTCAACGAATGCCACGAGACCGGCGTGATTCGATTGGATCGATTACTGCGAATCGTCAACTTGCTGAATGAGGGTCAAGTGAGGGGAGACGGAAACAGGGCAGTCGCAGGCCCAAGGTCGGACAGGAGGAAGGCACAGAAAGGGTCAAATATGGTCAACAGACGCAAAAGAGGGCTAGACTAGGAGAAGGATGCACTAACAATTACAAGGCTGGGGGAGCACATCCAAACCGCTGAGACATGCGGGACATGCAAGTGGTGCCGCCCGTTAATACTCTGAGCGGGACACAAAGTCAGCGTAAGAAACACAGGCGGTTTGAAGATGTGATAAGACTCAATCCGACCTTATCAATTCTGTATGGGCGGGATGGGATGCTTGGTCTTATCGGACCAGGTATTCCGAGTCTAGGTAGTGTTATGCATAAATGCCCTCTCAGCTCGGGGCATGTCAGAGTCTCAGGAGTCCCCTTGTTACGTTATTTTGCACTACCGCGGGGTGTTAGAAAAACTATGCTCTTCGCTCTCAAGGCTTACCTAGACTATGTACGATGGCCCAAGTGTGTCTTAGTGTCACGGGTTTAGGTCTGCGCACTAAACGGGTGCACCACAAAAGAATGAATCGTTGTTCCAATTGTCAGTCGGAACAACTACGCAGACTTATAAATTCTTTATACTTAGGCTTATTATCCAAAATTCTATTGCAAAAAGGTTGCTATTAGCTGCAGGTAATAGATAGGCAACTGAGCGTGTCAATGTATATTCAACTTAGCAATTACATCTGTTTTATCTTCTATATAACCTCGCTTTTGCTTATAACAAGACTTATTTTAAATACTTTTATTGTAATAATAACTTATTAAAAGTTAACAATTACTATGATAGGCTAGGGTGCATATACCTAGACGGCCAAACTTATAAAAAATAGGACGATGTTCTGCTTGCAAGGCAGAACTCGAAATGCATACTATATAGCCAATGCTAACTTGTGACAGTTACAACTAGTGCTGATTAATTAGTAAGTGTATAGATGTAAATGCAACGTGATTCTTTTCCTAAATTAATGAAACTACAATAAATAGTAAGAATAACCAGTAGAGCAATAGCAAAGAGAAATATGTTTAATTGTTAATAATAAGGTGTAAGAGTGTAGAAGAACTTGAATTGATTCAGTGGAAAGAAGTGTGCGCGGTTGTGCGTAGAGTGTTAATAATTTGCTCTACTACCTGCCTGCACCTGAAAGCTCGGACCAATTTTATAACAAGCCTAAGACACACTTGGGCTACCGTAACCATGTAATATTAGCACGCTGGAGTATTGAGGAGTGCACGAGTCAATAGTGTAAGTATATACAAAATGTTATATTCCAGCGCTGAGTCTGGACACGCGATTGTAACCATTTATTCATAAGTCTATCATCTTGTCATCCATATTACAGCGAGACCAACGAAAATAACACCGGCACTTTTTTTCTTTCTCATCTGATCTTACAGAGAAACATTACAATTGGTCAACTAAACTCTGAACAAGTTATACTATGTCCTTAATTCCACTAAGTTCTGCTATGAAGGATACTCTAGCCTAGTAATTTATATAAATCAAATCAAATCAAACTAAATCCGGTATTTAATTAGCTTTGTTTGAGTAATTTCGAGCATAGATTTGCTTTATTTATATAGATATTTGATTTGATTTATTAAATTTGACCTGGAAGATTTATTTTCTAGTATATATTAAATCGCTGGAATACTAAGAACCTCATATATTTATTACTAACTTTTATATAAAGCGATACATCTAATAGTTGAGTACAATAGGTTATACTTTCGTTAACTAAGTACGAATTTCCTCTTACAAAGTATCCCCTCCGCTTTTAAAAATATTTTAGGTATAATTAAGATATTGATAGCTATA